GTGCAAGAAGGTTGTGAAGACTAAAAAAAGTGTCAATGCAGAACAGAATAAAATACGATAAAACAAATATACGCAAATAGTAATTATTCTAAATTTGAATTTCGTAATTAAATCTAACTTTTTTACTAAAAAGTAAATAAAAGTAAAAGATATATTGTTAACTTTCACTTCTATAATAAGTTCTACTAGTTTTCTTATAATAATATAAAGAAAGTTTATTTTATTGTTTCTTTACATACATATCCATATATATATGTATATTTATTTGTATGTTTTTATTTTTGAGTATTGTATATTTTTCCCTTTTTTTGTTTTAATTTGTTTAGCCTACCTTGGAATTTTTTTTACGTTGCCTGAAAGAGATAGCTCGTTAGCGATAATGCCGCCCATTGTACTCCGGTCTAGAGTATAAATTTTATCGTATTTTTTTTGTTACATTAAATAAGAATTAAAAAGAATCATATACATTAAAATCCTTTAGTATTCCTGCTTCTATCATACTTGAAAGTACTTGCAAGTAAGTACGATGGCTTCGTAATGTTTCCGCATTGCGCAGGACAGTGCACGCTATGCAGTTATCCCTTGCAATACATTATGTAACTGAGATAACACCATACACGAGGAATCTCTTAAGCTAAATATATCTTTTCGCTCACCCCCTATTTCTTATTCTTTGTATTGTTTTCTAATTATATTAAATAGTTGGTAGGAATTATATATATAGAATTTGTATAGAAATTCGTCCGGGTCACGAACCACTGTCCACAGATGTAAAAGCCGTAAAGGTTAATCGCGTTTCGGTTTCAGTCTGTGGATTTCCAAATATCCAAAGCTAAAATAAGTCGACAGCACATCTTGGTTAAATGTTATTGCTTAGTTATTCTTATTATTGTTATTTTTATTGATAGAGGAGGACAGAGATGGCATAAGGTTCTCTTCATGGTAGGTGATCTATCATTAAAAATAACACTAATAAGAATTCACGTCCCTATAGTTCAAATATGAAAAAGTGAGCTAATTACATGTATTTTCCAATTTCTTATATACTTTGTTAGTTTTCTTTTTCTTATGAGAATTTATCTGCCAGCTCATGTTATAAGAGGCACAAAACGTATAAGTATATATTTATACCAATATAGTTTAGTACCCAATAAGTAAAATATTTACATAAAGAATGTAAATAAATATATTTACAACTAGGAATTGACATTTTAAATAGCCTGTAGCAATTCTAGTAATCATGACTGCTAAAGCATTTAAATAAAACACTTTAACGGTTAAAAACGCGGTATATTTTCGTTAAACTTGTTTGAGAATTATTTTTAACTACAGCCCGACGATGTCTTCCCGTGACCACGGCTGCTGCAAAGCATCCCAAGGGTCAAAAATAATTCTCGAACAAGTTTAACTAAAAATATATCGCGTTTTAAACCGTTAAAGTGTTTTATTTAAACGCGTCCGCAGTTGCTATAAAGCATTTATGTATTGAATTAAATGTAATCTACATGTTTAGGTAACTAAATTTTCTAACTAGAAAAAAAGGTAGTTATTTTTCTACTCAGCATTATTTTTATGGATACTTTCATAGAAGGCTTGTATATTAAAATATACCGCCTCTGTAGCCAAATGATTAAACATATTGCCTAGCATTGCGTTTAGCGCGCGAGATGTCCTGGGTTCGAATACCAGGGAAAGAAAAAAATGTTTCTGTCGGGCGGGGCAAAGAACTCTGATCAACTACTTGACAGAGAACGGATCAGTGAAACGGACACAAAAATGTGTTTGACCCACGAGGGGGAAACGGTATTTTAATTAATTTTATTAAAATATAATTTTAGATTTTATTTCGTAGTTGAATCGTAGGAAGTATTTTATCCATTAGTGCCGCAGTTGTTAAAGGCAGCATTCAATTTTTAATAATAGAAAATATTAGTAGGTGGTCTTATTATTCTCACGAACTCTGATCACGTAGGTGTTATTGCTATACATTGTCTGCCATTTTATCTCTACAATACATTATTTGCGTTAAATTCGGAACAAAGGTTATCTTAAGAAACATACGTTTTAAATTTTTATATCATCTGACATATATTTATTGTTCGGTATTTCAACTAGTAGCTAAAATGCGATTTAAATTAAGTTTTTGTACTACAATTAATTTATCCAACTAACAAGAGGTTTGACTATAAACCTTTATATAAATACTATGCTTCAGTATGCCCGGAGCACCCCAGATATATTATATATATAGTTATAGATATATTGTACTTATAGATATTACATACTGGCCGACCAGGCAAACGTTCTTTTGCCATTCGAAGTATTTCGACGAAATTAGCCTACTATAAAAACGGTATTTGTGACTTAAAAGTTAAACACACACTGTCGCCGATTTTTTTTATAAAAGATTAAAAAATATTTCTTTTTTCGTAGTATTTTTTGGGTATCTTGAACCGTTTTTGCAGCTCATGCAACAAAAGGAAAGATGATTAATTTTCCCCATTTTCTCCACATATCCCTTTTTCTTCGCTCTTCTAATTGATCGCAGCTTGTTGTTTAGCCTATAGCTTTTCTCAAATAATGGTCTAAGCAACACAGATACATTATCAATTCGAACCAGCAGTTCCTGAGATAAGCGCGTTCAAACAGAGAAAATCTTTAGCATTATAATATTTTAGTAGAGTATAAATAAAGCGATTCTATAAAAAGCTAAGTGGGATTTACGTCGTCATCAGTCATAACAATCTTTCGAGAATTGCCCCCCAGTATGCGGCATAGATTATAGAACAATGGGCTTCCTATGCACAAAGATGCAACTGTCGCCCTCGGCGTGTAGCGGTTCGCAGGGTTCAGGTTTACTCCGGTTCATTGCCATAGTTTTGTAACCCTTCTTGTGTAACTCGCTCTCTTCGGCCCTACGCACCTCTCACTTGTACTCAATATCGACATATTTCTCACACAACCAGAAAGATTTGTCCGACAGACTAATCACAGGGAAAAGCTTAAGTTTTATCTGTGGATTTAAGGATAACATAAAAAAACAAAAAAGCCTTTATTCACATCTGAGACATAGGCCTCCATTATTAAACGCCAGACTATAAGAAGGATATAGGGATAAACATACATTAAATGAATAATAAATGAAGATCGTTTAAATAAAACACTTTAACGGTTTAAAACGCGATATATTAGTTAAACTTATTTGAAAATGATTTTTAACTTCGGCCCGACGTTTCGGATGCTTTGCAGCAGCCGTGGTCACGGGGCCGAAGTTAAAAATCATTTTCAAATAAGTTTAACTAATATATCGCGTTTTAAACCGTTAAAGTGTTTTATTTAAATGTGTACTACTCGCGTAAGCTATAGACAGTATTTAAATGAAGATCGGATATTTAAATGACTATAAATATGTATGTATATTAATGGTCTCAAAAAATAATTTTCTAATAATAATAAAAAATAAAATATCGCTAATATTGCCTCAATTTCTTCTTAGTTTTATTAAAAAACGATCTTCTTTTATTTCCAAAATCGAATTAAAGAGGTTTTTTTTTCTACTTTGTCAACTCTAACTTTTTTTTAAATGACTGTGTGTATGAATTTTGTGAAAAATTTCTTAGTGTAACATAGAGAAAAAAATCTATTAAATTAAACATACATATACGTATCTATATTTTTTTCTCTACGTATAAATGCCGCGAAAGATCACAAAAGTTGAATGACCCCGTCAACGAAATAGCTCGTAGGTGTCGAAATAAGTTGCATAGAATATAGAAATGTAGCAAGTGCGGATGCTTTAATTGAGCGATCGCGTAGGCCACAGTTCCGCGTCTAGCGGTCATCGACCCCGCAGCCTTTCGAGAGTATCGAACCGCATGGATTACGTCACCAACCCGAGCCTTTAAAATTGCCTACTGTACTCTAGCTGAGAGCAATTCTTTCAAAGGATTCAGCTATAGTACAGTATGTATTGATTGGCGTGCTCTCTATGTAGGCTGCGAATATATTTAAGTAGTTTTTTCAATGTGCACAAATAAACCTCCCCCCCCCCTTCTTTACGTAGAGGGTTTACGAGTATAAACCTTCTCATTAAAGCATGTGTGATTCGGTTTACCAACTACCGTCTTTGAAAGCTTTCTTTCAAACAGCTTGTATTAGAAATAAAAAAATAAGATTCAAATTTTGAATTTTCTAATGAGAAAATGAGGGTAGACGATTAGATATATAAACGAGACAAGTTATCAAGTAAATGCCTGCTATTTATCTAAAATAGTTCCGAGAGTTAATTGTAGTCAATTGATTGAGGTATACGAAAGATTCCAAAGAAATATCTGAGAGCGATTAAAAAATTCTGTCGAAGGAACAAAGTATTCGATATGGTTACATTCACTCGATAAGGTAAACATCATCCGCGTTTACTTGGCAGTCGTTGACCCTACCTCGGCTCGCAAGGCCATTCGCTTACACAATTTCTTGAAAAACCATCGATTCACCTATCTCGTCTTTTAAACGTGATATTAAATTATTGTGCTTATTATATTTCGAGGTATTTATACCTCGAAATATAATAAGCACAATATAATTTTATACAGCTCGAAACGAGAGCTATATTATTTGAGTAAGTTTTTTGTTTCAGGTACTTTAGTTATTTTATTATTATTAAATTGAACTAAGGGGTTCGAGTTTCAATTAGCTTAAAACTTGAGTAAGGTGTTTTTTGTTATATTAGTTGACGTTATATAAAATAAAACTTTAAGACAGAGGCGGGACTCGAAGCCACAAAGCACGCTATGGTTGATTGTTTGATTTTTTACGTACTAACGTAGGCTACAGACACTTAGTCCTCAGTTTTGTTTGTAAATTTAATTTCCGAATCTCGTCGAATTATTCATATTTGAAACGGTACTGTCGCTTATGTGTCTATGAGGTCAGTGTTCGCTGAACTAAGCGTATTGCGGCTTCGAAATTTGAAAAGGCGGGCTTTGTTTTGAACAAATATAATGGTTAGTAAGCGGTGTTCTCAATGCAGTGAACTGCCGTATTATAAGTCAGCGGATGAAGCGTTGGCAGCAATCGAGCGAAGTACTTTCGGGCGATAACGGGACTTCGGAGAGAAATGCTCTACGAAATCGAAACGGGCGTTACCGTTAGCTGGCCCTCGCCCTAAGCCTTCAGCTACTGCCCAACAGACATTATCCAGTCCGTTACATGGGGTATATTCAGATGAGGCGATTTTTTTAAATTTGATTCGAGTTACTAAATTTACTAAACTCTTATTTTAGGAAACCTTTTCTAAAATAACTATTTTTTTTCTCAATTTAACATTGTGAAGCTTGTAAGTACAAGTTATTATACACCTAATACAATAAAAAAATCACTTTATTATTTTAAAAAAATCAATATTCGAACATATAATTTTTTTATTGTTATCGTTACAGTAAAGTGTCTAGTAAAATATAACAATAAGATTTTAGAATATTCAAAAGTTGAATGTTTTAAATATAACAAAATTTTTCACGACATCAAAAATTACTACTGATTGTTTTTATTATTTGTATTTTCAATTATGATTTTATATTTACGCCATCTTGTGATGATTATTAGACACACTTTAATATCAGACTGCACCGTGCGACACAATGAGAAAAATTTTCTATTGTGTAAATTTGAAGAGAGATGTCGCTTTTACACAAGTTGTCGTTTTTGTTATTAAAAAAGTACGTTATCATGTTTGAGCTTGAACGGAATATTTGTGGTTTGAACCGAAGTAATGTATACATTTTTCCCGTTTTTTCCCATGGTACTAATGGTATGTTGGTTTTATATGTTTTACTTTTACGTATTTACATATTTAGTTATTATATTTTTCATTTTTTTTGACATAACCTATAATCAAATCTAATTAAATTTATCGATATAGCAATGAATAATTGCACATTGTGTATAAGTTTATACAGAATATTAAAACTTGTCTGTTTACATGGCAGTTATAGGCAATAATAAGATCTTAATCATAAGGACACTATGAGTACGAACGTCACTGACAATATAATATTTTCGGTGAGGCATAAAGTAAAACACTTACTACTACTACTTGCCTGTTAAAACAACAAACAATAAAAGGCACGTAATGCCTAAAGTAACTCAATTTATCAATAAAACAATTTTTTTTTTATAAAAATCGTACAGTTACCGTTCTTAGACATACATATGTACAAAGGTGGACTTAAACATGTATTAAATTGTTCGCGTGCCGTTTGTATACAAGGGTACATTGCTATAAAAAACCAATTCGTTTTTTGTTATTTTTATGTTCTTTATTTAAAAACAGACGAATTGATTGGCTGCGCGAGCTGTGTTCGACCCTCGAACTTGCGCATTGCGTCCCTTCATAAACCCACCAATCGCATTGTACTTCTTACCAAAGGGTCCGCACCCTACGAATTAGTTAAAACATTATTTTGGCACAAGCTTATTGCATTTTACTAGCATTCAAGATATTCGAAAACATTTTAATTGTGGATATTTTTAAAGTGTCAGATTTTAATTTTTTATAAGTAATTTTCTATTCTCATCACTGCATAATAATATTACCTATTTAACTTAAACCCATTTTAACGGTCGAACGTGAACCCGAAATATATTAGTTCAATCAGTTTTAACTACAATCAGACATTTCAGATGTCTTTACATTACATTTCACGGATTGTCTAAGCGGAGGCTAACAGAAAATTTATAAATTGACTTTAAGAACATTTGGGAACTATTGGAATAAACATTATTATAAGAAACTAGCCGCGCCTGCGACTTCGTCCGCGAGGAATGTTATTTTGGGCAACATATTTAATATTGCGAACAACGTCCTTAGCCTTATAAATTAAAGCTGTTACGACTTTACACTAACATAAAAATAATTACACTTGTAAACGCCGAAAAAATTAACAATCACTCTTATTTTACTATCTGTGACATTGAGTAATAGAATTAGGCGTAGGTTTTTTTGCATTGTTTAAGTGCAGTATGTTGAGAGTTTAATAACTTGGAAAAATGTCATGTATATTTAAATTTAATCATATTTTTTTTCAATTGATTTCATATAATTATAACTAATACTTATAACTAATATTAGCTATCTCCTGTCGTGTTTATCTACACTAATATTATAAAGATTTGTATTTTTGTAAGTAACGGATAAACTCAAAAAGTACTGGACCGATTTTAATAATTCTTTTTTCATTAGAAAGCTACATTATCACTGAGTAACATAGGCTATATTTATTACGAGATTACTATAGAAATCTATAGAAATTACTATGAAAACCAACGGAAGGCGTAAAAATAGTCGTAAAATGTCCTTCATCGCATACGCTGTGAAAAGTATTAATGATAGGACAAAAAATGTTCGACAATATCATCGAATATATCTACAAAAAACTTCGCGAGACAATAATATGTCTAACTATTGTGATTACGTCGCTATAACTTTTTTACATTTAATAAATTGATAGAAATGCCGATCATTATCAGACCGTGTTATCCATACCCTTTATAAATTTTTATCCAAATAAATAATTTAATATTCAAGACTGTCTGATATTACTTTTTTAATTATTAAATCGGACATTCCATTAAAAAGATATCATGAAATTAAAATAGAAATACCGGCTGCCACTCTGCGTAAGAGTAACTCGACGAGAGAGGGGCAGTGGACCCCAGCGACATTGAATATTTCTAGTTTTTTTTTAACACAAATTTATGCTTCACTTGAAGGAAATAGTGCTAGGTACTCGCCAAAACGTGCACGCGAATCTAACACAGATCGCTCGCAGCGGCTCCTGACACAGCGAGCTAGACAACGATCGTCAACAGCTACGACGCGCTATAGAATTTTTTTCTAATTTAGTGATTCATGATCGTTTTAATTAGCATGCTTATAATTTAAATCTGTACTTATTTATGTCTACCCGTGCGAAGCCGGGACGGGCCGCTAGTAATTGATAAAGTTATAGGTATAAATAAAATAATAAATTAAATAACGATAAATTCACGTTGTGTTGGTAAAAATTCTGAGTTACACTATAATCCGTTCCGACAAGGTTTTTTTTAACTATAATTGTAATGTTATGCAATACAAACATCTTATTTCATCAAACACTTCCCCAAAGCTTATCAAATATTTAATAAATAAACTAATCATCGGATTTTAACATGTCACTCAGTTTTGTCATCATTTAATTCGCGTATTGTATTGAAATTCACAAGAGACGCTGTTTGTGAGGGACCGCGACTGAAGAGCATTGTCAAATAGGCAAAAAGTTGTCAGTTTCGTTAGTTCGTGGGTGCAAACGCCCCCTCGTCGTTATTGAGGGCTCGTCAGGGACCGCGACGTTTGCATGACGCATGCGCAATATGATTCATCTAAATATTTGATATACCTATATTTCGCTTATCGAATATTTGAAAACATTAATATTTTTACATTTTGTTGTTTATGATGGTATTATATAAAATAAAATCGATTTTTAATTATCAAATATTGTTTAGGCTTTTTGAATGTGTACACATTACCTCTGTACATATTAAATAAAACTACTTTTTAAAAATTGAAAAGTGATTTATTCACTGACACTACTGAAACATTGGGTCGCGAACCCAATGTTTCAGTAGTGTGCACAGGAGAATAAATTAGCTTCGCTTGAAAATTAATCACCTGTCGACTCATTTAAAGCAGTTCTCTTCATTTTAAATCTAAGTTGAAGTTATTAGGAGAACTTATGAAGTAAATTCTATTCATTTTTTAATATTTGGTATCTAAAATATCAGGGTCAACGGTTCAACAAACAAAACAATATGTATGATAGAATGAGGAATCATTCTTCTTTAAATAACCTAAAAAACATTGCGCGACATTATAGTAACCAAATTATGTCGACGAACTTAATACTCGTAATATTAATTTTGCAAACAACAACCTGACGTTTGCCGGATCATCTAGTATGTATAGTATTGAAATTAAATTACCTAATTATAACAATAAACTTGTCTTATATGTGCTTAATAATAAATTAAAAATGACTTTATAACTTGAAAGAGTAAATCATAAGGTATTATATACGAGTAATTTAAAAAGTAAAACCACATTTTTAACTAATTATTTCTTAACAACAAATTTATTTATGTCGTGGCCGTATCGCTCTAATATATGTTACGTACACACATTTTCTTTATTATCAATTTTTGTTAATTTACTAGCTGTATTACATAAATATTTAAGACTCTATTTATACTGATCAATAAAAGATATTTTGTAAAGTCTGTTTGAACAAATTACTGTTCACATTATAACAGGTGAATTTCATGTGTATTTTTGTTTACAAACAAAAATAAACGCCTTAAGGAAAAAAGCTAGAAGAACGATAAAAAAAAGTTAAACAGTTGGCACGTGAATCACATCGCATTGAAAAAGTCCCCATCAATTTTGGCTTATCCTGAGAATTATAACGTTTTTTGCATCTATTGTGTATTTTCCCGAATTTTTTGTGTGGTCAACGAGGGGTCAGTTTTTTAGAATCGCTCCAAAGCCCGCTCTGATTGATTGACAGCCAACGGTCATTCGCAAATTAACGAAATTACGATAAAAGCACGCGCTGCAATTTTTTGCTTTTCTGCAATTTGTTTATTTGTATTTTGTAATAATATATATTTTTTTTAAACCTTAGTTGAAATACTGATTGTTAAATTAAACACACTTGGTGATCTTAAACGCGTTGTATGTCAGTTAACTAAATTTTTACTACGAATTGATTCATTGCTTTGTTGCAGACGTTTTTCAAGTAAGTAATCGAAGTAATAAAAACTATTAGATAATCTGTGAAATGTCAATGCATTGATTTAATGTTGGAAGGACTGTTTACTTTTCTTGTCTTATGGTGGTAGTACATGTAAAATCTTTATGTTTTTGTTTTCCCGCTCTCTAGCATACGCATCGTTGTAGAAAGTATGATGCAATATAAAAACAGCTTGATTATTTAATCATACCTCGGCCTTATTTCAAAATAACTTCCAAAAACAATACTATTAAGACAGTCACGAGTCTAACATTATTATTTTATATTGTGAATTCTATAAATTGTAGAAAAGAGTTAACTTTAAACACTCTTCAAATTGTAGAAGTGCATGTTTTTTATATGGTAATTTTACATTATTTACAAATCTATGCTCCTTTGTACTCCATCAATAGTTAATTCTTCCGCCACGCGCAAGATTTTTTCCCGATACTTTTTTGTTTGATACGTTTTTTACGTAAAAAGTATTCCTCCCCTATTTGCTAAAGAGCACGGACCTTTGATCTGTGAGCTTATTAAATATAAATATTTCATGAAACATTATCGCAACCATTATTTATTAGCTTTTTATCGGTATGGTTCACAATACAGTCGGATCAAATTATTCTAACAGAGAAGATGAACACTGTGCGATATCCGCAATAGACTCGTTAATTTAAGAGAATAATATTGATTACATTATTTATTTACTCTAGCTGAAACTTAAGAATTGCCAATTATGTACTGTTATTATTACAAGTAATTATTTGTTGTTATTATAACGTAGGAAATATTTAAATTAACTAATTTTATTAAGTTTAAAAAGTAGAGCGTTAAAAGTGTGTGGTGCATGTGATTTAAGGGCAGATCAGGTAAAACTAGGGTTGCCATCATTTGAATGCTCTAAACCCATTTATTTTTTAAAAGTGACTGATCTTTAATATTTCTGTACTTAATTGTAAGGCGAATTCAACTTTAAAATGTTATACAATAATTTTGAGTTGTGTACCAATTTTATGGAACGCCATAGATGATACTTCAAGTCCTGCTCGAATCGTATTTTTTTTTTAACTTATATAATGCCATACGCAATTAATCACGTACCAAAAAATATTATTTAATACGCTAATTTTACTAATATGTGTGTCTTTGTAATAAGTACTCTTATATTTTGTATTAAGATAATTGATTATAAAAATAACTAATGCTACGATCTCGCTAAAATCGTGGTGATTGTAGGTCATTGTGTGTTCGGTTGACCAGCAGATGTGCGAGCTGCGAGCGGCCGGCTGTCTGCAATTCAACAGCGCATGCGTCGCTAACAAACAAAAAATGGCCGATTGTTACATATTTACAAATATAAAATCTCTACATAATTGTGTTAATTAACACGCTAAGTTTCAGTTAGCAAAAATAAAATGAGTGTGCTATATTTAACGACAAATTTAAGAACTAAAAATTGAGATTTTTAAGACCTTAAAAAATGCTTTTTGTTGGTGATAAATACAATGCCGACAATTTAATACAATATTTATAATTATCTATGTTTAAAGGAAGTCGTGATATTATATGAATATATTGTAATAACTCAATTTTAAACCATTTGTATGCCCAAGAAATCGTAAATGATTATGTCCTAAGTAAATCAGTTATAATGGTTTAAAACTAGTATTCAATTTAATTGTACTATAACATTTGATAATTGGAGGGATCATCTCATACTAGTTTAATAAGAAACTAAAATAAATAATATATTGGTGTTGTAAACCGTAAAGATTATTTTATTAATTACAAACTATAACTTAAGTATAAACTATGCAGCATGTTAGTAGAAATACTATGCATTTGTTCATACTTACAGTAAAAAAGTGTACCTAATTCTTGTGTGGGCTATTTATTTACCAACGGTATAAGTTAAAATGAAGCCAACATCCCCATCTAACCGCGTCACCCCAGTTCTCGCGAAAATCTCTCGCAGTATTTCGATAATCGCCATTGGCGATACGTCTCTCGAAAATAAAAACTTAATATAGCTTTAATTACGTATAATTAAACTAAACAAATGTGACAAGTGACAAAAGAATAACAACTTACCAGAGAATTAAGCATATTCATAGCGTTCGTGACGTGACGTGTTCGTGTTTATTAATTTTATTATGTGCTGAGTCGCGAACTTCCCTCCGAGGAGTTCCATCATTTCCATGAAGGGTGAGGGACGATTTATATACTTGATATTGATCGATTTATTATATATAGCCTGTTAATTTTTCAAGCAACATAAGATGTGTACTCGCATATTTGTGACGTCATCCTTCTTATTTTGAAATTTAATTCCTATGAGAAGTTATCATTCCTACAAGAATTATTGTTTCAAACAGGAATGAAAGGAAGTGGTTTTAGGTTATACGATATATTTCCTGGAAGCTGAGCTCTGCTGACGGAAGATTACTAAAAACCTTCATTGTTTGTTGATATATACATTTGAACTATTTCTCTTTATACTTTAATTTAGAGTATACAATAAATTCATTTTTGAATAATAAATTCGAATAAAACAAGTGTCGCCAGCATTATCAACACATACATATATGTAAACTCTAACAATAATGCTCCTAATCGTATCTTAGGCTTTCAAAGTCGTATAAAATATAAATTTTAGTGTATATAAACATATTTCATGTTATATCTTGATATGTTATTTAAATGACTTGATACAACAATAGCTTTATTAGTATATGCTAGTCTTAAAGATAAGGAGTTGGTGTTATTTGTTAGTACTACCTTGTCTTATTTACAACGTTACAAATGATATTGCAAATCAGAGATCATCTCATAATAATATTGAATAACATTTCAGAGTGCAGCGTGTGTGCGGCCGCAGCAGCGGCAGCGGCAGCGGCAGCTTCTTGGAGTACACGAGACTTAGAATTCACTAAACCACCAGCTGTGCCCATCGTTAACGGAGTACAAAATGGGGATGCTGCACCTATAGTGTATACGAAAATTATAAGTAAGTTACTCTACTCTGCTAAGGGCGTATGGGCATTATAATAAATTATATACGGAAAGTTGCATGATACCGAGCACTTAAGCACTTCGACCTATAATTAGAAAACTGTTTAAAAGTAATATGAATTCAATTGAGTATTAGTAGAACATTAATTTGAATAAAACACTTTAGCGGTTTGAAACGCGATATATTAGTTAAACTTATTTGAAAATGGTTTTTTTACCTTCGGCCGCAGTCTCCCCGTGACCACGGCTGCTGCTAAGCATCCGAAACGTCGGACGTTAAAAAAAAAAACATTTTCAAATAAGTGTAACTAATAAATCGGGTTTAAACCCTTAAAGTGTTTTATTTAAATGTGTACTACTCGCGTAAACTATTTAGTAGTATTTAGTAGAACTGTATTTAGTGGAACATTCATTTAAGTATTCAGACCGCATAACCTAAATTTCAGAATTAAAACAAACAGGTCTGGTCTGATAATATCGTGACGAGGGATGAAGTTATTAAATATATTAAACGCAGCAATAATTATAGAAAACATGTATGGCAGATTCTATTCCTTTGCATTCCATATATGACTATTTAATATATTTTGCTTTGCCTGACTTTCCTTGCTTTTTAAATTATTATTTTCACTCTACAGCTAATGCAAAAAACTCTTGACAGACTCTGCTTTAAATGATTTATTTCCTTACTATTCTTTTCTTTTGCTAGCTTCATGTCCTCAGACTGTTCTTGATGTGAGGATAAGAGAGTACAGTTGTGCCGTATCGTAATATAAATTCTAGAGTTACTTATTATGGTATTATAATATAATACCTTCTGAAATTATACGCTGAATTTATAAATAAATAAATTTCTAAGGTGTGACGAAAAATTTAAAGGGCTTACTATTGAAGGCTACTAACAAAGGATCGTTGCCCGGACCAACGTAGTGTTGTCCGGAGATGGATGTGAAGCATGTCCAGCTTTGGTATTTGTATAGAAACTGCATCGCAAAATTAGTGGATAATGTTTTAATTATCTTGACCCACGGGATTATCAACCGCGCGGTAATATGTTGACAGTCATGACTTTGTTTCCTTGATTTATATTATATAGTATATACTTTGGTGTAGGCTAGTAGCCGATCTGAATGTTATGCCTCGCTCTGTACTCTGCAACTTAACAATTAAAAATAATAAAAAAACTTACATCCTTAACTAAAACCATTAGGTTTACAATGTAAAATGGCATGACTCTTATCGTAACTTTTTAGAATGAGTAATTACTAAATACTGTCTATAGTTTAGTTTACGCGAGTAGTACACATTTTAATAAAACACGTTAACCGTTTAAAACGCGATATATTAGTTAAACTCAATGATTTTTAACTTCAGCCCGAAGTTTCGAATGCTTTGCAGCAGCCGTGGTCACGTGTTGTCTCATCGCGTTTTAAACCGTTAAAGTGTTTTATTTAAGTGACTAATTACTCTTTGACTAATTATTTAAGTACTACTAAGTCTTGTCTATAGTTTACGAGAGCAATTTACACTTAGTTCAATATTGGCAATTAATGGTAAATATCCAGTATTAGGAATACAAGCATAAAACTATTTACTTATTGGAATAGTCTTATCTTAGTAAGAAAAACTAATGTTACATCTTGTAGTAATTTTGAAGTTACTCTTTGGTTGAATTTTAACTAACTTTTTAATCATTGACATACATCCAAGAATGTTTAAAACACTGTATGTCAATAAAATGTAAAAATTTTGAATAAATTGAATTGAAAAAAAAAAACTTAAATTAATATTTACTTTAAAGTGTGATCTAAAATCATAAGCTACTACCAGAAGCCAAAAAATATTACCATTTCTTTAAATACTTTATTCTTTCATTAACTCGGTAAAATATTATAATATATTTTGGACCGCAGTTCTACGATAATGTACATATGAATTAATTTATATATTGTTTTAAACTTCAATTAAATATAAAAATCTTTATATATTATGTCAGTTAATATATTCTTCTAAAATACCTACAGATAGAATAAGCACCACCCCTAGAACCGCCCTTTTTCAAGGGGCATTTTTTAACAAGGGTGATTTAGGAAGCGAATTCTATCCGCGATGATTCCGTCAAATAAGATGTGCAACATTTTCAAAAGATGGCAGCACATTTGACGATTTTACTGCCATCTATGATATATTTTATATTAAATACATTGTTTACAGCGCCATCTCTACTATAATGCGTTAACTAAAAGCTATACCAAGTTTGAAAACTTGTAGTAGTGTAACAGCAACTCGTTAGAATACTGAATACGCTTTAAGTTTTACGCAGTATTTTTAGAATCGAATTACGTGTTGTAGAGTAATATATTTAGTGTTTATATAATCCTAAGTTCCAAACTACTCAATTTTTGTTTTTTTTTTCTTTAAGTTTAAAGCCGACAGCGCATCCTATGATATAAGACTGGTGTATGTCATCTTCTATTACGTGAAGCGTATGCTTGTCTTTTGTTCTCTAATAAAAAAATTATAGGAGTTCTCTAGTCAGGGAATTGCCTTTTAATCATCGATGGTTATTTAATAGAATCACCTGCATATAACCGATATTAATCTAATTACTATAACGCAGCTTTTGAGAGTTTAATGCAAAATAATATGAGTAAAACCTGCTCGACTTGTTTATAATTTTCCGTAAAAGCTGCGCTATGCAGGTGCAAACTTGCGTACTGGGTGATACACTTGTAGTGCCCTAATTTTTATTCCATAAATTTACGTTTATTAAGTCCATTGCACAACGTGTTTATATGTGGCGTTGGATTTCTGTTTGGATTCTTTTTTCAAAATTATTATGACAAAGTGATAATTTTTTACTACTCCTTTTCACATTATCCATTAAATGAAAATTTGCTGCCATTATTTTGAATGGTAAAACGACAATATGATGTAAAAACCATCCTTTGTCTAACAGCATAGGTAGATGGAGAAATCATAGTAATAATTTTCGGGGTTTGTTTTTTCTGTTATTATTCTATACCTAAAATTAGGTTTTTAACTAGGTCCCTAGACGTAACTTACGATCAGGTATGATAGCGAATATAATATATAGCTGACCGAGAAGCTATACGTAAACTTTCCCATATTCAAAACTTCAATATACAAAGTACGTGTCTAATAAACGAATATCCTAAGATAGTCGAAATTTAAATTATACGCTTTAAACTGTTTTATTAGAGCGAGTCCTCCTCGTGACCACGACTGCTGAAAAGCATCCGAACCATCGTGCCGTAGTTACAATATATTGTAAATAAGTTAAATATTATACTTGGTGTTTTAAACTGTTAAAAGTGTTGTTAAAATTGCAGACTATATAAAGTTAGCGAATGGCAATTAAACGACATTTGAAATCGCTCAGTCTACTCTATATTCATGGCTTAAATAAAAGTTACTAATTCAAAGGTACTGGGTAAAAGAAGTGAAAGTGACAATCATTCGAGTTTTATTATTTTCAAAACTTGTATTTCTCGTGTGAGCCTTTGTTGGCGTGTAATCATTCATGGATTAGATTAGCGACAATGAGCTTGACGAGCAAGTTTGTCAGAATTTGACAAGTAAGTGAAGGGGAAGTGGTACTTCTGTATGCATAGGGTAGAAGAAAACACTTCTATTATCTTACCTTGTTTCGCGCAACTTGAAGGCAGTAATAATAATTATTGTGTATTTTGGGTAGTTTCAGGCGTGAACTACGGTATTCTATCAGTTATTGTATATGTTAGCGTTAAAACGAAAGCCAGTTTTTAAGTAGTAAAAAGCACAAAGATAAAAAAAAAATACAAATATAGAAGTACTATACTCACTAAATAAAGTAAAGACTAAATAATATATAACTATTTTCCTTAAATCTTTTATTTGTCAAATATATTAATTTTTACAACATATGAAAACTACCTACAGTTTAAACAAATAATTTAACAATCAGTTAAAACAAATTAAGTATTATATTTCACATTTCAAACCGTTAAAAATGTGCTACTACAGACAATATTTACTCGCATAATTATCATAATAAAAGTAGGTGTATACAGAAATACTTAAGAGATTTTTAATGTTTTTTAAGATAAATATTGAGGTAGGTATAAACGTTTATTTGCCCGTTAGAAGCGTAGCAAAGCTCCTCAAGTCGCCCTCGCTTACACGCGGCGCTTTCGGGCGGTGTACCCGTTCCGTTAACTTCTCTATTTTAAAAACTACTTGTTCGTCTATATCCGGGAAGGGACGCACGGGTCGCACCACTGCGCGTCGACACCACACCACACGTTTTCGGTGCAGTCGAGTTGCGCACACGCCGCTGGCCGCTCTCATGCACTTCACGAATTTTGATGCTCGACAACTCGGCAATAACCGCTCGGAACACTGAATGAACTGTGAAAAAGTGCCTTCTCTTAATAAAGAAATGGATTGTATTCGGAGGTGATATTTGGTGCACGTTCGATTATTTCTGTTAACATGAGCGGAAGCACGGACGGAAATGTAGTTCCGTCTTCGAGTAAGTGTTTTGTTTATTTTATTTAAGCTAATTTTTAAATTACGTCACAGTCAAAGCTTCAAATTTCCTTCATCACAACAGTCGTCACTAACATTGTTTACTTCACTGATATTATTTGAATCGAGGTTAATAGTCTTGTCGCACATATGCGTGCCATTGGGTTGGTTGGTTTCACGTTAATTCGATAGTTCGTCTAATTACTTACTTGTATTTTAGTCTCCAGTGTTCGAATTAAAAGTTAAATAATATTTAATGATAAAGGAAATTTATATTTTAAGATATGCTTACTTAACGACACAATATTTATTTATTTTGTTTGAGTTTTATGCACGATTAAAAAATATACATATTTAATTAATAATAATGTATAAAAAGCTCTATATACATATATGCTAATATAGTTTTATATATCACCTCGCTTGGAATCCTATGAAACACAGTGTATTGTGAAATGAGTTGTTTACTATGTTCGTATTTTGTAGCGGCTCTTCGATTCCGTTCAAGTTACTCGCGGTCGGACCGCGTGTATGCATTTACGTCGACGGGTAGGAGAAACAAAAATGAGCTCTAATATTTGGAGACACGGCTAAAATTGCAACGAAGCAAACCAATTTTCCTAATTTGTGTGAGTTGAAGGAGCGCAGTGTGCGTTATAGGTCGACTGCATTTTCGAAGGACAATAATCTCTCGTTCTCACCACTACTCTACTACGTGTTTTTGTCGCTGACATTCCAAAGCCGAGAGTCGTATCGACATTCTGGTCGGTGATCGGTTACATTTTATTGTTTCCGAGCCAAGGTTCAGTAGTTCCCTATTGCATCGCGACTTTACAACGTGGAATTTAAATTGCCCGAATCGCTTGTAACATCGTCGGATCGTTAGCAGATTAAACAAATACAGGATATTCCGAAAAGGAATTGTTATTCATAGAGAGTTGCCGCAGAACTATTTGGAATTTTTAGAAAGTCGACGTTAAGTAACGTTACGTCCCTACGGCAGGGTCCGAGTTCGTAACCAGTCAATTAAATCGGAATAGTGGCACATTTAACTATCTCTTTCCCACTTAGGAGAGATCCCGGCGTGCGCGCCACTTGATGATTCATGTTCAAATTCCATACCTGCGATTGATAACAGCCCAGGCAGTGAATGACAGAAACGTTTACTTACAAATAAAAATGCGTAATTATTATGAACGAATTGAGAAGTAATTTCATTCAAGCCTTTATTATTATGGCATTTCATTCAATAGACGTACGGATGGCAAAAAAAAGCCTTTTATAGTACTACCTTCATGGGCCAAATATCAAAAGGAGATCTATCATCATACTAGGTACTTAAAATTAATTTATAGTAAAATAAATTTAAGTCACTCATGTACTTCTAATAGAACATATCTACGACGTAAACATATGTACGTTTACAATATTACTGCGTAGTAAGAACTCATAGAAAAACTTGTTTGCTTTGCGTTAGACGAGAGACAGTGGATCTTAAATATTATTTTATAGAGAAAACATATGTTTACTGGTCTAAGAAGATTAGTACTTGAAAGTTGAAACGCTCATACTGTTCCCCCTTCCTGGTTTTAAAATAAGTCGAGCTTAAATTAACTCTCCTTTCAAAATAGTTTAGATAATCGCTAGGAACTAGCAATAAATTGGGAACGTGATGACTTCCTTGTACCCGCTTGTTATTGGTATGGGAATTTCTTATATGTGTCAGTGTATATTAGGGCCTCCTCCGTATAATGGAATGAGAAAAAAAGGCACTCGACATCGATTTTATTGAATAATAATAGAGCGCTGTTGTTTAATAAAAATTAAATACCATTTACGAATTTTAAAGCTAAGTTCTTTATTGCCAAATCTCGTGAGCCATTTTGATAGTTTCAGTAACTTTATGGATAAGAAATGTAAATATGAACTTATGAATATAAAAGTACCTGAATCAAGTCGGTAAGGAATGTCACCGTTAAACATTAAAAGAGTAAACAAAAAAATTATCATCAAATAGTAGGTAAGGCTAATGGAATGCAATCAAAAGTGAAGCATGTGTACGGAGTTTGAGATTCCAGAGTTTATATTGTAGGTGCATTGGATTAGGGCTGTGCAACGGGAGAAATATAACGAAATACAAAAAAAAAATTAAAATGTAGTAAATATATTTCTGAATATTATTAAGGTTATTTATTTATTTTTGTCAAATTTTAACTGTCATAACAGACAGAATCCAATGCGACAATGACTTAGAACACCTTAACCAACGTATATGTAAATTATATTAAAAACAATAAGTATTATAATATATATATAAGTTGTAAGTTTGTATACTTGTTAATAAAAAATATTTTTCCTATATTTTAGAATATTAATCATATGCGCTTATAATTTTTTAACTACGGCCAGTTGTTCGGATGCTTTACAAGAGTCATGATCACTGGCTCCTCATGTTTCAATAACTAATACTTACGTTTTTGTTTAGTTTTAATTTAAATTTACAATTAATCCAGATTTAAAAGTTGTGTATGATTTCAGTTTTTAAAAGTACATAATTTTGAGTTCGTGCCCGTGTAACTAACTTATTTAATTACATTAGATCACAAAAAAAAAACGTTGCGTAGTTTTAAAGATTTAAGCGCACATAGGGACAGACAATTGTATGTTTATATCTATATTATTGTATACTATGTAGTGAAGCAATCAATAAAAATCTTTTCCATTGTCGCTCTTCAATAGCTAATAAATTACCGCCATAAAATGACTTTAATTGTCACGGTATCGAGCCGAGAGATCAAAATATTTATACGGGCGTGGATGGCACCGCGGGGTGTGGTTAGTGCATTTCGTAAAGAATTGGAGACAACCCTAGATGCGGGTGTTTGAGGCCGTCGACTCGCAACACGCTGAGTAAACAAGCACACACGCCGTAGCTGGCGGGTGCCGCTACTGACAGAACTCACATTATGTCCAAAAAAACCTAAAATATCTAACAGACCTATGTTTGGAGAGCCACGGGCATTCATAAATGCCAGAAGTAGACAAAATTGACCAATAATCTAAAATGTAAAAAAATACACAATTAACACACATTTATTTCAGTTAAGCTGACATAGATTTGAATTAAATTGAACCTACTTTGTAGAGTCGCTATATGTGTGCATAACATTTACTGTTAGTAAGAGATTCGACACAATTTATTTTGTATCTTAAATTGATTACAAAACTATCAGTTATTCATAACGTATATTTGAACATAAGCTTATTTATTTTAAGTTATATTATAATCTTTGAAAGTTGTGTAGTTTTTTTTTAAGTGTTGTAAAATGTAATGCTAGAAAAACACATCTTTATATTTGCCTAGCTCTAGCATCAAATTACTTGTTATATTTTAAATATGAATTATAACGATCAAAGGAACATAATCATAAAAATAGCATCAATAATCATCGAGCTTTTACCAAATCAATCTGCGCGACTTGAAAACTTCTATTAAATGTACCTACACAACGCAATAGTTAAAAACAAAGACGAAAAATGAATCAAATACTAGAAGCGGAAATACGGCGCATTTTTTTGTTTGTTATTGGTTATTCGATTCGGTTACCGATAAAATAATGATTTAAGAGGTCCACAGGTCAACATTATCAGAGTTCTGATGATTCTGAAATACAACAAAACATTTATTGTGAATCAATGAATCATGGCATATTCTTTGCTGGTTTAATTCGAAGGGATCCAAAATACATTATCTTTATGTCTTAAATGTAGCTACTTAATAAATTAATACTGAGTATAGTAAAGTAAGCTTTAGTATAAGAATTCTCGTAAATAGTATTAAGTATGAAGTACGTAAACATGTTGTGTGTGCTTATAAACGAGTTGTGTTAGCGCGTGGTGAAGGAACGCGACGCACCGTGCAGTGCTACGGCAATGAATGAAGAGGTACCAGAAACGTAACCTAAATACCGCACATTCTTCAGTCCCCGTCTTCTCCACGTGTTCCGACGCGTACCTACCGCCGGCTGCTTCGAATGCGCTTAAAAGTTATGCCCGAATCTATTAGCCAACTGACATTCTTCAAAACAGATGGAAACTAAGCCGTGTTAGTCACGATAATGTTACAATTAAAAAAAAAAGAGAAATTGACATCAAATACTGTCTATAGTTTACGCGAGTAGTACACATTTAAACTTATTTGAAAATTATTTTTAACTTCGGCCCGACGTTTCGCATGCTTTGCAGCAGCGGTCTCCCCGTGACCACAGCTAAGGCAAGTTAAAAATCATTTTCAAATAAGTTTAACTAATATATCGCGTTTTAAACCGTTAAAGTGTTTTATTTAAAAGAAATTGACATCGCTAAATCATAAAATGTCGAACTAGCAAACTTTTAGATGTTTATTAGTCATCGATTCTGATAAAATACTTAGTCATAACATCGAGCGAATTTTTCTTCCGGATATTTGTCGCATTAAGTAATACAACTACGAAGAAATACTCGAAGCTTAAAATTCAAATGTCGAAGGACGAAATGGTTGCGCGTCCGTTAATTAAAAATGGGTACCAATAGGTACTGTCGAGTCCCTTAAAATGAGGTCTTTAACCTTCGCAGCTCTAGCGATATCTAAGTTCATTCTTTAATTCGTTTCCCACGTTATTTTTTGTGAAGAAGTCCGATAAGGGGAATACTATACCCTTTCGTAGTTCTGTAAGCGATCGTCGGCCCTTATTTATTGCTAATAGATTTCCAAACGGTAAATGTCTTAGTGTGCATTCAAAAGAGGGGACCGTCCACTTAATGCAATCTCACAAAGCATCGATTACCTTTTAATATTCATATATTTAAAACTTTTGAATGTTTCATAATTGTATATATTTTAATTTTAAGTAGTTGCGTACGGGCGATTATAATTTATCTAAATTATCGGACGATTTTATTTCAAACTATAAAGACGCATTCTTGCATACATTGGTATGTAGGAGAAAGCGTATGTTATAAACTTTGTTATTTTTAAGTTATTAATTTTGTTTAATATACGATATAATTTGTTAATTTACATAAGAATATATTCGATAAATATTGATCTCATAATTCATACTTGAAATTAAGTATTGTCTGTAGATAACGCAAGTACGACAATTAAACAAAAACCCTTTTCGGGGTTTAAAATGGGCCTGACATTTTGGAAGCTTTGCGGCACCGTGGTCATGAAGAAATGTCGTAGTTTAAGTACCTGTAAATAATCTGACTTGTATATTTCCTATTTTAAACCTTTCAAAATGTTTTACTTAAGTTGACATTGATAGTTTAACTATTATAAGTGTAATACTGTGATACATATATTTCAACTAACCGCATTTTCATGTTTTTCTGTTGCATTAGTTTTTTCGTCTCAAATAAACTTCACTAGATGATATCTTAGTATATTTTTTGTAACCATATATTATAACTTTTATATAAAAGGCACAAGATATAGATTGTAAGTTTGCCATGTAAATAATATGTTTGAAAATATAATACAATTCCCCTTTTTAAATTAGCTCGAAATATGCATTATCCTACTTGGGATCTTTTTGTACTGTAACAATGGAGGTTTTTTCTCTATAACAAAAGATGTGTTTTTTACAGGTGCGGGGAATGCGAGCGGCAGCGGTGCCACGGGTACGACGCGTCGCGGACGCTGCAAGTGGTTTAACGTGGCCAAGGGATGGGGCTTCATCACCCCTGATGATGGCGGCCAGGATGTCTTTGTTCACCAGGTGAATATGATATTCAAATCGTCGCTATTCGAAAACGCCTTGCGTTAAGCACGACAAATTCAAATTTCGAATGATAATATGTTTTAAAGTGCTTTTTCTGCGTATAATGGTAAACTATCACCGGTTCGTTGGTTTAATCATATGCGTAATAAGCGACGCATCGTAGTTTCGAACTTCTCCGGGTCAAATATATTTCCAATTAAATTTATAAATTTTTGAAACACGTCTTAGTCTAGAAATCGGGATATTAAATGGATTATATCGTAATTGTGTCCAGGTCACAAACCTCTGTCCACAGATGAAAAATCCGTGAAGTTTTAATTACATTTTGGTTTTAGGCAATGGATATAAGATTAAATAAAAAAGGTCCAAATATAAAAGCCAAAATGGATCGACAGTGTACCTTGAGATGTTATTCAAATCTTTATAGTAAAAAAGCCCAATAACTTTTTTGTTAATAAATTGATATTTTTATAAATAAATTATGGCTGAGTTATTCATAGTATACATTCTTTTAAAGAAAATGTAAAGAACCAATAAATATTAAATAGATGTAAAGATACTAATGAAATATCTATTCCCCAACCAGGATCGATAAAACATTGTTTTATGCGCCTGCGTCGGAATGTCGTAGTCAACATTTCGTCATACATCGAAGTAAATCTATTTTATTTAAATGCGTACGTAGATTCTTATTCTTGACTGTTGAGAAAACACTGCGTATCTAGCGGTTGACCTGATAGCGAGCTTATTTGTTTGTTCGGCTTATCAACTCCGGATGTTTTTTATACATTTACGCCATTAAAATTCGGTTGCAAGCGCCCGAGCGGTAAAATCACTAGTATTATAGTGAAGAGGGCTGAAAAAGTTTGTTTATAATTTGAATAATTTGAATTCAATCTACACATTTAACTAGGATGCCTAAAGGCTATGCAAATTTTCGCTGCGACAAACAAAATCCAGATAACCACATTTAAATAAAACACTTTAACGGTTTAAAACGCGATATATTAGTATACCGACCGACAGCATAATAACATGCTGAAAAAAACTACAATTATTTTTAATGCGGAGCTATTATTACGTGAACTGCAAACCCGAGTAAATAAAACACTTAACGGTCTAAGATATGCATTCGACACCGTCTTAACCACGCGGAAAGTAAAATAAAAACTAATTGTCGGATTTTAATTATATACTAACATGTCGTGTTTTAAACCATGTAATTAACTAAATGATTTAAATTATCCTATTCGCGTTAACAATAAACGGTATAGTTTATAATAAAGTAACAATGTTTAATCATTACATGAGCTGCTCGAATAAATAAAACTCTTTTGACTGTTTAAAACGTGTATTCGACACAATCGCAGTCACGTTAAAAGTATACTCAATCGTTTTTATATTTAAACTTTTTTTTTTTTTTTTTCCCTGGGGGGTTTTTTTTTTTTTTTTTTTTTTTTTTTTTTTTGGGGGGGGGGGGTTTTTTTTTTTTTTTTTTTTTTTTTTTTTTTTTTTTTTTTTTTTTTTTTTTTTTTTTTTTTTTTTTTTTTTTTGGTTTTTTATCAAATATTATTATTTATTAATTTTTTTCCACTTTGAAAACTAATATTTTTCACAACATGACATTATATTGGACACGGTAGTTCAATTGGTTAGAGCAGATGCATGGAACGGCGTGGATGCCTGTTCAAGTACCGCCCGTGTCTTAATATAAATTCTTTATTGTAACTCAAACAGTTGTATCAAATATATATATACATATAACATTATAATAAAAAAGATCTACAAAATATGTGTGTAAATGGCGGACTGATCGCCGTAGAGTGATCTCTTGCTTCTTTAATATCGGGTATAACCGCAAGACGCAGCTAACTCCTATAATAGGTCAAGACTATGTTATTGGGTAACGATAAGGTCCAATATTTTGACACGATATAGTTACTCCACGCTCGTTCCGGTCGAAGGGTGAGATAACGAAAAATACTGATAAACGAGCGCCTACTTCATTCATGAACGCGCACTAACCATTTAAATACTCACAGTTGTTTAAATAAAACATTTTAACGGTTTAAAACGCGATATGTATTAGTTAAACGTGATTAAGGAAAGACACGAGCACGCGACAATTACAATGCATGCGAAACGTCGGGCCGTAGTTAAAATAATTTTCTAATAAGTTAAACTAATATATATCGCGTTATAAACAGTTTAAATGTTTTATTTAAGCAACTGTGAGTATTTAAAAAGGTGCTTTATTTAAATGTGTAGGTACTACTCGCGTAAACAACTGTCAGTAAGTAAATATAATGATCTGATGATGACTGTCTGTATTATGTAATACCTACTTTTCAAAGTATTCCTGTGTAGCTCTAAGCGAAAGTCCTTCGAAGTTTTGAAAGACGATTCTATGAGCACAAGGTGTAAAAATGATATGCATACTAGTAAATAAAATAAATATTGAAAACGGACATTCAGAAGTTTCTCAAGCGAAAGAGGCACCACAGATGCATATCTTGTCTATATATGGATTCGTGTTTTCTCAATACTTTTCATTACTTCATCAGTTAGGCACCAAAAATATATGTTCCGGTACACATCTGATGCTTAATCAAAGATATCGTAAGGAAAATGGCATTTCCTGGTGACGAATGCTCGACGATGTGTCATCTGCACAATACGCATTGAGCTTGTTAGATTAAAGCTCTTAAAGCTCTAGTAGGTCGCCATTAAATAGAAAAGACTAATAAGAATACTAGACTAGAAGAATTACATTATTAACAATCGTAATATATATTATAAAAAAGAATTACTAAATATATATAAAATAATTAAAAACTTACTCTACTACGACTATTGTCCCAACACTGATATTCTGTGGCCACATCAGAAGCCGAGCTAACACAAGTGAGATAATTTGACATTTTGTCAATTAAGTACGTAGAAATAAAACACTTTAACGGTTTTAAACGCCATATATATTGCCGGACGGCCAGACGTTTCGGTTGCTCTGCAGCATGCTCTGCGACTTCGCGTCCTCCGAGTCTTACGCGTTTTAAACCGTCAAAGTGTTTTATTTTAATTTGTACTACTCTCGTAAATTACAGACAGTATTAATTAAGTATGCTTATACACGAACACTTAACAAACAACAAAACTACATTAATTTTAATTTAGTATTCGATAAACAATTGCTTAGCAAAATTGACACTTACAATTCTAGCTGCAAAAACCATTAAAAACTAGTTTTAACCTGACTTTATGCATCAGCAGCTAAAACAACTTTTCATGTTTCAGAGCGTTATTCAAATGCCTGGCTTCCGATCGCTGGGTGATGATGAAGAGGTAGAGTTCGAATGCAAGGATTCTGACAAAGGCCTCGAAGCTACCCGCGTCTCTGGGCCGTCCTCGGTGGACTGCCAGGGTTCACACCGGCGTCCGATATCCAAAAAGCGCTTCAGAAAAATACGGTAAATATTAATAAGAGAGGCTATTTTTGTGTGTTCACTGTTGTATAATAAACTAGCGACCCGCCCCGACTTCGCTGGGGTGCAATGCTGACACAAAACATACTACAGACAGACTGTGAAAGTTGTATATAAAAACCATTCTCTTGAATCACTCTATCTATAAAAAACCGCATCAAAATGCGTTGCTTCGTTTGAAAGAATTAAGCGTACGTAAGGACAGAAAGAGCGACTTTGTTTTATGCTATACTAGTTGTACCCACGACGTCGTCCTCGTGGAACAGTGACTTGTGGTAGAATTTTTAATTATTTTGGCTGTTTATTAATTTATATAAGGACGTATCTAAGGCAGCCAATCTATGTTGTAAGTGCTACTTTGCCGCACACTCCACTGTGAGAGTCGGAGTGTTGCTCACATCACTCCTACTCTAACTCCCACTCTCACTCCCACTAATATTCCCAAAAAGCCAAAGAAGATAGTTTCATAGTTCTAGCTTCAAAAACCACGAATTTCCATACAAACTTTCATCCCTTTTTAACCCAAAAAACCTTTTTTTTGTTTAAAATTTTTTTTTTTTTTTTTTTTTTTTTTTTTTTTTTTTCCCCCCTCTTTTTTCCTCAATAAATGCTCTAACCAACACTAAAATAATTTTTCAACTCGAACGTAGTTCTTGAGATAAGCGCGTTCAAACAAACTCTTTTAGGTTAGGATATATATAAACATGCATGTAATTTTAAAGAAAAAAATGTATTGAAATAATTTAAATTTGTAGGCGTTTGTGTGTTGAGGTTTTTGTGTGTGTCTTTATTAAGCGCTATCTTGCGTCCTTTTCATTATTCAAAATGGTATAATCAAATTAGAACTGTCCATGTTTCAGATGCTACAATTGTGGGGAATTCGCCAACCACATTGCGGCAAAGTGCAGCTTGGGTCCACAACCAAAGAGATGTCACAACTGCAAAAGCGAGGGCCACCTGATCGCAGATTGTCCGGTGAAGGTGCCTTTATATATTTATGGCTAAGGAACATTAAAATCATTCATTCATACAATTACAATAGAATGTAAAATGTATTCTTTTTGGGTTATTCTTTGTATCGCAACTTCCAAATTATATTAGGTTTTATGGGTAGAACAATGTAGAGTTAACTTTATAAAATGACAGTAAAAGAAAGCAATTTTGATTGTGTATAACGTGACCATTGCAGCCTAAACGTCGGGTCATACTAAAAAAGTAATATCTTTCGTGTTTTAAACCTTTTAATTTTTAGATTAAAGGGTAAATTTGAGCCTTTTTTAAAGATTGTACTATGAACTGGAGCATTTTCGTGAAGACTAACAAATGCTATACATTTTCTACGTTTATTTTTTGTTTCTCAATACATTTTATACATTTATTCGCCAGGCATAAAAATCGTGCCGCGTATAACAGGGATCACTCGCTACTATATTACCTAACGTTTCAAATAAAAACTACGATATAGCTAACTGAATTTTACTTTTCTTTAAGGTTGAGAAGAAAGCTGACGAATCACAATCAAAGCAATCGGAAAGTTCCCAAGGAAGCCCACAATAGCATTTCGGCCCACTAACCGGCTTCAGTTGAGGTAGAGGTAGCCAGCACGTAAGACTTCACAATCCTACCCTAAGCCATGTATTCTAACGTTATTTAATATTTAATGAAAAGACGCATCACAACATTGCCAGATTTTCCAAAATATTGAATGGTAATTCATAATGTTAATTTGTTAAGATTTTTTTTATTTTAATTAAACATAGAGTAATTTCGAAGTATTTGACCAAAGAAGTCGGTTATGTATTTAGGAACTGTCCCCGCTGTAACAATAATCATAACGCGATTGTTTCTATGTGTACAATAGAACGAGAGCATCTTAATTATAAGTACCTTAATCTGGAATCAAACTACCTCATTGACAAAGACGAGTAAAATATTAATTTGTATTTAAGTACAAGACTGAAGAGTAACAATTCAAGTACAAAAATATTTTACTTATAGACTTTTAACTTTCAATTGTAACGTAGTACAAATTTTTATGTGTTCGAGTGTTTTATACTCAATTTTTTTTACATAATAATTATACCCAAAGTTGTGTGTTTTATAATATGACTATTTTAATATAATTATGTTGTTGTTATAATACGCCCAATTTTATCTGTTTTAAGGATAGATATACTATTTTAAGTTCGCATATAAGGTAAGATATAGAAAACATAATTATAACGGGAACACATTATATTCGATTCGGTGGTTCAATGACAGGGACATGACTAATACAAAGGCATCGTGGATTCGCTTCCCAACGAATTACTTGTCTTAATTGTAACAAAAGACACAACAAAGAAATTACAACCGTCATCAAGCGATCCCCAAGCTTGCCCTTGTCAAAAAAGTCAGTCACTTTTTTCCTGTAAAACAATTCATCGAAAAAATAACTTTTAGTAAAAACTTACAGTGTCTATGTAAAATGCTCACTAAAAGTTTAAGCACAAGATCACAACAAAAAACACCGAGCAAATAAAAATGTACATTAATAAATTTCGACTTAAAAAAAATCAACAATTATATACAAATAATTAGACAGAAAAATATCCTGATTTGACTATGTTGTAAAAAATAATTCTCAGGATGTTGAGAAAAATAATTCATAGCTAAATCTTTAAGCGTTTAAAAATTGTGAGCCTTCATGAATTTTGTTGTTTGCTAATACTTGCCGTTTCGTGTCATAAAATCAACTTTAATATAGTAAAATGGTGTATTTTGCTCAAGTTAGGAAACATAATTTAAGATATTTTCTATATTATAACTGAAACCCATCGAATAATATTGTAAAAGTGTATAATGCAGCAAATCTGCCAAAAAAGAAAAGTTCTTTTGATTGTATACACAATCCTTTAATTGTACTTACTATTAGATAAGAAACATTTTTGGTTGTATACTGGGGTAACCGATTGTTCTGTGGACATTATATGTAGCTGAATAACATTAATTAACGTAAGAAATACTAGAGGAATGCTCTAATTTAAATAAAACCGTTATAAAATCGTTTTTAATGATGCAAAACTAAATGTAACTCCTAGTGAGGTATTTTACGATTTCACCTAATTATCTATATAAGCCAGTGACACGCTGACTGCACACGTATTCAAAGGAAGTCTTTTATCGTGCTAACGAACAGTTTTTGTCTAATTGATGAAGCAATTAACATATCCGCGTGGAATTTATCAATTTCTGTAGATAAGTTCTATTCCCCTAAGTTTTTATGTCTTTTTTTAATAGGTTAAGCGGACAACACTAAATAATGACGTTTGATTATACAATGATTTTTATCGACCACGCTCCGATGAGTTAACGGTAATGTTTGTTTTGTCAAATGTAGCGAGCTATGGTATTTGTAAGTACTTAACCTTTTTAATTTGACGTTCTTGCTAATATGTCAAAACTGTTATCAATCAAATCACAAAACGACAAAACGAAACGACGAAAAAATATCTTCTCTCTTAATATACATTTTCAAGATAATTTGATGTTATTTATTCATTCATTCTTTATTCTTACGAATATAAAAAATCAAGCATATGATTGTCATCAATACTTTTAATTTGAAAAACACGTAGAATAAATATTATTTTCCAGTAAATTTTTCAGGTTGAATTTCCGTCATGTTAATTTTGCTTATAGCATATTTTACTCGCGTCGCCTAAAATCGTTTGATGTTTTGTTTTTAAAGTTCTCCTATTTTAAAATTTATAGCGGAATATCCAAACATATTAACGTTATCACTTGGCTCGGCCAATGCTGATTCAAATGTATGGATGGATAATATTTTAAAATCGAAAATAAATTGAAAAAATTTTCGACTCGGGCAGGACCTGAACCGTCATCGTCAGCTTTCCGTGCTGTTGCTCTACCAATTGAGCTACCGAGTCCTACAAAATTTTCGCCTCGGGCAGGACTTGGATAATATTTTTTCGTTTAGCACTTAATATTAAAGTACTTACAGATACTAAACTCTCTTTAAAATATAATTATAACGGAATATTTCGCCTAATGAGTATGTAAACATATAATTTACCTAATTAATAAGAAGAGTTTTGTAGTATTACAATGGAGCATACATATTATTCAAATAAGGTATTAAATATACGGGTTTTAAGTGTCTATTTTAGATTAGGAGATAAGTAACTATTTATAAGGTTTTGAAGACTATTTGAAATCATCTACCTCACATTTTATCGAAATAAAAGAGTCTATTAATAAGTTAAATAATATTGTAAACATATACAAAGTCTAGAATTATTTTTTCAACTAATTCTTCGTGGGTTAATTGAAGATTTTGTATTATTTCATATGATTAGAGTTTAAATTTTGTTCTTTTTTATTTTTCAAAGAAAAATAAATCGAAAAAATGCAAGTGTATGTTTTATTTCAACCCAAAATTTTGCCTGCGACTTTTTCTGGTTGGAAAAGTAACTTTTGGTTTTTATATATTTTTAATATGCTTAAAGTTGAACTTCATGTTTTACACGGGTATGCAATACAAGTAAAAAAAATTATTAGTCTAACCTTGTAATAGAAATGGGATACAACTTTTTACAAAAAGTAACAAAGCTTTATATTATAGTCTTTTGTCACAAAGGAATAGTTAAACACATGTTTGCACATTTTCGGTAAACATCAATTGATCTTTTCACCAAAAAGGTGTTTCTTTTTCATCTTTGATACCAAAAGGTTTTTTTACTTAACAATTTGCTTCATCAAATATTTTATAGATGGCGGGTTGTTCGAAGTACTGTGGTGCCATCTAGCGAAAAGTTTTAATTTCTTTTGTAGTTGTGAGCTTTGAAAGCGTTTTTCGTTGTTGAGACTTGAAGACAAAATTCAGTACAGGACTTATATTTTTAAGCCTTGATAACAAAGATGGCACCATAATACTATGTATTAGTGTTTTAAGGAAGAGAATTGTAGTATAAATATTAAAACAACATATTTGATATAAGCTATAAGTTTTTCTCTGAATTAATTAAAATGTTTCCGCCTAAAAATCTAGTATTTCAGAGTAGATTCCAAATATATGTATTAAACTACTAAGGCACAGTATAGATAGGTTCATCTGGTGGCGTTGGGCGACGTTTTTCAGCTACGCTCGCCCAACCGCCCAAGGATGGGCGCGAGGATGCAGCACTCTGAAATACCTCGCCCCCCGCCCTGTCGCCCCTCCCGCCCCGCGCGCCCGCCCTCGCCCCTCGCTGACGTAACGTTGCCGTGTCCGCCTCCGCCCAGTGTGTGTCGCGCCGCGAGCCGATCAAACGGGCATCACTCACTCGCTCAGCACGAGATTGTGCAAATCACTTGACGTTTCACTCTTTGATCATCATATCTCGTATCGAACACAATTAGCAGGTGCATTACGACGCTGTGCCCGCGATCAACTACCGCCTGTGCTTATTCAAACACCCGTTTCGTCGACTCTCTCGATCCCATCCCTACAGCTTCACTTTAATAACATAGATTTTTAACGACGTTTAGATTTTTATTCTATTGATTTTCAGCATAAATATTAAAATAAGACGATTCGCATTCTCGTTTTTGGTTGTTTAGGATTCACGCCTTAGGTTGTTGAAATAAAATAGGTAGATTTAGCTAAAAGCCTATAGTAGCAATTTGACATTTTGAGCAATTGGATATTCACGAACAAATCTCAAGATCGAAGATTATCGAAAAGGGTGTCCGTATTTATGTTAATTTTAGCCGAACGAATCGATTTTTAGGTACTTAGTCTTTTAAAAATTTCTTAAGTTAAACGGTTGTGATTCCTCGTGACATTGAGTAAAATATAAATAGCTTCGACACTAATTGGCCATTATGTGCTCATGGTAAGTTAAATGTGGCTGACTGGGAAAAAGTAGTGAAAGATATGCTTCATAGAGTTTAGCATCATCGCAGTAAGCTTCCGAGAGTCGAAAGCTAATAAGAGCAATCATTCGCAACCATCAAGTAGTTGTACAAATATACGATAGTCATTCTAGTGTCATTCTGTAATTAATTCAACCTATCAGACATGTTCATGAATCGTTATTAGTTAAGAATGTTAGTTAAAGCATGAGAGAATTTTAGTGCGATTTTTTAATACTCATTACTGCATTCTTGGAGTGAATAAAATAAGTATTTGTTACTTTTATTTACGAAAACTGTGCCACTTATAAAGTGGTATTCGCATCTGGAGGGCCTGACTACTTTGCCTGCAATTCCGTTCGCATGAGTGTCTGAAAGCGTTTGCTCGGACCATGACCTCAAAACTCACATAGACATGCGAGTATGCAACTTAGCGAAAAGGGACATCTAGTTTGTAAAATTATTTCCCAATGTAAAGCTAGCATCTCTCACACTTTAATGCGAGATTAATATTTCTAGCTCCGTCTTGTAATAGTTTACCGACGTCATAAACCAGCAGAGTAATGGTTAGATAAAAACGACATGCTTTAAAAATATTACAAGTTCTCCTATAGTAAAGATCTTATTTGCTTTTGAAGGTATAATAAATATAAAATTGAAACAAAATAGACTCGTAACTAGATCAAGAACGTTAGAGAAACATTTATGCAATTACAGCAAAATTGTCTGCCTTGCAAAGTTTTTCAATACTCTAAGGGCATCACGTCTATATTATATATATTAAAAGACCTTAATATGTATGATATTTAAATAAAACATTTTAACGGTTTAAAACGCGATATATTAGTTAAACTTATTTGAAAATGATTTTTAACTTCGGCCCGACGTTTCGGATGCTTTGCAGCAGCCGTGGTCACGGGGAGACCGATGATATTTCTATAAGTATAGTTGTGAGTTAAAAAAAATAATTTATATTTAAAGTAGTATCTTACTTTCCTCCATTGTATCATTAATAATATTTGTAGTGTTAAAAAAAGGGTTACATTTTCTTACATTTAGTTTATCTTAGTACAAAATGTCCTCCACATTATTCTTTTAAACTTCACGTTAGATAATGTTACGCTGTAATTATGTTATGTAAAGATAACAATAACTAGAACTAGTAATTTAGTATGAATCATTGAAACTTTATTCGTTAAAGCTGTCTAAATGAAATCAGAAGAGAGGATTAAAAAGCCTTAATTTCTGTTAAATGAGTTAGACAAAACTTAATATACAGATGAATAGATGAAATATTTGAAATCTTTTTTCTTAATATTAAAAAAAAGATTATATAAAAGACACATTATTTTCGAAATTCAAATTCTAAATCATTTATTATATACTAAACAATATAATACAGTTAAAATCTAAATAATTTTATTCATAATTTGTCTGAACAAAGATGTACTTATAAAAAAAAGTAAAAATCGAATTAACAAACTTGTTTTTTTATAGATATGTGTATCTATAATATATCGTTTAAAAGGCTCTTATTCGTTTTATTAAATGTAGTACAATTTAAAATCTATTTGGCGTTATAATATAAAATAGCATGGTTTCCCATGTATAGACATCGATAGCACTGTTGAAAAGGAAAATGTTTCGTAGCCGACTCGTAGCGTGCTCGTAGCAGCGCCTACGTGTTTGAGGTACTATAGAAAAAAGTATATAATTTTTTTATTATTTTCTTAGCATTAGATTTATATTATATAAACAACTGCTATCATACTGTAAGTACTTAACTTATGTACAATTTTTTTTTATGTAAAACTTTATAAATTAGCAAATATGAATTCTGGGTTATCTTCTTTTATAAAATAGTTTTCACTATTTTGTCTCTCTAGTTAGAGTTACACACGTTTTAGAGAGCGTGGAGTGTCGTAGTACCACGTTCAAGGCGCACACGAAATTCCAAAAGATTTTTATTATATAAAATTATATCTTTCATTATAAAAATGTAGTTGAATATTAACATAGTTCCATAGAATGGATAAAACGCATTTTTGTAGCTAATAGATCATCTATATGACTTCTGAAATCTTAGAATTTCAGAATGTAAGATGACCATATATGGGGATTTATAGTACAATACATTCAAATTTTTAATTTTCTAGTTAACTCTTTAAATCAGTGATAGTACAATGATAGGGAACGCATCTGTTATTGTGTTAGGCGCGAAGTTTTCTGAATTCGAATCCTGCGGAAAAACAAAATTTAAGTTGGGCTAGGCTTAAACGTCTTAACGAGTTCCGATAAATGTTATAGGGCACAGAATTGTTGCCATATAATATTCTTAAATTTAAGAGTCACCCTGTTTTACTGAAAAGATGCTTTGTTTTCTGTGTGTTTGCCAAATAACTTTTTTTATCGAACCCGGGACTAGATAATGATATATACGCAATGCGCTCCATTGCTTTTTGCTGCAAGTTTATATGATGTTAAGAATTTTACTAAGTGAATTAGATTATGTTATTTCGTTGAGGCAGCTGCATTCGATTGGAAAATAACTAGACTAGGCAGATCAACGAAAGACTATGCAACCATACGTAAGATAAATTAAAACTAATAGTGGAAAATATACATACAGTCCGTATAAATCCGTCATAAATATATTTTTAAATTAAACAAAATATTACATGCAACAGGTGTTTTCTTAAGATTTTTATACAAATTTCATAAATGCCAACAACTCACTCCATTTGAAAGTTAGTAATTCAATGATTTCAGTAATTGACGTATGAGATATATACACTTTTAACAAATATACCTTTAACGGTCCAAAATACGAATTAATTTTTATTTAAATGTAGATCGATTCTTCAGTATGACCCGACATTTTAGATACTGTCAGTGGTCGTGGTCACGGGAGAATTCATTACGTGTTTTAAGTCGTAAAAGGCGTTTTATTGAATCTTCTGTAAATTATAAAAATAATGTTTTAATAATTGATTTACATAGAGCAGAATGCCCACTTTGTTAGTTCTATTTTTTCTGTATAAATTAAATAATCTATCTTATTATTAAACCGAAACATGAATTACTGTGTCGATTCACGTAATCGAGGAAAAGACTTATTCAATGCGGGCTTTAGAAAACGTGGCGTTAACTCTAACGGTTTCAATAATGTTGACTTAGTACTTTGTATGTTATTAGACTTATTATTCATGAAAAGTGCCCATACCAACTCGTCTTTTTAATAATATCTTCTTAAATATCATATATACTTTTTAAAATTATATTTATCTATAGATTTTTATGACGCGGATGTCCCTTCTTTCATATTTTTCAAATGTAAATAGTAAATGTAGTGGTTACAGGTAGAGATATACTATATGTGTGGTATAATAATAGTCTAAAATGAACTATTAAATCACTTGGTGGACCACAGCAAGCATCCTACAGTCATGGACCAAAATCGAATGTCTCGGGAAAACTGCGCGCGCATCGCCCTCCCCCGCGCACCGCCCCGCAAGAACTCATTGATGATCTTCTTAATCTCGTCATATATTACAATTATAACGGAAACCTTTGCGGCGATTCCGTTCAAACGATACGTATTCGAAATAAATCTATCGTGGATTAGATCGAGGTAAATCCTAGAGGTACAGTGAGAAGCGTTGGGCGCTGGCTATACCTTCTGGGTTTGGGCGTCGGTGCGTCTCGTCTTTCGGGCGTGCGCGGCGCCATTACGCGCGCCCGACACACGACCCAGTCCGCTCCGATGTCTAACAGGGCCGCCGGTGTCCACCTCGCCGTCGCTCGATCGTTGGGCCATTTTTAATACGCATTTATCTGTGTAGCGCGGTGTGCACCGACGGGTTAGTTTAGCTGGTGCCGGTAGTGAAATAGATTCGGTGTGGTCGATCGGGCACGCGCTTGCGGCTGCAGATTCGCTGGGCGCTGGTGCCAGCTGGCGGTGTTTACACGCCTCTGGTTTGCGCCTACCCGCTCGCTGCATACACCCCTCATATAACATTCGTCGCTGAATATTTAATTACGAGCGAGCTACCTCAGAGGTATTTAAAGTTTGTTCCGATCGCAGAGATTAGTCGTAGCGCACTTCGTCATAGTGTCACGAGCCTAAGACGCATTCAGCCGTAGGCCGTTTTGAGTGATAACGCGATTCGATAAATTCGGGCGCAATGGGTGCAAAAGAGAGTGTGGAGGCAGCTAAATTCTCTTCGCAAAATTGGAATAATTTCGAGGTTCGTAATACGTTTAATTTGCACTTGAAAGTGTTTGTATCCACTCCCCAATCTACTCCTGTAGGCATTTGTGACTTAAATACCTTTAAACTATGATGAGAATAATTGACTTGCACAGTATTGTATGTGATAACGTTTGCATGATCACGCACTTTTAAAACCATAATGTTAAGAACTTCTACATAAATAAAGTTGATTGGTCTATGTATCTATGTTAGTGTAAAACATCTTAATACAAATTGATCATATATGAACGAACGTGGTCTGTAGGAATGACCCACATAATTATTTTTACATACATAACTTAACCCTCTCACGGTTGAAGGCCCGACGTCAAGAACGAAATGCGGCTCTTGAATTTTAATTCCCATTTGATAGCCTAGACTTAGATATCTCAGAAAATCAATATGAACTTGAAAATATAAACTTGCGGCCTATTTACTTAGGTGATACTACTGAGTGACTATTACTGAGGTGTAGTGTAAAATAGAAATGTTAGTATATAATATTTTTATGTGCATTTCCATGCCACAGATTATACCAGTATGTTAGTCGACTGTGTGACTGTAGGTCACCGTTACAGATAGTTAACTTCGTAAGGCTTCGTAACTAAATCAAAATATAGTTTAGCTCTTCTAGACATATTATGCTCTGTGCGTTAAAGTTTAGATATACTAGGTTTTGAGAAGTATAGGTTAGGTAAACCAACTTAGTTATTTTACTGGCTTCTTGTATTATCGGGAACCCTAAGAATCAATATCCGGTTTCTAAGTAGCGTGAATGGTTAGTGAAGAAACGTACAAACATGCTCGACTGAGAATAATCATGACATTCATTTTATTAAAATATGCGACTTATTTAAATAAAACAAATCCCATCAAATAGTGAAACAGACACATCAAAATGTCTGCGTCATATCGAATCGAGATTTGATTGTTTATTATTAAATAAAGGATGTGTTTTGAAATAAGGCTCATATTTTTTTGCATGGCTGCTTCATTTCAAACGCTTAACTAAAACGCATTTTACATACAATTAAATAAATATAGTAAATTGTATACAACTGATGTGTGAACATAGTATTTGTTGAAAAGCCTTGATAAACTTGTTAATATCATCAACGTGCTATGACGTAATTCATGATGACGAATCTTGCAGCATGGAGTAAAACATCATCATAGACACGGAACGCAACGGTCGCAAAGTTTGAACCGTGGACACTCGTTGTCGCGTTCTGATGGGACCTGGTGACATCACGGGACCACGGGTATGTTTATATTTTTGTTTGTACCACATAGTGATCATTGTGTCAACGATATGGGGGATATGTGGCTGAATGGATTCTTATTTTGCATTTCATATTCCATTTATCGGGATGCCTAAGTATAATGTTACTATTTAGAATTTAAATAAAATAGTTTAACGGTTTAAAACGCGATAAAACTAATATATATCGCGGTTCAAAGAGTTAAAGTATTTTATTTAAAAGCCGAAGAAAGACATAGATCAGTACTTAGTTTGTGATTACCCCCTATTTTTAATTTGATTTTTTTTCTTAAATTATTTTTAGTTTTATAATTTCAAACACTTGACTGAAGTAATTAATATTGTAAATGACGCAATAGTTTGACGAGCTAATGAGCATTAAAGGTTTTTGGTGGTCGTGGTGGAGCACAGTTGTCTGAAGTTTTGGTGTGTAAGATTGTCTGAGATTATTTCTTGCCTTGTCACGTAATATTAAAAAAAATAACCTATGAATTATTAAAGAATACTTTATTAGCTGTATTATAGAGTACATTATTTTGAATTATATTGCAGGCAGCGTAATTCAGTGCGCCGAGTGCGGTGCGCGCACGATGGGCAATAAGCTATCATGCTCTTGCGCGCCTATCCTCCGCAAGGCGTACCGATATGAGGACAGCCCGTGGCAAAATTCCCGAAGACGTGACGGACACCTGCTAAGGTATGTGTAACATCTAAATACAACTGATAGGTTGGTTTTATAGGATCCGATGTTTAAATGTACATCGAAGGTTCATAAGAGAGAATCTAAGCTATTTAAATTTTTGTTTATGTCCGAATATCCAAAGCTAAATTAGGTCAACAGCGCAACTTGTTTACATGTCATATGGCTGGATAGTTACACTTACCATCAAGTGAATCCAATGCTTGTCTGTCGTCTTCTATCATGGAAGAAAACGGTTGTTAACAGTAGATCAAACAAAAAAGCAGTTATTGATACGTAAGCTAAAATATTAACGTAAATATACGTATATCGTGCTGCCACCTATTACTTTCACTAAATCAACGGGATAGTTCGATTAAATCCTATCGCGGACATGTGGAAACGTCAAGTAACATTTGGGACCGCACTGATGGTTGACAAAATGTCATTGACAACTTGTTATTTTGAAATCATGTTGCCGAAGGGATTTTCGGTGTTGTGACACCATCTCTTGCCCAGCGGGCACTCTGGTTCCAATCGTTAAGCGTCTTGTTCAGAGTCAATAGTAGTCTCGAACAGTCAGTTTGGTTGCAGTTAAGTGCCTTTGTATAGATATCTTATTGAATTTCCAAAAGTAATTCGTTTGAATTGATTTAATCACTGCGTATTTTGAACTATTTAAATGTGATAGTGTAATGTAAAATATGTATGACGACGTATTATACGATGTATAACCCACATACCCTCAGGCCATCCGATAACGTCACATACATCTAATAATTATAATTTCAGTCCGCTAACTTTAGTAGTGATATTTTAACCTATGCCATGCATACGTTGTGATAAATTATATTTCAATTTAATTTGATTTGTAAAATTTAACTTAATAAAAGTGACAAAATATTAAAACGATCATATAGTTTGACAAGTAAGTCACGCGGAGTACGCGTGGCTGAATGGGGTTGAGACACAAAGCTTATGAACAACCTACGCAGCGTCCGTCAAACCCCGCTGTAGGAAACGTACTAACGGACCCCGGCAACGAATTAACCAAAGCCTACCGTTTAAAGACTACCTAGCCATAAAAGGGTTAGCGGTCATTTGATGGTGTAAATAATTTTTTTTTTCTTATGGCGCCACTTCAAAACCGAGTTAACTATAGGATAGACGAGTTATATTAAAAAATAGATAAACAATCCCTAGATAATGTTTGTTTATTTTATCTTATAAGCATTATTTCTTAAACAATGTCATACATTGTCAGTATATATAGTGTTTCTGGTTTAACATATGGAGGGAGTCTGTTTTAAAGTGTAAAATTGCTGGAGAGTATGTAAGATTTTTTTCTGTTTTGTCGTATTTTAATGTATGGAGCCATTTATTTACTTGATATGTGGTCGTGGTGGAATAGGTGTGTAGGTCGTGAGGGATTATGTGTAATATAGCTTAGTGCTCCGAACTCACTATTGGATTTTAGCTTGTGTCACAATTTCCAAAAAGATTTATTATCAACTAAACTAAAAAGATACAATAAATTAATCTTTATTGCTCATCATTGTCATCTAAATGTGATTACATCCATATTCGGAGACCTTGTTATTTACATATATCAATATAACAAGAAAAGCTGCTATATCTACTATAACTAATATAAACAAATAAATTTTGACGGGCTCCTTAGTGGGTCGTGGGTTCAATTCCCACCAAGTCCAACATTTTTCTAATCAATTTATAATGTCACTGAAACACTGTAGTGTTGACTTCGTCTGAAAAATCTTAAATGGGTGATAAGAGTATCGAAATTCCGTTCGCACGAACCACCGTCCACAATTAAAAAGCCCTGAAGTTTAATTACGTTTCGATTTCAGTCTATGGAATACCGAATATCCAAAGCCAAAATATATCGACAGCGCTATACGCTGCGGTGTTTCACTTACCATCAAGGGAACCCCATGTTCGTCTGTTCTTCTCAATTATTAAAAAAATTAAAGCTCTATTTTTATTTTATTATCTTAAATTCAGGCTTAATAAAACATTTGCTTGTAACGGTAAATAGTTAAGAGCTTAAGAAATAATCTTAACTAAACATCCTTTCTAGACTATGGGCGGAGGTATTTCACGTGTCAGCCAGTGGTGCTGGGACGGTGAAGTGGCAGCAGGTCTCCGAGGACCTGGTCCCCGTTAACATCACCTGCATCCAAGACTCGCCAGAATGCGTGTTTCACATCACCGCGTACAACTCTCAAGTGGACAAGATACTCGATGTTAGACTATTACAACCGGGTACGTTTATATTATTTGTGAAGTCTAGTAAAAGTGATTACTGCACTTTAACATTCAAAAATTAACATTAAAGTTTTTAACATTTAATAATGACGATATTTATGTAGCTGATTGATACTTATGTGTGAAACGTCGATTCCCTCAGTGGGGCATGGGGCATATACGATTCGGCTTCTTGCTCAGACTGTGCTTTGCTGACCGAAATACTGTCTACCCGGGTTTCGTAACAACGTTTGAATATATGCGAGACAATCTGTATGACAGTTATGATCCAAAATTCAAATAATTAAAAACATTGTCTATAATTAAAGCAATGTTTCAATTAGGTAGGCTGATTTGAAATTTTGTACAATGCCTAATTGGTAAAGACATAACATACAATTGTCTGTATTTTACGCGAATCGTACACATTTAAATAAAACACTTTTAGCCGTTTGAAACGCGAAATATATTAGTTAACTTATTTCTAATTAAACCTATTTAGTCTCCTCATGACCACAGCTGCTGCAAAGTATAGAAATATCAGCCCATAGTTAAATGAAATAAAAATAAGGTAACCAATATATATCGCTAGTTAAACCGTTATTGTTTTTTTAACATAAAACTTTCTACTCTCCCAAAAAACCAAATCCCATTGCGATACTGAAGTATGAAAGCAGGCACGCGTTTTATAAGAATCAAATTCCCTATAAATAGATATTTTAAAATCTTGCCTTGCTCTAAAAGTATACTGCTATATTCTTTATACTACTATATTTAGTATATTCGTTTTTACTGTTAGCTTTGAACTTTATCAATTCACAAAGATCTGATCACTATTAGTAAGTCATGCTGGACGAAGTTAAAGCGAATTTTACGAGTATATCACGAAAATACAAGCCGGCCGCCACTGTAACCTAGTTTTAAATTTACTCCAGATAGTAGGTAGGTACATACACGGCAATCGACCGAAATCCACATGTACAAAAGTGCGGAGTCTGTGCGGTGTTCTCTTTGGTGGAATATATAAGTAGAAATCTCTTAATGAACACACAATAGTATTATTCGAGATAGCTCAAAGCGCCTGTGAGTGCGTGAGCTTTGCGGTTCATGTAATCAATGGGAGCTCGTTTCAAATAAAAAATAATGTGTAAAAGTACAACGAGCACTTGACAATTACTACATAGTAATGGGTACTACTGTCTATATTATATTTACTTAAATAAAACAATTTAACGGTTGCTTTATAGCATTCGAAACGTCGGGCCTTAGTTGAAATTAATTATTTTTCATTGCAGTTCCTAGTACAATATAAGTTAGGTAATTAAGTTAAAAAAACATGTGTAAGACACTTAAAGACAGCAAGTAAAGAGAAAATGGTAATTATTACTAGTGTCCAATAATATCGAAATATATATCTATAGTTTAAAAATAACTAAGACGAGAGAAACATATTGCTTTGTATTGTTAGAAGAGTTTTTTTTTTAATTTTGTTCTAACACAATAAATTAAAACTGTTTTAACGATTTAAAACACGAAATATATTAGTTAAACAATGTTTAATTAAATTAGTATGACGAAACGGATGGCGCTAGCGTAGCATATTTAACTTTGAGAATAGGGGCACCTTCCTTCCTTTCTTGTCCCTCCGTGGCCACGGCTGCTGCATCCGAAACGCTGTGCCTTAGTTTAAATAAATGAATAATAAGTTAAATAATACATTTCGTTTACTTAAATGTCTACTACTCGCGTAAAGAACGAAGTATTCGTGCAATAATTATGTTGCCATAATTTTACTACATAATGTACATAACAGTGAAGCAAAAACTTATGTAAGTTATAACTGTGTTATTGTTCTACATTTTAATTATTAATTATTCTTATTAAACTTGCTTGCAGGTACCCGTATTGGACAAGCGTCCGAATGCTTCGTGTATTGGAAAGATCCCATGACGAACGACACTTGGGGCCTCAACTTCACGTCTCCAATCGACGCCAAACAATTCAGAGAATGTTGCGTAAGTATTCTTGTAACATCATCGGAAACATTGTCCATGATATCTGTCCATCATATCTGATCATGCTTTTGTTTATAAAGTTAATTGAAACCGAGGTAGCCGTCGTTGCTATATAATCATGTTTCAAACTAAGGTATTTCTTTTTTGTTTCTGTATAGAAAACATATTTTGACTGGCTCCATGAGTTCATTGGCAGCATTCCTGATAAAAACCGGGTCTTGGGTTCAATTTCCACCTAAAATAACACCGTAAATGATTGTTCGGTTTTTCTAAACATATCGTGTGTAAAGAATGATAAACTGGACATTATGTGGTTGTTGGGTTATATCATAAATACGCGAGTTCTATGAAGATCCCGGGATGCTTCCGGGTTTTAATTGATTTAAGTTCGATATAACCCCTTTCTTCCCCTCCGTAGCGTGTTGCATATCTCAAACAAATATTCTCACGTTAAAAAAATGTCGAAAATATTTTCGTAAGTCCAATAAGTGTAATCGTCTTACAAATAATCCTTATCTGTCTTATTTGTCTGTCTGTCAACATATTTCAAAAACATTTTTTTTGGTCATAGTAATTTTATATTGTAATATAAAACAAATTTAAACATTCCAATTAAAATCGCTGAAATATACGCCACTGACGTTATATATTATGTTTCTCCGCAGATATAAAAATATGTTTACTTGTTGATCCCGTAATCCTTTAAGATTTTGCTCAATCACTCAAAACATTTAATACACCGTTTAGTAGAACTAGGTTTTATTGTACAAGGTTTACTGATATATACTGTCTATAGTTTACGGAGTAGTATACATTTAAATAAAACACTTGAACGGTTTAAAACGCGATATATTAGTTAAACTTATTTGAAAATGATTTTTAACGTCGGCCCGACGTTTCGTGACTTTAGTCAATTCTGTAAGGACCCGGCCAGTTTCGCTAAATACCAAACTCGACGGAACAGATGGCGCTAGCGTAGCAATTTATTTACTTTGACGTCAGAGAAATGGAGCATCCATTTTTAGTCTCCCCGTGACCACGGCTGCTGCAAAGCATCCGAAACGTCGGGCCGAAGTTTAACAATCATTTTCAAATAAGTTTAACTAATATATCGCGTTTTAAACCGTTAAAGTGTTTCATTTAAATGTTTACTGATATTTTATCCTGCAACAAGCTTCAAATCCAAGCTTGCAAGTTCAAGTTTTGCCTATTTATGTATCTATTGTTATAATTATTGCTAGTTATCTATTCTGTAGATAAGTCAAGCTAATGTAGTATCGAATCCATTTTCATTATCCGCTACTTTTCATTCATCAAGCGATATTTTATTATAGTCGCCTTCATTTAAATTCTCACGGAAGGCATCTTCGAGCTACAGCCTGAAGCTGGAGCCGCCGGGGAGCAAACAGAAGTTCAAGACCAAGAGGAAACCAGTCTCTACTCCGGCTAGTCCTAATCGATCCAGGTAATTATACTGTGTTAGCCTTAAATTAGTTTTAATTAATTTTATTTTCTGAAACATCAACAATGTTCACACGAAACTCAACTGAACTAGAAGTCTGGATTTAAATAATGTAACAGTTTAAAACGCGAAATGTATTAGTTAAATTTATTTCAAAATTATTTTAACTACGGCCCGACGTTCAAATAAGTTTAACTATATATATTGCGTTTTAAACCGTGCAAGTGTTTTATGTAAATGTGTACTACAGACAGTGTGGAAATCAGAATGTTAAATTGGTGGTAGGCAAAGTAAGTCGAAAGCACGTGTGATTTAGATGTAACATGGCTGGGGTGCGTTACCTTCCATAATCATAAGAAAAAGCAAATCTGTTTCTATTTTTAGTTATCTTACGTCGGTTCAAATCCCATCAGTTTCAATTGACTCAATTTATTTTTATACTCTTATTGCTGTTGTTTAGAAGCAGTTTGCTGCTCTCAGTGGGCAAGGCATTGCGTTGAATTCGGAAGTTTTTAAAGATTAATTTCGCTTAAGCAAACTTAGGATTCAGACTAATCACTAAGACAAAAAAGCTACTAAAACAGACACCGAACTATAGCCGTTGTCAGTCTAAGCAAAACTGTTAAACTGTGTAAATAAATTCTGTGTTTTCTTTCAGCCTAAGCTACGGTCGTGAACCTCAGTGTACTTGTATGACTCAAGAACAATACGCAAGATTGAGAGCACAGGATCCGAGATATCGTAAGTATTTAATTTAAAAATAATACATTAAATAAAACAGTTTTAACGGTTTAAAACTCCCACGGCCCAGACTGCTGTAAGAGCTGAAATGCCCCGCAGTAAAGAAAATAAATCAACTAACATATTGGGTTATATACCGTTGTGTTATGTGTATCGCTTGCGTAAATAATATAAAGAACTGAAATAAAGATTAAATAGTCTTTCAGTTATACCTTTTCTCAAATGAAACATACAAAAATTACAAATTCTTTTGAATATAGACATATGATAAATTGTGTAATGCTTTCACGGTTATCGTTGGCCATCACTGTTGGGCCGAAGTAAGCGAGAAGAGGTGACAATGATAAGATAGAAGTATGATGTTCGTGAATTATAATGTTTTCTTAATTTGCACTATTCATAATATCAACATGATGATAAAATAAAATAATTGAAACATATATGACACCCAATGCACATGAATTCCGTATACAATTTAATTCAAATTAGTGCAATATAGTATCTATGTCATTTTTTAACAGGATTTTTATTCGATGATAAAATCGCAAATGTCTCAAATATGTTAATTCGCATGTTAAACAAACATGTTGAACGTTTCATGCGTCGGACATCTTTTTAGAAACCATTCTTTCATACATATTATTTTCAATTCAAACCAGTAGTTCCTGAGAATAGTTTACAATATTAGTAATATTGTAAACTCGACTCTGTACAATGTAAATCATGTGTATTGGGAGCCAACCTTACGCATAGTATATGCGTGTAGGTTCATCAACATTACCGCGTACCACCACTCGCGCTATAGAGACGGATGCGGCTGCTGCTGCTGGGAGGTCGGACAAAGTTGCTGCAGCTACCTCTTCTACGTCACTGTATGACAATGTTGCCACCACTCAGCCAAGCGCTCAGCAGCCACCGAAGCGTAAGTACATCGACCTGGCTTAAAATAGTTATTTGCTTTTTTATTCGTTTTCATTTTATTTGAAAGAATGACAATCAAATAAAAAAATTAACACGTATAAATACGACGTTTGTCTGTGGTTAAAATTTATTTTCTCAACAAGCTAGGAAATTTGAGCATTGTTTTGACAACATTCTTCGAGATAATTCAAACTTGCTGTAGTGGTCGAGTAGTGGCCGACAATAGTGGTATGAAAATCTGTCATGTCTAGTGGCCAGAACGGTGTAAAATCACGGGTGTTGTGTAATTTAAAAATAATTTAGCCAAGAGAACTAGACAGACTTTTGACTTAAATTTAGAACTGGCTGGCCCGGTGGAAGCTATTAAGTTATAAAACGAGTGTGGCGCGTAATAAACTATGGTTGTCTACTTTGTCATGTGTTTTAAAGTTCTAAATTGAGAAAAGTCAGGCCGCAATATGGACATACATACATATATATTTGCGGGCCGATGGAATAAAGTAGGTACTATAACTAAGACAGTTCATGTTTCATCCTATTTAAAATTATAAGAGGGCACGGCGATCCTTCGCTAAGTACAAAAAAACACCATTGCCGTTCTATATCTTGCATAAAGAATTGAACATCTTGTGGACTCTCTATGGATTCACTACCGTTGTAGATTAAATTAGCCTGTATTTTATCTCGTATACTCAACTTCAATAAAACTATTTTTTTATTAAAAAAACACAGATTTTTAAAGTAATAATTTTCTTGAGAAACTTTAGTACTTTTGTGCATACATATTTGATGAGATTATATTCAACCAGCGGCAGCACGCCAGAGTGATGCTCAACCGCCAGCTCGCCCCCCGAAGTCCCAAGAGACCTCGACAATGACTACCAACACGTCTACAGCACCGAAAACGGTTACAGCATCTGTGGGGACACATGGCAATAACGTAAGTATTTAACGTATATTTCTTTAATAAAAATTGAAGCGGGATAATTGCTTCAACATTTGCTACGTACTCCAAATGCCAAATGGGTCGTGGATTTGATCTCCTATGAATCCAGGTCAAATATAGATAATTAATTCGTGTTTCGGAAGTCCGAGAAACTTATTAAATAAATGGAAGATATTAGATAAGTATATTTTTATCGTCACAGTATATATTGCATCTTGTATTTTTATTGTTAATAACGCTTGTTATAGATACTTTTTGGTCACCATTATGATCAAATACTAAGTTTTCTTTTAAATTTTTCAGACTGCCGAAGAAACTACTCAAGTGTCGAGTACAGGTGCATCTAGTCAACACGGGCAGGACCTGAAATCTGAGGGCGTTCAAGCTGGAGGTACCTTGACATCATCCAAATCTTCTGCTACTTCGACTCGAGCTGGGAAAGAGCACTTACAGCATATGCCTAAAAGCATTGATTATGGAGATGGAAATGAATCGGTAAGATTCAAAAATGTATTTGATACATATTGTAAAACTCATTTAACGGTTTGAAATGCGAATCATATTAGGTATGATGTATTAAACTACAACCTAAACTTTCGGATGTAAACAGCGGCCGGGATGGTGGGAGGAGGGGGTTGAGTTGATATCTTTCACATTTTTAATCGTTATTAGTGTTGTTTTTAAGACAATTATTGGTTAAAATGCAAAAGACAAATTGACAAATGAAGTTTAAGGAAGACTTCCACATAATTTTGTTTATGTAGTTAAATTTGATAACATCGATATTGTAAAAGATTGTATTCTGTTATTAAACTTGATAGACATGCGAAATCAGAACGCTCTTTGATAGAGACGATAGAGAGTTGACTAGTATCAACGATTCGATTAAATTTCGGTCCCGATAGTGTTCCAGTATAAAACAGCATTGTATTGTGATTTATCGATAGGGCTTGGTTGCTCAATTAGTTAGAGAATTAGCACGGAACGCGGTGGATGCTAAGCCCTGGTCGTGTTGTAGATTTTTTCTAATATCAATGTTTAATTAATACGGAAGCATTTATTTGAAAATGGTTTTTCTATTCACAGGGCCGTGAGTCTGACAGACATATTCACAATCACAATGTGATCAATAACAATACGTCTGGGTCACGTCGCACAAAGTCCAAAAGCACTGAGGACATGAATATGGGTAAAATTTTTAATTAAACTAGAGAATTTAGACAATAATTTACAGTCTGGGACGTAGGCTAAAAACTTGACAAGACCCAACAATTTCTTTCAGCAAGTAAATTTTTAAGAGATTTTGAAATAGCAAAAGAATGATATTTATGTATGTAATTTGAAATAGTTCGACTTATTTTACTATCGGCCTGATAGGATCAGTGGTGTAATTCGAACCCCACGGGGCTCAACATGTTTCTAATGAATTTATAATTTTTCTGAAATATTGGACTTCGTCTGTAAGTCTGGATTTTAAATGAGTCATAGGAATATCGAAATTCCATCCGGGCCACATACCACCGTCCACAGATGAAAAAGCCCTCAACTTTAATCGCGTTTCAGTTTAGTCTGAGGATTACCGAATATCCAAAGCCAAAATACGTCGATAACGAATGTTGTTTAGATGTAATAGGGCCGGTGTTTCACCATCTAGTAAACTCCATGCTGATCTGTTCTCTTCTATCATAATAAACTCTATAGGGCCACGATAACTCTATTCACAGACTCAAACACCTTAAAACGAATGCTCAAACCCATGCCGTCGACCGAGAGTCCCATCACGTCACCGGAGATGGGTCGTCGGAGGTACGCGGCCTGCCCATCATCATGCTCCCACTCACACAGACAGCAGCATCCGCATCACGGCCACTATGCCCACGTCATCAACAACAACAGTCGCCAGCCACAGCGGTATTCTTCGGCAAGGTAACTTTAAGATATACTGATTCTATAGTCGAAATGGTTCATAATCAACGGGACATCGATTCGATTCTTAACGCCTAGTTTTTTGTAAGAGTAGTTTTAGATGTTACCACGCCATAAATTCGAAAAAGGGGTTAGATTCTAAAAATCTATTGACTTTTTTCTAAATCTAGACGTTAATGTTTTTATTGAAATACTAAAACTCCATCCGCGAATACGTCATGTGAAGCATAATTGCGCGTTTCCAATTCTGTCTTCGGATTATTAAATTTCTAAAGCCAAATTAGGTTACATATAACAATTTGATTTTATACTGATGGCTGGATTATTTCACCTCCTCATGTGTATACTATGCTTGTTGACACATTTGTATGTGTATTTTTATGTGCAATGGAATTTTTAAATCACCTTCAAATAACCTTCAAACAACACGATAGAAGTTTCAAGTAAAACGAAGATGTATTCAGGTGGTGAAATCCCCGAGAATGTGCTAAACACTTCACTATATCCGTTCCACAGATCGACTTTATATACAGACAAGTAGTTGTTTAGATTTCTGTGCCCTGCCGGGACTAAACAATCTCTTGTTTCCCCGGGATTCGAATCCAGGTCCTTAACGCACTGCTAGGCAACACGTTTAACCGTTTAGCTAGACGGTCATGACGTCACTTAAATCGTGTCCATTACAATTTTAGATTGGCTTAATAATAAAGGATCGCCGTTATATGCCACTAATGCCATCTCTTAGCGACAATTGCTATTATTCAAGTCTAACAGATCCGCTTGAACACAGTTTGGTTTTATGTCAATTTCAAATATAAATTTACATTTCTTAATGTTTCCATCTATTTTTTTACGTAGTCGAGGCGTTGGCGTCGGAGCAGCGCCAAGTGGCTACCCTGGTCGTGGCCTTTACTTGGAGCTGGGTGGTGGTGAGAGAGACGTGTCTCCGCCTTCAGACAACGTGATGTTTGATAACCAATGCTACGCTACCACACCTTCCTCGTCTAACGGGAACTCTGATCAGGAACATTGTCAGCGTAGAGATCCTAGACAACATCACCATATGGTGAGAGTTAAGATTCTCATTATCTTCATAGGTGCTAAGAATATAAATGATGTTCCAAATAAAACACTTTAACGGTTTAAAACGCGATATATTAGTTAAACTTATTTGAAAATGTTTTCTTACCTCCCTTTGCCCCCCCCCGGGCCCCGGGGGGGGGAGTTACCCCCCCCGGCCCCCCCCCCCCCCCCACCCCCCCCCCCCCCCCCCCCCGAAGTTAAAATCATTTTGATCAATTTTTTAAATTTAACGAAAAAATCTCCTTTTTAACCCCAAAAGAGTTTTTAAATGTGTACTACTTGATCAAACTTTAGACAGTATTTAATATGTTTCAAGTGAGATCAATAAGTCCTTAAATTACATTTCATCTTGTTGGTGTAATGGTAGAAATATATAGCTAATTATCAACGGCCGTATGGTTCACTCCCATACGAACTCGACATTTTTCTAAGCAATTTATATTTTTTCTGAAACATGGTGGACATTGGGACATGTGGATTTAATTAGGTAGCAGCGTATCTAAATTCAAACCGGGTCATGATTCACCTTTACGTCACGAACGTGAATTATATCGCCTTGAAAAAGTCGTATAAAGTTAAAAGACATCAAGCTTACGTTTATGCTAATAATGATCATGTGAACAATGGATGGCTCGTTTACTTTACAGCGCAAGAAAGTAGTAGGAATAATTCGTTTATCTATCATCAGAAAATAACACTATACATTTTATTACGAAAGTATAAATAAGTAGTAGTCAGTAAGTGTCCAACTACTTGTTTATCCGAACGTACAACGTCAACGACGCCTCTCCCTCACTACAAAAATGAGTAAAAAGCCGTTGTGATAACATGACACGGTCGTGTCTTCAATTCTCTTATATGCCCCATTCTTCAATCTGTATCAAGTACATTATATACAAAAGCTAATGAGCTAATTTTTTTATATTCTTTTCGCAAAACAGAAGCCATGTCTGTCTCGCCAAGCTTCGCAGCAGAGTGCAACGCCAGCTCCTGGTTCTCCCACTTCACGACTTTTGCTTGAATATGAGATGCACCTCAGGAACACCTTGGCTAAAGGAATGGACGCTGAAAGCTACAGCTTGCACACTTTCGAAGCTTTGCTGAGCCAGAGCATGGAGGATTTGGGTATGATAATAATTGAGGCTTCTAGGGGCACAGTGGCCTAATAACAAAAAAATGATTTTCAATAAAGAGGAAAATAAAATTGTACAATTAACATAGAGGAAAATGAATTTGTACTATCATTTGTGTAAGAATTAAGTTAACAATTTTCGATCACTTGTAGATTGAAAATATAAATAAGTCAAGTCTTAAAATTGCGGTTAGGCTACTCTACCTCTAGCGGCCTTTTAAGAACCACAAATCATATATCTACTGTATGTAACGTTCAAATTAATTAAAATAATGCAATATAGATCTAGGGTAATTAGTTAGTTCATTTTTCAATGTCACATTACATATTTACAATGGTTTTTCAGTTGTATCGTTTTATTCACCGGCAAGGATCACATAAAAATATATTTTATATTGAAGTAATGTTAGTTAATTATGTTTCTATATAATTTTTATATTTATTACTTGTGTAATCAAGGTTGTCATTAAATTAAAGATCTATACAAGTGGTTGCCTGTTCGCGCCCTTGTTCCTGCGAGTGTCGAATATTTTTTTCAGTTTTAAAAAAATATTCGACACGGGCGGGACTTGACCAGGGAACCACCGTGTTGATCTGTTTCTATAACCATTTGAGCTGCCGTGTCGAATAAAATATTTCCATTTAAATATATTTTTAATTTATGTAATGCCATCATGTGGAAAATGTGAAAAATATTAATTTAATATTAATAGTTTTAATAAACTTACCAGTTTTCTTCATTTTTAATAATATATAATTATCGTAACAGTTGTATAGAGGGTTGACAAGACAATATTTTGTTCATAGAATACAACGACAATCTGCCTCCATCAAACCAGCGTAGTCCTTATCCACCGCGCAGGCGTGAGTAACTTATTTTTTTTTTAATAAATCCCTAGAGAACTAGAAGGGCCGTTTATACTAAGTATCACTAACAATATGTAATTATATATTTTTAAATACTCGTTGAACTGTAGGTCTGTCTCTGCTGAAGTATTTTAATGTCTAAGTATTGTAAATAAACGAATCTGAATTTTGATCTGAAAGAGAATACAATTTTAATAAATAAATAAATTGTCTTTAAAATAGGAACATGTTAGACTTTGGAAATCTGGATATTAAATTGGTGCTAGGAATAAAGACATTCCGTCCGTGTAACGAACCATCGTCCACAAATGAAAAAGCCGTAAAGTTTGATGGCGTTTCGGTTTCAGTCTTTGGATTTCCGCATATCCAAAGCGAAAATAAGTCAACAGCGCATCTTGCGTAGTTATTATATGGATGGGGTATTCCACCTTCCATCAAATGAACCCAAAGTTTGTCTGTCCTCCTCTATCATCCACATAATTTAAAAAAAAATCGACATTTATACTGACACATTATTGTTCTGTAAATTGAATTATCGACTACTTACAATGATAAACATCTTTTATATTAAGCGATCATTTGACACTTGTAAGATAATAACGTTTCAACATTTAATACGATTCTTTAGGTCCTGGATCTCAGTGCTCAGGTGGAGGCAGTCGTTCTTCCACCTTACCTTTGCCACATCGAATGGGAGTCGAAAGGCAGCACAGCGCGCGTTCAGATCGGGACGGTTATTACAGGTAAATATTTAATTGTAATCGATAGATTAGTATACAAACTATGATTTTTTTATACACACACACTCATATTAAGAATGGATGAATTTTGTACTAAAGGGAGTAAAGGGAAAGACACAAACGAACATTTGCAATTATATTCATGTCTATAGTTTCGCGAGTAGTACACATTTAAATAAAACACTTTAACGGTTTAAAACGCGATATATTAGTTAAACTTATTTGGAGATTATTTTAACTACGGTCCGACGTTTCGGATGCTTTGCAGTAGCCAGCATCACGTTTGAAACCGTATAAGTGTTTTATTTGAATTAAATGCATTCTATAATAAATTATCATAAGTATAATCTATGTAAATACTTTTATTAATCTGCACTTAAAATATGTGTAAAGTAATGAATTTTTCGTTCTTATTGGTTACTATAGCAACCTATTTTTAGAGTTTTTTCCATCGCATTTTTAATGATATTCGGCATTAAAAAAACAAATGGTTACACTAAGCTTACAGAAGAGAATGGATTAAAAAGACCGGTGCAAACAAACATCAGGCTTTATCAGTATTTTAGTATTGTGTATTTAACTCATTTCAAAAGAGAGAAAGAAGACGAGAGAAGAGAGAAGGTTATGTGGCACAAGTGCAGTTAAGAAGGGATGGTTATAACTACATTAATTTAAACCCGAAATGCTTAAAAATAACTAAACGTTAATTTAATTGTGTTAAAAGTTTTAACTACTTTGTAGAGCAAATCATAATTACTTATTCCTCACAAATATTTTTGAAAACTCTTTGTTGGTATTATTACAAAACACAACAATACAAAATACTTTGAGACCAAGAAGTGTTAATTAAGAGATTAGTTTTTAGTCTAGCACATTACTATTTAAATACTTTTTAAAATTATCTAATTAAAATAACGCTACATAAATTATTATCAATCAAACGAAATCAGTTAATACGCTTTTTATACCAAAAGCGGTTTTTTTTTATGTATAGTACTCGCCTAAACAATAAAAGTATATCTAGTAGTTATTGTATGTGTTAGTATTGTCTGCAGTTTATTCTTGTAGTACACAATTAAATGAACAACTTTTAAAGGTTTAAAATGTGAAATATATTAGTTCAATTATTTATACTCTACTAATCTAACGTAGTAAAATAAATTTTAATAAACTAATAAACATACCAATAGACACTTTACGTTTTTCTTCCAAGATATTATTGTTTCAAAGGAATTAAAATTAATTAGGTCGATGCTGTAATGCAGACAACAGATCACTAAATAAGTAATTACAGTGGCCTTTATTAAAAACTTTATTATATAGTCTATAAGTAATTATTACTTTGTAAGTAATATTTACCAGCATTCATTTAAAAGGGTATTTTTTTAACCGTATATATTTTATATCATTGTTATGTTATGTTAATGGTGAAACTCTCGACCTTATCAAATCCAGTTCGTGGGTTCGATACCTATCATATTCAGTATGTTTATAAATAATAATGATACAACACGCAAGACGTATTTTTAGTTCTACTAATCTAAATAGGCCGACAGCTCATCTTATTTCGATGGTATCGAGCTAGAGTATTTCACCTCGTTAGGAAACCCTTCAATCATAAAAAATAAATGGCATGGAATAACTAGTTGCACAAAAAAAGGTTAAAAGATATATTATTAAACCTATTTGTAAATGATTTTTAACTTCGGCCCTAAAATGTTTTATATAATGTTAATATCATACAAAAACTTTCGACGAATCAAATCAATATTAAATAATGTCCTGTACTAAGTTAAGCCCCCTCGATTTGAATAAAACATTGTATCTCGTAATTTGAATATCCCGAAATATACCCTCGTACCACTCAATAAACGAAATTGATGGGATACCGTACCGGAATTGAATAAAATAAAGAATGACTGAATTAAAGTATTATAATAAAGGTACGCAAGATTGATTTCGCCGGATTACATCTATCGGGGAGTTATCAAGAAATTTATGAATTATTCAAATATACATTCGTCATCCGGGACCTTTGTTATACCTAGCAATCAATACATCTCCAGATATTTCACTTTTTCGCGCTTCGAATGAATGTTGCGGTGTTATTTGTGTATCTTGCTCTTGATTAAAATTCTTTATATTTCGCTTTGTTCTAGCGATCGCAATGAATTGATGAGGGAACGAGAGAGGGAGAGGGAACGCGAGAGGGGCTATTTGAGCGACCACAATACCAGGTTCGTGAGCTTTACGATCTAACTGATCTGCAATCTGATTAATTAATGGGACTTATCAGACGATTTTTTAATGGCTACTTAACGACGTACTAACTGCAATATCACGGTGTATAGCCATTGTGTTTGACGGACTCGCTGGTGTAATGGTAGCAATCCACGGGTCGTGGGTTCGAACCCCGGGACCAACATTTTTCTAACCAATTTTAAATTTGTCTGAAACATGTTGCACTTCGTCTGGAAATCTGGATATTAAATGGATGGTAGGTATATCGAAATTACGCCGGGTCACGAACCACCGCCACGGTTTCAGTCTGTGGATTTCCGAATATCCAAAGCCACAATAGGCCAAAAGCGCCTCTTGTTCACTATTATGCTATATAGACTGTATTTCATCTACCATCAAGGAGCGCTCGCCATTGTCTGTCCTTTGCTATTATTAAAACAAAAAAGGAAAAATTCTGTTTTATAAAATAATAGAATTATGAATTAACCAGAGCTGATAAAATATATTAATGGTTTCGCCACGTTACGTCCTAAAAGTTTAAAAGTAGTGCCTTAATTCGTTACGTAACGATTCACGCTCCCATAATAAGTTACCACTTGAAGAGTTAATTATAGAAGTTCATAATTTATTTCAGAGGATCGAGAGTCGTTAATATTAATTATCTGGATTATTTTTTAGGGATAGAGTAAGGGACCGTGATCAGGGCTACCTAAGCGATCATCAGTCAAGGTTAGTAAAAGTTCTTCGAGTGAAAATATGAAAAGGTTTTTCTCTGTTAATACAAGATAAATGAGGATCGCTGACACGAAAAACTAACCTTTATAACCTCTACATTGAAATCCCTTTCAGTTCAACTTATCGTAACGACTCGTAGTAACGTTTAAATAACGTTGTTAATGGGTCCAGGGTTCGAATGCTGGGGATACATTTTTCGTAGTATACAGAAGTCTAATCGGAAAATCTTTGTACCAAAATCATCAGTGAAACGCAATAAGGGGCCCCATGCCCTAAGTAGAGGACATGGCACTTTATGCAATTGTCAGTGTATATGTATAATATTTTTAATAGTATAGAAAGATTTAGAATACGAAAGAATCAATTGCTTTAAGCTACATATTTATTTAAACAAAATTATAAGTTAGATGTAGTCCATGTATTATAATTTTTATTCGTATATTGATTTTATAAATTATTTTAAGTTTACATATTGTTTACGCAGTATGTTTAAATAAAACACTTTAACGGTTTAAAACGCGAAATATACTACGGCCCGATGTTTCGTTGTGTACGTAGTATAGTAAGCTTATAACTAATATGTTTCCCATGTTATTGCACAAGAAGGCTCCATATAATTTAAAAATCGAATATAGCTTTAAAATGTCGACATCAGGATTTTTTATCTATAATCGAATTTTAATTTATAAGGTGCCAGCATGTGCAATAAAAAATTGAAAAATATTGAACTTCTCAATCGTTGTATTGTATCGTTGATTTTCTTAAACTGCAAAGCAAAATACATTCCACCATAATACTATTAAGGTTGAAACTACATTGCACGAGAATATATTTAGTTATCGTAATACTTTGATTTCCAGCTTCATTTGTCTTCAATTAGAGGTAAAGTTTGCCTCAAACGTTTAGCAACTACAAACACGTAGTCGCCGGTCAGTTCCAACGGTGAAGGAGGAAAAAAGATTCAAAGGCAAAGTTATAGAAATTAAAAGCAAAACTCGCGGAACACAAACTCTAACTACAGAACTTCTGCGGCGTCTTTTTTTTTAATTTAGAAAATAACAGCAGACTATACAACTTCCCTGAGGTATTTTGTTCAATTTACTCTAGTCCTCTATGACCTGCGTTTATAATTTTTGGTTTTCTTTTATCAAATGTTATGTTCCTGAAAATTAAATACAAACTATTCCCGAGTGACTTTCAATTCATACAGTCATCTTTGATTTGGTATTCAATCTACAGAGTTTGACGTGCGGTCTATTGGTAGGCTAAAATCTGTGGCTTTTATCTGTAACACGTTTGTCTTTGTCGGGAAATTTGAATATAATTTTTCAACACGAAGCCACCTTCCACAGATAAAGTTTAATCGCGATTCGGTTTCAGCCTGTGGATTATTTAATATTCAACCTAAAATAGGTTTACAGTGCATCTTGTGGAGACGTTATATGCCTGGGGTAAATGGCCTTTCATCAAGTAGGTATACCTCATGCTTGTATGTCACGAGACGATATAGCGACGTGGGCGCCGATCGTCCGCGAGCGAAACCGTTTTCGTACAAGATCATTGTTCCTCGCTCTTCTCTTGTAGCTCCTCAAGCTCCTCAAACTCTACCCTATTGCGGTGCTCGGGGAACCATTGGTTTAGCCGCAAACACGGCGAGCGCTCTCCAAAACTCCGGTTAGTACTGCGGCCGCGGGCCAAAATACAAAATAATCATTAAAAACATCTGTCCCCTTATATTATAAAAAATAAGTAATGCTTAATTTATAAAGGACATTTTAAAGACAACCTTTTGAATTTGTGTAGGCTTCAAGAAGGAACTTTTACATCGTTATCCGGACCATTTCTCTAAGTATCGCCCTCTTGAGAATTTCTTCGGAATAGGAAAGATGGGTTTAAGCTGAATATTATACATGAATGGCGGCCGGACACTGTATTATAATCATTATATTAAAAGGTTATGACTAACTAAATTTGCCAACTTTGTTGATAAACGTTATACCGTATCTTATCTCGTTACTTAGTTTGTTATTTTATTAAACAAATTATTGTTAAAAACTATTGTTAAATACCATTTTCACAATGTAATTAATATTGCTGGCCGCCATTTTGATATACGTTTTTTGTATTTTCTATATAGCCTTAACTTCAATGCTACGTGGTCAAATAGGTAACCAAGCAATGTAGGCGCGAGTTTTCCAAGGTTCGAATTCCGGGAAATATTTTAGTCGGGATATAGAAGTCTGATAAACTACTCGAACAGTAAACCGATGTAGAAAGGAATGACACTATTTTCTGTATTTAAGAACTTTTTTTAATTCAATAAAGAAGTATTTACGTTGAATTCAAAGACTTTAAAGAATGTTTTTCTTTGCCTCTCAAGTTGATGAACAAAGCTATAAGTGCTGTTCGATAAAATAAAAACAAAAAAATATTAAAAGCGTACGAGCCTTGACATCGAAATAATACGGCGTAATAATATTCAAGAGGTACCTCTGGCTAGAGATCACTCAGCGAAATGCAAGTGATAATACTGAGTATATTTTTGCGTCATTTTTTAGAGTGCAAAAAGTTTTTTGTGTTGATTCATTAATTTCAGTTAGGAGGAAGGTAAACAAAGGTGTCTCATTTAGTAATTGTGCACGAAGATTATTATTAATGTTGAATATTATAGATAACGCGAATAAGAATAACAATTTTTTTAACTACAGCGCGACCGTAGTTAAATTAATTTTCAAATAAGTTTAACTAATATACATCGCGTTTTAAATCGTTAAAGTGTTTTAATTAAATGTGTAGGTACCACTCGCATAAACAACTGACAGTAAGTAAATAAAATAAATGATTTTTATTCCATATCGCATAGTCCTTGGCATCACAAACCATAAGTTCCTTATTAAAGCCGCATGGTGGATCTAATCTTTGCCCAGCAGTGGGACAGTAATGGTTTAAAACCAAAAAGTATAAAATACTGTATGTAGTTTACGCGAGTAGTACACATTTAAATAAAACACTTTAACGGTTTAAAACGCGATATATCAGTTAAACTTACTTGAAAATAATTTTAACTACGGCCCGACGTTCAGATGCTTTCCAGCATCCGTGGTCAAGGGGAGACAATCTTCACGTGACCACAACTGTCAAAATAAGTTGATCAAATATATATCGTGTTTTAAACCATTAAAGTGTTTTATTTAACTAAAAAATATACTTTTACATCTAAAACTTTTTAAAATCATTATTATAATGGTAAATTAGTATCTAATACCTCTAACCAATTTATCCTCGACAGCTTTCGGGTTTAATTAGACATCTAACGAAAGCTATTCCGAAAAGCCGTTTAATCCTCTTGTATTAGAAAAGGATCAACATACAATTTGGAATTCTATTAGAGCGAAGGAATACGTGCGCGGTGTTTTGTAGGACAGTTTCCGTTGGCGCTGACGATTCGATTTTCCTCCAGATCGTTCTTGTTGTTTTAAATCGAACAAGTTTATTTCCTTTTCTTACCGTGTTGATAATTACTTTCCGCGCTCAGAATGTAATTGGTAAATTCGTTTATATAGTATTTGCTCTTAAAGTGGATGTAATTACACCAGTTTCAATATCGTAATGTGTCATTACGTACTTGTGCGATAATGTAATGTAAAAGGCACGTGTTCTTTTTCTTAGCAAAGAGGTTTTATGTCAAGAAAGTGGTCAATATTTTATGAATAAAATTAACTTTGGGAAATAAAATATAACAAATAAACATTTAATTCTTTAATTTAATTAATTTTGACAATAAATTACAACCATTTATCTATAACAAAAACACAAAAATATTAATTTAGTTTATTAATACTGGCTGTTTTTATACCCTTGCCTAAAATTGCGCATCGCTTATTTGTGGACAAGTAAAAATAATTCCGCGCGCTTTTTCTTTTCGCTGTATTGTTTTTATTTGAAAATGTCGTCACTTCCTCGTAAATATGTTATAAAACGTCGTATGACATACGTGCGCTTTGAAAATTACAGCCTCTGCTGTCTTATAGCCCTCGCCGATGGCTCGGGCTAGTAATATCGCCTCGGCTGTAATTTTCAACTTACCGCACTTATATCATAATGTACTATTACGCGTTTTATTGAAAGGTTACATTAAAATAATAATTATTCATTAGGAGTTGATTCCCAGTCATTTAAGAAGTTTTTTATATAAACATACGTACGTTAATTGTAAGATATAATTATAATTTCTTTTTTAATCTCGTAAAAGGGGATTGGTGAAATTAAATTACAAATTAGCATATCATCAGGTATTGACCGCCTGTGTAGCCAAATGGTTAAACGTATTGCCTAGCATTGCGTTAAGCGCGAGAGGTCCTGGGTTCGAATCCCAGGAACACAAAAATTGTTCCGGTTGTCTGATCAACTACTTGCCTGTTAAAGAACGGATCTGGAAACGGACACAAAAAAGTGTTCGCCCCATGCCCCATGAAGCGGAAACGGGATTTCACTTTTTATATCATCAGGCATAGGAATTACAATGTAAGTAGCTATTTTCAGAAATTTACACGTCCAACATTTTTCAAGGTTTAAAACACAAATGTGTAATAGTTGACCCGCCTACCGCTACTGAAAAGCATCACAGCGTTGGATCGTAGTTAAAAATCGATTTTCAATTATTTTTCATGCGTTACCTTTAAATACAAATATTGAATAAATAATTGGTCCCTGAACAATGAATTTAGCGTTATAAGTTCTGATTTTTTTTTTTTTTTACCAGATTTATGAAGCATGAGCCTGAAATCACTAAGTCCTATGGGGCATAGGACATAAGGCGAATATATGTGTTCATTTCACTAATACTTTTTTATGATTAGAGTTCTGTACCTTGTAAATAAATTGTATTTTTCATCATTTATTTTTATATATCGTAAAATGGTTTCTGGCTGTAAATTAATTGCGAAAAAGAAGTGCAAACAAAGTCGACTTGATTGCATGTGTACGTATTTATTCGTTTGAAAAGGTATACGTGACTGCGACCTGCAATATTGGTTTCGGGGAATACGTTCGTATATTTTCTCAATGTAGCAAGACCATGTATATCGTATACTAGCTGACCTGGTGAACGTTATTTTGCCTTATGAAATACTAGCTATGTCAGCGACTTCGTCCGCGTATTTTAGTGATTTGGAGCACCCAAATTTGTTTTTGCAAACCTCCTCTTCATCTTTATAAATTTAAACTGCTATCCGACATCGACATCGGACACGTCCCGTCGTTCTTGCAAGTTAATCTTCAAAGATAGACATATAGTGTCGGGGACATTTTTTTAGATCATTTAAAAAGAAATCATTCTTACCAATATATTTTTTGGGTATCTTGAACCGTTTTCGCAGCGTACGCATCGGAAACCCGCAGAGATGAAAATCACAACTTAGTACTGTCTGTACTGCAAGTAAAGTATTGTCAAGTACGTTTGTACAAGTAAATTACTTCTATACAAAACACAAAAAGGGTATCAAACGCGATACATATTTATATAGTTAAACTTATTTTGAAATTGTTCGGATGCTTTGTAGCAGCCGTGGTCACGGGAAGACGACACGAAACGAAACATCGGGCCGCAGTTAAAATAATTTTCAAATAAGTTTAACTAATATATATAATGTTTCAAACTGTTAAAGTGTTTTATTTAAATTTGTACTACTCGCGTAAACTACAGACAGTATTTAAGTAAAGTACTTTCTGTACTACAAACTACAGACAGTACTTACAGTATTTTCTTTTTGTCTGAGTCTCAGTGTAAGCAACTAAAAAGGGGTGACAATAAGGTCTATATTAAATTCCGTCAAGTTTAAACGTAATAAAGTGTCGCTTGCGAGAAGCATTCGTCTTGATACAGCATCTCAAGGCGTAATGGTGAAGCTATTAAACTCGTAATAGACTCGAGAGCTCGTCTACCTAACGGCTGCCCACTGCCGTCTCACGAGGGAATTGCGAGCGAGGTTTGATAGTCGTGTCAAAACTCGACATTTACAATATATTGTTAGAAGAATACTGAGATGACGTCATTTGACGGGCACGTGGGTGTAATGGTAGCAATGTACAGTTAATCAACGGGTCGTGGATTCGATCACCAACGGGTCCAGCATTTTCAACTTATAATTTTTCTTAAACATGTTGGACTTCGTCTGGAAATCTGGATATTGAATTGATGGTAGTAATTAAATACTGTCTATAGTTTACGCGAGTAGTACACATTTAAATTAAACACTTTAACGGTTTAAAACGAGGGGGGGATGCTTTGCAGCACCCAATCGCGTTTTGGTTTTAGTCTGTAGATTTCCGAATATCCAAAGCCAAAACGGGTCGATTTAGATAGTAGTACATAGAGAAATTTATCTCAAGTGAAGCGGCATTTCCCCCTACGTGTATTTGTGTGTTTGTTTCACCGTGCGGTTCTTTATAGGCAAGTTTACATCAATTCTGTGCACTGCCGACCCAAATGAATCAGTTGCTTTTCCGGATTCAAACCCAGGACCTATCGCGCTTAATGCAATGCTTGGCAACACGTTTAACCATTACAATAGAGGCGGTACCACACCCCACTTAAGGGGTACAAAATGTTTATAAAAAGCCAAACATTCATATATTATTTTTTATAGTGAATTGTAACAATATATACCTAAAATATATACAGACGACAATTATAGTAGTTAATTTTACCCTACGCTGTGTGATATCAAAACATTGTTATGCTACTTAAATCACTAATGAGAACTGAAATTGAATGAAGCATTCTACTAATAATTATCTCTATTAATAGCGGGTATGCGTCGAGCTTAATATCGTGTAATACCTAAATTCCAATGCATAAAATATCCAACTACGCCACGCTCAAACAATGCCACAAGAATTGTTCACCTTGTGTATACTAATTTTACAAAGCTAATAGTTTTCTTTGATTGAACGCGCTTATATCCCTATAAGCGCATACACTGAAATATATACAATATTTGAAGTGAAACTGAAGAGGTTGTCTGTTATCTAGGAAAGATATAGACTACTGAACAATACATACAGATATTAATAAAATACTACTTTAGCTACTTCTTTATGGGAGATATCTAATCCCTAAGTAGTAACGTGCTTGCGTGTGATTAAAATAAACAAAATTAAATTTAAAAAAAAACAAAACAAAGAGAAAGGTATTAAGTATAGTAGTCGAGTCATCTTTCTCAAGCAACCTGTTCTCCTTTGTTTTTATTGTAAAACAATAGGACATCTAGTAACAAAAGTTTCAACGGTTTTAAACGCGATGCATATGTTAGTTGCAGTCCCTCCATGACCATAGCGGGTGCAAATCATCCGAAACGTCTGGCCTTCGTTAAGATAAGTTAACTAATATATTTTACGTTTTAAACTGTTAAAAGTGGTTTAATTAAGTACCGGGAATCCTATTGCGCTTAATGCGTTGCTAGGCAACACGTTTACCAATTTCACTACAAAGTATCATTAAAAAGAAAAAAAGGGGTCTAAGTCTACTATTCTCTATCAGTCTAAGGGTCTAAGTCTACTATTCTCTATCAGTAGTAGATAAAATTACTGTAATTTCTCTAACGAAACGTAACCCGACACTCGAACAATGTAAGAAGAAATGTTCACCTTGTGAATATGGAATAATTACTTTGAAATGGGGCATTCCGGTATGGGTACAAATTGCGAGTCAGAGCTTTAGACGTGAAGTTACATTGGAGGGCATATTTGTGAAGTAGCAATGCAATATACTTAATACGTAGGCAGGCACACGGGGCTCGAGTGTGCAATCGCATACGGCTGAGTACTCGACGTCCATACGGGGAAGTTACAGTTTTATTTCTAACAGAGATCCCCATGAATAGCCTGCTTTAATTTCAATTGAGAGCGCACGCTTCGAATGATACGAGATCGGCAATTGCGCGGGAGCGAACCTAATGTTTATTGTAGTCGTTATTGGAAGTGTAGTGTTTTGATTTCAATAAAAGAAGCACAGTCAATCAATTACAATATGCATCGTTATTGAAGTTTCACGGGCGCGAGCATGGTAGCGATGTACGGCTAATAATCGACGGGTTGTGGGTCCGATCCCAAACTAGTCATTAAAAACATGTTCTAACTTTTCAATTTATACTTTTTCTGAAACACTATTTAATATTACTAATTTATAATCTTTCCGGGTCACTAACCATTGTCCACAGGTGAAAAAATTTAATCACGGTTAAGTTTCAGTATTTGAATTTGCGAATATCTAAAGTTAAAATAGGACGACAGAGCATCTTAGAATAGAAGACGTTTATTCAGAAACAACATTTACAATTAAAACTTAAACCCATACAAATCAAATCTAAATAAAACAATATCAAAAAGTATATAAAGAATTAAAATTAATACTACAATATATTTGCTTCTGAAATGGAAGCCACTCAGCTACGTTGGGACTGATGTCCCAACACTGATATTCTGTGGCCCCTTCAGAGGCCGAGCTTTAATTTAAAATATATAAACAAATTTTTAGATTTCTTTTATTCTTATTCAAGTTTAAATTTTATAAAGATACTTTTTATATACTACTTAGTTAAAAATTTTTACTGCATTTTTAAAATAAAGTATTGATTTTATTGATAATTTACTTAACCAAAAAAACTTGAAAAATTATAAAAAACTATTTATGTCCTTTATGACACAATCTAGTGTTTTCAGTACAATTATCTACCTAAAATGAAATGAACAAGACTCTAAGTAAGGTTATTTAACAAATGTATATAATAATTGTAATATCGGGAAAAGGAATTGTAAATATTGGTGAAATATTATAGCTTTATTGGGTTTGTGTTTTGTAGAAGTCGGTGTTTGGCGCGCAAAGACTTGACCGTTTCGAGTCCAAACATATCGCCGTTTTTCACGTTTCGCTACTTGACAAGTACGGAAGATTATGTGGCGGTTATATTTATTTATTTATTCTTGTTTAGATGCTATAGTTTATGGTTTCCCATCTACCCTCAAGTGAACGCGGTTTTTTTGTTGCCTGTCGTCCTCTATCATAAAAATAAAGTAAAATACTAAGACAAAAGTTACACGTCACTGGGAGGGCTCATAGAGTACGACGGACTTGCTTGATAGAGGGATTATAACTGACTAAGCAAATACATTTAAATGTAGTCTTAGACATTTGTCTTAGCCGCAGGCGCATCGAAAGTCACGGTTGATAACAGTGAGGTGACATTACCTACACTAAACTAGGGAAAGCCAAGTTGCTAAAAACCCTGTTTGGTAAATAAAATGTAATAAATAATATAAGTATACTGTAAAAGACGCCATTTTGACGGCTTATTCTAGAACTAAAGTTCCATCATTCCAGTATGCCATCATGCATTTAAGAAGGACCATATACCCAAATAAGAGGCTCTACTTTGGGGTCTATTGGGATAGTGGACTTATAACGATGACGTAACTTGCCTTCAATTGGCTTCATATATATATTATTAAGACGGAAACACAAAGTTACATACGAAAATATTCATTTATTAGCCAAAATTAGGCTTAGTCGAAAAAAGCGTGCCATCTTTGTATTTGACAGTTCCCCCAACTAGAGAGGGGGCGCCTCGTTTATCGCGTCGGCTAGTGTTGTGTCTTTCCAAGTCGGAGGATTTTCATTCAATATATACTTTATTTATTATTTAATAATACATACTTATATTTTCTACTTAAATATAGATCACCTATTATAGAAGGTAACTAATAATATCTACATCTTGTCCCTCAAGCCGTGGTCTCCTTCTTAAAAAGCGACGCTTATACAACTGGCATTGTATCTATTTAGTATTAAAATTCATAAAATTGTATTTTCCATAGCTTCGTGAGTGCATCCCGATGTGCATCATGTATTGGGGAATCAGCGCGATCAGCTTGGTACCGACATTCAGATGGCTGGAGGGGACAGCATCCGCCAGGGCCACGAAGATCGCCTTGGGATTCCCTGCCGAGCTTACGACACGAAGGCAGCCTCAACGATTCGGGATATAGAAGCAATCGGGCCGATAGTTTTGAACAACGGTAGGTACAAATTTTCTTAAAATATCATTACATAGTGAAACATGCTTAGAATTATATAATTTCTGAAAATAACAATAATTATAAAGTAAATAAAGAAAGACAGATTCAACATCTCCTTGAATATAAATACCTACTCTATTGCAATAAGGATTATTTCTCACCAAAATGTGTGTTTTATAAGCTGCTAAAATGAAAACTCATAAATATACTTTCGTGCTGGTTAGATTGAGGAGGTGCGGGGGTATTTATATATGTTATCGTTATGAAATATATTTTAATTTACAAAGGCGTGGAGATTTGAATTACAAATAATAGTTCGTCTTATTTTAATGTAAAATAGTAATTAACTAATTTCCAACATACAGGAAAGTTTAGCGACTAGACAAGAGAACCGAGCAATGTTTGACTACTTCCTTTTCTCTACTCGTTCTTTATTCAGATAACTTTCCGTTTAATTCTAAGTTTACGCTTTTGGCGTATTCTCAAAATACTAACTACAAAATGGGATTCCGTTTTCAAAAATAGAATCTCGATCTGAGCTAAATTCGTAGACTTATTTATTTACGAACAAGTGAAAGCCTTAGCAAATTGAATTTACCAATACGTTAGATCAGTATGTTTTCGCCTTTTTGTTGGGATTCGGCTCAGATCGTCCCGAGTACATTAAGTTTGCACGAGCCATTTACTCCACAATCAATCATGTGAATTCAGCTACATAATATGCTACACAGCTTCGTAGTATCCGTATCTAACTTCGCATAAATACAAGTGTATATTTAATATTAAAATTATATTTATTTGTACAAATAAATATGTAGTTTAGCAAATGAAATGTTTTACTTTTTAATTGTAGTGTAATCCTGTATGCTTACTAAACCTTTTATACGAAAAAAAATATATTGAGTCATGGTTAGTTGAACGAAAGTAACGTTTATTTGTGATAATCTAATAAATATTAGAAACAAATATTTTATTTATTTAGACATTTTTTTTCAATTAGGTCCCAATCTCTTTTTTTCAATGCCACATACCTGTGATATAAAAACCACTTAATTATGGTACAAATAATTAACGATAACATAATTTTTATTATTAAATTTCCAACTTTAAACAGTAAACTAAAAATTAAAAAAAAAAATACTTTGCACAAAGTAATGCGTATTTTGAATCAGTTTTACAATTACAATTAACAATGATTTGATTAATATTTATAATGATATAGTTTTGAAGACGCTGCCAAGTGAATGCAAGCATATTATAATATAAATTGTACAATCAATAAAGATATAACATTGGAAATATCTGCTTTCAAAAAACAAATCATTAAAATCAAAGTTAGAATAGCAATAACAAATAGATAGATACTTTATTTGTGACGTAAGTTACAAACCATGTATAAATAATGTTCTCGATAAAAAAAACTTTAGCGATTGGCCACGGCTGATCTCTCTTTGTATGAAAGCTTCGCATTGTCCGTCACTCGTAAATCCGTCATGAAAGCTCATTACATACAAATGCTTGTGGTCATTCGCTTTTACGTACGGCCTGATAACTGAAGCGGAAATTCAAACTCAGACCCATTTCCCGTATCGAGGAATCTGGAATAACGAATACCGGAAAGTTCGCTAGTAGCTATTGAGTAACACAAACACGTCATCTGTCAGTTATATTTATTTATATATCTCTAATCACCTTTGAAATAGAGTTTAAACTATTTTGATACTACCATCATCTAGAAGAAAAATATATACCTCCTATGAAGAAAATTACTGTTTAAAAATCGAAAAGAAATTGAAAAAATTGTCGACTCGGCAGGACGTGAACCGGCATCGTCAGAGTTCCGTGCTGTTCCTCTACCAATTGAGCTACCGAGTCCTTAATTTATTTTCGATTTTTAAATTATACCGTGCCTTCATGTGCAATAACATGTAAAAAATAATAAAGTTTTCAAAAGAAAATTACTTTCAAAATGCATATTTTTTTATACATATTTTGTGTCAAAAACATGGATATAAAGTAGCCAAATATATATATCTATATATATTGCTGTAAAGTATTACATTCTTTGATCTACATGTGCGTTTGTCATTTTGCAACATAACTTTGAAATGTTGTGTACATTAACAAGCTTAAAGACATTAAAAATGTTTCTTTGTCTATGTTGTTACAAATATTGTGTTTGAAAGTTATTTTTTAATGAGCTTTATAAAAGATTATTTTACATGGAAAACACATGGACCATAATACAGTGCTATACTGGATTTGAATTCCGCCCGAATCATATTTTTTTTCAATATAAGATAACTATAACATTTTATAAGCTTTCGTGAAATTATAATGATTCAAGAATATTAAACACAATATGATAACGATTCTATTTGTTCCCCGCGTCACCTTTCTTCAATGGCAACGGGCTTTCTTATAAAATCTCAGTCCATGCGACAAGTTAACCCTTATCATGATACACGTTGAATAGCAAAGGCTTTCAGACAGATGTCGCTACTATAATATTACAGTTCGCTGCTCAAAGACTTGCTTTATGAGAAAACCTCGATGTGTTACCTAACCATTACGATACATTTTGTTGATACTTCTCAAACATGATGACTTAGTCGCTTTTAAATAAGACACTTTAACGGTTTAAACGTGATATATATTAATTAAAACTTATTTGAAAATTATTTTATCTAGCCCGACGTTTCACCCCAATTCCCTACCACTCTCTGCAAAGCATCCGAAACGCCGCGTCGGGCCATAGTTCAAATAAGTTTAATTAATTTATATCGCGTTTTAAACCGTTATAGGGTTTTATTCAAACGTGTATGCTCCGTTAACTACAAACAGTATTTAACATATTCGCTTTTTAAAATGCACTTACTCCTTTTAACATTATAACAAGCAATAATATCTATACTATAGTTTGGTGAATTCAATGTTACGAAGAGTTAGTATGACCAAGGACGTGCTTTATTTTATAGTAACGTACCTTCTCGTATACATTATTTTGTCGAAACGCCGCAATTTTTTTCGAATTCCAAAGCCAAATAATCAAGCATTTAAATTAGACTATTGGGTGTTAAACATTGCACCTTCTATCAAATAATCCTACTTCTTTCTTTTTAATAAAACATTGTTTTTTGACCGGTAAAGAATATTAATTTCGGGACCACATAAATATTACTAACAAGCAAATTTTTAAAGGTTTTTGACACTTTGATGATAATTTAAAAATCGAAAAAAAAAAAAATTTTTTCAATTTATTTTCGATTTTTAAATTATATATGCCTTCATTCAATAACATGTGAAAAATATTAATGTTTTCAAACGTTATAACTTTTAATTTATCTTCAATATTTCTTAAGCTCAAAGCATAAGACATTGAGCCTTAATACGCAAGTGTTAAGGTAGAAATTAATTGCGGAGAGGTGCATTATCAATAAGTTGAAAAAATTCAATGAGGTGTAGGACTCGTACTCAATTGTAGACAACAGACGAACTGACGATGCGGTTCAAGTCCTGCCCGAGTCGAAAATTTTTTCAATTTATTTTCGATTTTTAAATTATATATCCTTCATTCAATAAATGTGAAAAATATTAATGTTTTCAAACTTATAACTTTTAATTTCATCTTCAATGATTTCTTAAGTGCAAAGCATAAGACATTGAGCCTTAATACGCAAGTGTTAAGGTAGAAATTACATTGCGCGAGAGGTGCATGTATCAATAAGTTGAAAAAATTCGACGATGAGGTGTAGGACTCGGTAGCTCAATGGGTAGAGCAACAGCACGGAAAGCTACATCGGTTCAAGTCCTGCCCAGTCGAAAATTTTTTCAATTTATTTTCGATTTTTAAATTATATAGTGCCTTCATTGCAATAACATGTGAAAAATATTAATGTTTTCAACTGTTGATATTATAATAAAAAACAATTTAATACAAAATAACATCACTTTTCGTCACTAAATTTAATATAACATCGTAATATTTTCAATTTCTTCTTTCGGTATAGTTTGGTAGCATTTAAACACATGCAAATCGCAAAATATATTTGACTGGTTTACAGTTTAAATACTGTCTATAGTTTATGTGAGTAGTACACATTTAAATAAAACTTAACGGCTTAAAACGCGATATATTAGTTAAACTTCTTTGAAAACGATTTTGGATATCGGCTGCTGCAAAGCCTCCGAAACGTCGGGCCGAAGTTAAAAATCATTTTCAAATAAGTTTTACTAATATATCGCGTTTTAAGCCGTTAAAGTGTTTTATTTAAATGGTTTACAGTTTATTTTAACTACGGCCCGAGGCCCGTGGCCACGGGCCTCGTCGAACTGTTAAGTGCTTTATTTAATTGTACTACTACATAAACTACGGACTTAACAGACTAAAACCCAAATTCATTGCGCTTTCTTTTGTTTTAGTGGTATGTTCGACCGCCAGGACAGCATCCGTTCGGAATATACAAGCGATCGTGAATCGACCCGCTACGGTATAGTGCAGCAGGCCTCAATCGACAGCACCGATTCCAGAATATGCTACTTAACTTCGAGTGAGGTAAGGCACCAAGAGTTTCTTTTATGATAGAGGAGAACAGTCAAGCATGTTGTTCACTAGATGGTAAATGAAATATCCCAGCCTATAGCATCTAAACAAGATACCCTGTCGACCTATATTGGATTGGATATTCGGAAATCACAGACTGAAACTGAAACGTGAATAAAATTAACGGATGTTTCATTGTGGACGGCGGTTTGTGACCCGGACGTAATTTCGATATATATCACCCACTTAGTATCCAAATTTCTAGACGAAGTTCAACATGTTTCAAAAGAATTGTATATTGATTAGAAAAATGTTAAATACTGTCTATAGTTTACGCGAGTAGTACACATTTAAATAAAACACTTTAACGGTTTAAAACGCGATATATTAGTTAAACTTATTGAGAATGATTCATCATTTGATAAGTAAATAAATCTTTGAAATCATATTTGTCAAGACCAGTAATTAATCTTCTTTTTTTATTAATAACTGTTTGAATATAATTTATTGCTTTGATGCCTTAATTGTCAGCAATCAAAGCATTGAAAACGCGAAGGCTTCGTCTTGCAAGTAATCTTTCTTACATCTTCTGACCCCGGCAAGCAAAAAAAAATGTTTTCCAATTTTGTCTGACTATAGATATTGTGGTGTATCTAGTAATTTTATTCAAAATTGTTCCTTTTTATATAAACTAAATATATCTATGGTAATTTGTCCATTAGTGTGTAATCTAGTCATAAAAATGATTTTAATAACTGAAAGAAAATCTACTATATTTGTTTTCATAAAACCAAACCTTAACGATTTACGTAATAAAAAATAAGACTAGACAAAAAAAAATAAAAGCCAAAGAGCAAAAGAGAAAAGATTTCTGAAACATCATTTATTGTCTCGAGAAGTAAGTAGTTTTAAGATCTATGTCAAGGTTAACGATTTAGGAGTTAGCTGAAACCTTTTTGTGACGTACACCTGTCGACTCAAGTTTCACATTAAAACCTCGTTTCAAAACTTGTTAATAATTCGATAAACGTTACTTCGTTAATTAATAGTTCGAGGTTACCTTATAAACGTTAATTAACTACAGCGGTTAACATAACATTATGTATCTACTTATCGTAATACAAAACCATTGTTACTTAAACGCACTGATCTCAAAAACTAAGAGTTACATTTAAAAATTCACAGTTAGGTAGTTTTTTATAATCGCAATACTGATTAAATTTATTCAGTTTTTAGTTTTATTTAGTGTTTTCGTAAAAAGCTTAAAATCACGTGTGAAGGAATGGTAACCGTTAAAAAGCTCTTAAACATAATTCGCGACAACATTTCAAATATCCACTGCCATAACAGACTGAATCCAATGCGACAGTGACTTATAATCTCAACCAACAAAATAGATATATGATAGAACAAAAATACTAACACGAACTTAAATAATACTAAATTTCATAACTCAAAATAAATATTAATATATTTGTGAGTTCATACAACATATGTCTCCTATATCTGGCAAGGCTAGCAATAAACAACTTAACTAATTTCCACGAGGTCTACGTTTAAGTTACTGTGCCTAAATATTGGAAAAAATAACGGCTTTATAAAGAACTAGCTGGCATGGCAAATGTTATTTTGCCATATGACGTAATTCGTGGACATTTATTTAAAGACGAATAATTTTTCTTACCTCATTTTCCACTGTTTCTACGCCCTGTTAGTCGTATATGTTTTAAAGCCTAAAGCCTTCTTCGCTAGATTCTCCAAAGAACACAAAAATAATTTTTCAATTCTAACCAGTCGTTCCTGAGATTAGCGCGTTCAAACAAACTTTTCAGCTATATAATATAAGTATATATGTAGGCATGTAGAATTTCAATAGGTTTAATTTAAAATAAAAATGTAAGTAATATTAAATACTATAAAATATCCACCCTAGTTTCGTTCCATAATAACTCAAGATGTATTTGAAACAGATGAAATCTCATACCTAGGTGCGGTGGGTTCGGGTAGGGTCGTGTGGCCTCGGATCGCTTCGTTAGGACCTGCGCACTAAGAGACGCGGAACTCTGCGCTGAAACTCACCAATCGTACTCTGAACGTGGCATAAAAAATATTATTTGGAGGTTATGTCTATTAGACTACTCTATATAAAAAATAAACAATCCGTGCGTAACGCGAAGTGAGAATCCAGTATAGTTCTGTCGAATGTCGCGAAAGAGGACACTAAATCGAAAGTTGAGACGTTTTGTTTGTGTAAATACAAAGCTTTTACTATCAAGTGCACGGACAAAGACTCCGACATAGTCGATGCGTTGCCAGTTAGTGATTTATTAAAACAATGGTCGTTAAACATTCAAATTTTAAACTGTTTTCATAATAATTCTAGTGTTGTTATTTCGAAGTGTGACGTCAATTGTAGAGGCCTAGACTGATAGTAAATAATCGTTTTCATCGTAGAGAGTACTATTTCTAAGATAGTGATAGTAAAGTAGAGTTCCTGTTGCTTATATATCGCTTAATTCACCTGTGATATACTTTTTTCATAACTTAAAAGATCTTGTTATAAATTAATTAAATTGTTTAAGTTTGTATTAACTATAAGTACTGTTGTTAACCTATAAACCTACATCTAACCAACGGTGCTTGGGAAAAGCAACAATGTCTTCATGGTAACTGGATGGGGGCCGTCAAATCGAAGGGCAATATTTACTTACAGGTATACGATAAATAATTTTAAATTAATACGTATTTCTTCCTAATATACGATAAAAACTTATACCTTAATAAATTCTAAATTCAAAACAATACTAGTGTCGTGTGTGTGAGGACATTGATTCTGTATAATCTCTACCATCTTTAATTTGTTTAAAAGCTCTGTAAAACTTTACGTTACAAAGCCGAGTTTGTGTAACATTCTTATCGCAACTAAATCTCTAATCTCTGAAGCGAAATCACCAAAGCAACTCTGAATAACTGAACATGTCTGTGAATAAACTAGATCTAAAATGTACAACAAAGTGCTAGTAAAATTTCAGTTTTCAGTTTAATATGTTAGAGCTGAATTATAATTAGCCCCAAAAATAGTTTAAGTAGGTTATAATTCAAAACATTCTATAATTTGAATGAAAGTCAAATAATTTTAATTTTGTAATCCAATGCCAGTAAATTTTATTTAAATAAATTTAATCGCGCAACATTGCACGAGATTAGAATCGGCAGGTCCTGGGTTCGAAATATAATAAATTATGGATAAATGTGGAATGGAATTTTGTTTAATACACATTATTTACGAGCAGTAAATAAAGTGTATTAGAGAAACAGACATATACATTACATTTTTTGTTTATTTAAAATTCCTTTAGTGACAACCTGATGTACTAAGTCTTTCGTGTAAACGTAGTGGGCTTAATATTTATTTTGAACCACGACGGCAACCTCGTCTGCCTCACAGGCACAGTGAATTGTGTCAGGGTCGACCTCCTATTGATCTCACTTCTTTTATTCTGACACTCGACCCTTCCTGTACATTCTCTAGTTAGCACACTTGAATGGAAATACCTATACAACGCTGTACCTCGGTCTAAATATGGATTAGTTGTCTATTAATTAAATGGAACTAATTTATTTGAATTTATATTCTGAATTATAATAATTGTACAAATATTTTTATTAGACTTCTCTCAATGATGAATCATTTCTTATGCATTTAAAAAAGGTATTTTTTATTTGTCATATTAAAAAGTGTATTAGTTTCTGTTATTGTCAAAATTCACGCTTAGTTTCCAATATCTAACTGTTTAAATAACACCTTAAACAAAAAAAATATTTAAAAAAGTAATTATTTCTCACCGGAGCGCCGCTACCACAAGGCTTCCAAAAGTGGAGGGTAGTGTAAAATAAGATAACTAATACATTTCGCGTTTCTAACCGTTAAAATATTTAAATCTATATATTAGATTAGAATCAATTGCACAATGGCTTAAACGCTGTATATCTATAAACGTAATTATTTAAAATTTTCTTTCAGGTAAGCACCAAAATAGCCGTTACGTAATTATTGTCCCGCGAAGGTAAGTAAACATTTTCTAATTGGCTTTGTCTTATTTCTAACAAATGGGAACCCATTAGTTGTAGCCATGAATTTCGACTTTGAGATAGGTTCAGTAAAAGCTTTTAGAAATATAAGACGTTGTTTACTTTTTACTGTTATTGGTGTACTTTGCGAGTTCTTTCGTGTAATGGAAACTTCCAAATTTATTTATTAATTATCACAGATTATAAATTATCTGTATATATCTTAAATATTTATTTATCTATACCACAATAGATGATATAAGAAATTCTGAAAAAGTAATTTGTATTGTTAGTTTTAATGTCTTCCACGCACCGATTACTTAGTAAGAAATTTTATAAACAAAACTTTATTGTAGAGGTGCTGTACGTATTATTCTCTATGGCATTTACTTTAGCTGTAACCTCCTTTCTGTTCGCGGTCGGAAATAAACTCTATTGTTGGTACGTATAATAGCTGCTAAGACTTATACACTTTTTGTTAAAACAAACCAGCTACTTTTTCCAAGGAAAAGAAAATGTAAGGTTAGTGAAGTTTGTAGATACCTCCATGTTTTCATTTGGTACCCGCATTTTACGCGACGAAATGAAGAAATCCGATTCTACCCCAACACTCGCAAAATGCATTCCAAGTGCTCCCGCTGTTTTTCCGAATTAGAGCGACTAATAGCATGTTGTAAGTTCTCCCAGTCTAAAGAGTTCATTAATTTCCATCTCTTATAAGTCTCCAAGTTTTCTTTTTCAAAACCTTGTGAGAGTGGTGTTCATATATCACTTAGCATTACACGACTTATACAGTAAATAAAAATATATTTATTTGTTTATTAGCAGTTTATTTCAAAAAAGAAGAGAACAAAAATACAAACGAGACTCATATACTAAAACGTGAACCCCGATAGGCAAAATAACGTTTCACCACCCAGAATTCGAACCTTAGACATTCTTATCTACTTGTTTAAATACTAAACCAATAGTCAGGTTTTATAAGCATGAAACATTTTTGTGTTTCTTAATCTAGTAAATGTTACATAAACGTTTTTAAGATATTTAAATAATTTTTTTTAGCAGTTTAAAACACGAAATACGGCCTAAGTAAATCTGCTAAATTTGATTTTGATATTTGTGACACCCCACAATCCCCCGTGACCATGTCTGCTGTAAAACATCTGAAAATTCAAGCCGTAGTTAAAAATAATTGTAAATAAGCTAACTAATATATTTCGCATTTGAACCGTTAAGAGTACTTCATTTAAATAAGTGTGTTAAAAATATTTTCACATTCGATTTATAACCTCGCCGTTCTTTGAACAATTCGATACACGTCGCCCTGAATACCCGTTCGCGACATTTAAACTTTGTCACGTAGCGAGGCTTCCTTCTAACATAGACTGCAATGGAATAATGTCGATCGCGATGTTGTCACTCTGAATGAAGCCGACAGGCGGCGCCACATCCACCCATACAGATCACATAGCGTACCTTCCGATTTGTGCATCTCAAATATAGGAGAGATTATTGTGAATACAGATCTGCAAAGCACTACGCCTGCGTCCCATTCAAGGCTGGAGCATTTTACATATTGTGTACCTACATTTATAGATAGTTTTGATTTGTTAGCTACTCCGCCTAATACGTATTTTAAATATTATGTGCTTGCTCGTCATTGTACTCGTCGGTCCAATATAGCAATGTAAAGATAGACCACCTCTGTACCTAAGTAATCAAGTGATTGAAAATCTATGCTAGTATTACAAAGCTGAAGAGTTTGTTTGTATTGAAATAAACCACTTTAACGGTTTAAAACGGGATATATTAGTTAAACTTATTTGGAAATTATTTTTTATTTCGGCCCGACGTTTCGGATGCTTTACAGCAGTCATGGTCACGGGGAGACGGCTGCTGCAAAGCACCCGAAACTATAGAAAATTTAGTTTGTTTGTATTTTTAATTAAACGCGCTTATTCGAGTTTCGGATAGACCATATATTGAGGAAGGTTTAAGTTTACGACCAGGACAAACACACGGCGTGCGCTGCGATAACAGATCAAGAAAGAAAAAAGGTGTATGCAAAAATTATTCTTTTTTAAATGACCTAAAAAAACCGTTTTTATAGTAAAAAACGGTTTTATAGTAGTAAAATTTCGTCGAAATACTTATACGGCGAAGCAAAGTTTTCCACGCCATCTACCTACCATAGTATCTTTCGTATTCGTAGCTCAAAAATTGTAAACTTCAACAGAAATCAATCACGTTTAACATAATAAGAAAGAGCATTGACCCGCCGTCCACTTAAGAAATCTAAACACATATTTTCATAACAGGTATTTCCTCTTAAAATGTTGCCCTGCGAGGAATATTTTGCGCGTGAGAAAACCCGGCGTAGCAGCGTGAGTGCTGCACGATAACGCCCGCTATAATTAAATTACACCCTTTGCGTCGGAAAAGTTGCGTTTATATTTTTTACTTCAGTTTCTCGCAAATTTTTATAACCATTACGGCTAAATGCTTAAGATTAACTTCACGACGTGTAAGAAATAATATAGCACAAATATAATTATATTTATGCACTAGTTGTAGGACTTTACTGTACAAACACACTGCTTCTAACGTTTGGATAATTAAAGCATTTTTTAAGTTTACTTTAGATATTTAACTAATTAAGTTTGTATTACAAAATTAACTATCTATTATATAGATACTGTCTATAGTTTACGCGAGTAGTACACATTTAAATAAAACACTTTAACGGTTTAAAACGCGATATATTAGTTAAACTTATTTGAAAATGATTTTTAACTTCGGCCCAACGTTTCGGATGCTTTGCAGCAGCCGTGGTCACGGGGAGACTAAAGATGGAGGATGTCTCTGACGTCAAAGTTAAAAAAAAAACGAAACGTCGGGCCGAAGTTAAAAATCATTTTCAAATAAGTTTAACTAATATATCGCGTTTTAAACCGTTAAAGTGTTTTATTTAAATATCTATTATATATTTAATATAAATAGTCTATCCTATAATTAACTCGGGTTAGAAGTGGTTCCCAGGAAACAGGAAGTGCCTAGTTTGCGATCTCATAAAAAAATCTCCTTGTGATAAAAAATAACTTTGCGGGGGGGATATTGAACTTTATTTCAAACTTAAAACATTTGCTTTATCTGAATAGTAGATATAATATTTGTATTAAAACCTAATTTGATTAACCACACATTATACAACTATTAAAACATACAATATTAATCTGTATCGAAAAATCCCTTTCGTCGGCAAATCAATCACAAAGCAATAATTCGATCAAATTGTGAGATTCGGTGATGTCAGAGTGTTAGGCGGATACAGGGCAGTGGGCACACAGGCGCCGCGGCGCCGCCCGCCCTACGGCGCGCCTGCTCCGAAATCGCCCGACGAGTCGACGATCGTTTCGAGCCGATGTTTGACGAAGGCTGCGATGAGCCAGTCGCAGTGAGCACCTCTCGGGCGTTGGAACCGTTCTGTGCATACGGTGTGCGGTTATGTAACTCAACTTATTTATTTATCAACTAAAAAAATTACACCCGACCGCGGCATAAACTTTCCAACTATTATCGTCATTGATACGATGGATTGAGGTATCGTACATGTGAAGTGATGTGTACCTACGCCTTCATTCTCGGTAACAGAACGTCGGCTGAGCAGGTTTATCGTTTTATCAGAAGCGATTAATTGAATACGAAATTATTATTGTTGTCTATACTACAGCTGGGTAGATACTGAATTATTAACATCGAAAAATAGTCTACGATCTTACATTTAGTTAATAGAATTGTTTCCACCATTTATTTCAACAATTATCTGGTTACATCAATAATTAACGCTATGTAAATAAATCTATATAGCCTGCTATATGCTTTATCATTGCTCATTTACACTTTTCGTTGAAAATAAATATGAACCTTTCGTTCTTATTTGGCGCAATGCAGGACTTTTATAAAAAAAACTTGTATTTTTATATAAATGTTAATTATATTTAAAAATAACAAAGTTAAGTTTATTCGAGTAATTTATACTACTTTATCTTAAATTGCAAAAGCCCACTGAAGATACAATTAATGCAGTTAAAACGCAAAAATAAATATCCTTTTTTCTGCTTCCGAATGCAACAATATTGATAAATCAATTTATGAACGGCGAAGCTGTACCTGGAATTAAATTTGATTGAAAATTAAATTATCGTGAAAGAGTGCTTCGCTGGAAACGTTCAATATTGCCTAAAATGTAAATGAATATTTCATATTTTGTTACACTCGCACGTATTAAAAATTACCATTTCAATCCTTGTATCGGAGAGGACAGCCATACGCTTGAAAATGAATGTGTTATTCGAGGTTTAGAATTAGCGCGAAAATGTTGGAAGCACTCTCAAAACATATGACATTGTTCTTTAATCCTCTTAATTAAAACCTGTGTTTTTAAACTATAAGATTATTTCTTACTATATTATCATGACGTAAATTAAGTGATTTTAATGGCGGTAACCATTTTAAGCTTATTTACAGAAGCTGTAAAATTATGTACTTACAATTTTATTAGTTTAAAAAACTGAGTAGTGCATAAACGATGGGAGTTGCCCCGAGGGTAATCTAGGCTGTTAGTGGAATTAAAACGTGAAAATTTCTACTGTATAATACCTAATTTATCATAATACTTTTAAAATATTTTTTCGTAAGCTTTATTAATAATTCAGTTTCTACTCCGGCGCAATACAAATGAAAATCGTATAGTGATCTGACTCTCATAAAAAATGACTTAAGTGATCTTGAAATAAACTATGTGCATGAAAGTTCGGAGTGCATAAGCCGCTACAATGAAAAAGCGGATAATGGAGATCGTCAAGTAGTAATGAGGTGACGTTCGCGACCCGGCCGCTGACGCCGCACCTCTCCAATGATGGTGGAAACGCACCGCGCGCCACCGCCCCGGTGTTTGCGTGCGCCCGAGCATCGTACGAAGCCCTCCTCCGCCTCAGCACCGGCCTCGCTCTCCGGCAGCGGCACCATGATGCACCTCCGTCGTCGCAGGCACAAAACTGTCCATTTCGGCGAAAACCTCCTGATGCAAGTCTGCGCTGATCGCGCTCATCTGGCGGCGCTAGGAGCACGTATTCCCGACATATCCTTCTGCCACAAAGCCCACACGGGCGTAGAAAAAGGGGACGCGCGTTACTGTTGCGTCGCCCACCATTGCTGCTTGGCGTCCGGAGCGCTCGTGGCCTTGGCTAATGGCCGACCGCAGCCGCATCGCGACAGAAGCATAGACTCGCATTCGAGCGGAGGCGAACCGGATAAAGGTGAAGGCGAATCCGGAGCCAAAGAGACAAAGCGAAAGCACAAACACCACCACCACCACCATCACCACCATCATCATCACAAAACTCACACTTGCCCCTACCACGACGTGGCGCCTCCGCCGGACGAACCAGAGGAGAAGCCGGTCACGCCGCAGAAAACTGTCTCCCCGTATCTATACATACCGAGTAAATTAGAACCGAACGTGCAACAGTTATTTAGTTTTATTGAGAGCGTGCTTAGTGCTTGGGCGGCTGAAGAAGGTCTGACAAGCACCGGGGAATACTCCGAACCTGACGAGCGAATCGTTCGCCGGCGGAAACTCCACAAGTACAAGAAACGCACAGATGTTCTCAATATTAGGCGCATTGCTTACGAAGTCTCAATACTCCACGGTGCTAAACTGCTGGGCAACGTACGGTTCCGACACTATCACTGGAAGGGTACTGCTCAAACTTGCAATGAATCTTTTCTGACGAAGGTAAGATAATCAGTTTCTCGTCTGAAGTTCTCATGCCTTAATTAAACAGAACTGGAAGTAAATATATAATTAGAGTAAAAACTCTTATACAAGAAGATAAGAACAATCTTATCTCCTGTCTATTTTAAATTGCACGATGACGTTGGTAAGTGTACACTGTATGAATAAGTGAGGCTCAGTAGCCGGGACCGACAGCTTAACGTGCTTACCGAAGCTCATAGGTAGAACACAGCTTTATCTTCGAGCTGATAGCTAATAGACTAATTCTTAGAAGAATAGTATATTTAATTAAAAGAATATAAAAAAAAACAATTCAGTTGTTACGAGTTCCGAATTATAAATCATGATCTACACCCAGTGAACTAAACAATATGATTTATATCATTAAATATATTTATTAATATTAGTAATTATTATATTTTGTCATGTACCAAAAGTTGATTACCACAAAAGAGGTTCTTCTTAATCTTAAAAGATAGACATATACTGTCACGGATATCTCTCTTTCTCTATTATGCTCGACAAATGTGTAACCAAAATAAAAACATTTATTTTTTATTTGAACCAATAGTTCATGAGATTAGCGCGTTCAAACAAATAAACTCTTCAGCTTTAATATTAGTAGAGATAAACTAATTTCTCGTTATTCATAGTTTTGTACAGCTTCATTTGCCGTTTCTATCTAATTCTTTCTATCAATACCTTCGAGATGTTTGCTATCTTGATCGAAGTCTTCTCCAATGCTATTGAGAATATTAACTATGCTAACATCTTCGTTCACCTTTACCTTTTCTATTCTTCGAGTAGAATGGGTATACTGACGCCATACCTTACTAGATTTAAACTAGATTATATATACTTATTTTAATGGAATCGAATACACGATAAGAGCCGGTCTTTATATGTCTAACCTAGACTTTATTTCTTAAGACGTGTCATATGCGAGTAACTAAAAAGCGTTAACTAAGATTTAATGTACTACGGTTTGATCACAATTAATTTTAGTCAGTAACTTTCTAAACAATATTATATTCACATATAAATCTGATTTTAGAGTGATGAATTCCTGCTATAAATCTTTGCAAGAAAAAGTTGCCATTTATGCCATAAGTTCAACATAATTACGGTATTTTGTTTAATTGCAAAAAAAATATTTTCAACTCAACGAGTTTAAACTAAAAGCAGCGACACTTAATTATGTCTATGAAAAGGTAAGGCTTGATAGTTATTAAATTGTGCCATTTTTACAACATATTAAAATTAACTTTTTATTTTAAAAGATTAAAAAGTCTATGGTAGCTATGTATAGTTATTAACAATCGGGTCGTGAGTTCGAACCAGCATGTTTGCAATTTGTTTTTGTTATTATGTAAAAATCAGTTTTGAAAATCCGGACATTAAATAAGTTAGAATCCGAGCCACAAACCCCCAACTACAGATAGAAATATTATGTACGATATTCGCGTTTCGCTTACAGTCTGTTGATTTTTCTAATGTCCATCACCTAAATAGCTCGAGAACGCATTTTTTCGATTATAAATGACTAGGGAATTTGAAGTATTGTCAAGTGAATAATATTAATAATTATCGTTATAATTAACAAAAGATTAAATACTGTCTGTAATTTGTGCGATAGTACACATTTAAATAAAACACTTTAACGGTTTAAAACACGTTATATTATAGTAAAACTTGTTTGAATTTTTTTTTAACTACGGCCCGACGTTTCGGGTGCTTTGCAGCAGCCGTGGTCACGGGGAGACAAACTTAAATATATCGCGTTTTAAACGGTTTAAGTGTTTTAATTAAATAAAATTATTATTTGACTCTTTACATTGTGTTCGGAGGTTCGAGTCTCGCCTGTGTCAACGAATTCTTCAATCTCAAATAGAATTACCATACAATCTACTATAAGATATTAAAAATTGTCCCATCATTGATACTTATGACTTTGCGATGATAAATTAGGATGACACGTCGTTTTAGCCGACATAAAAAGGCCCGCGGTGAAACATCGTGCAAAGTTGTATATGTTTTTCAGTCGACTCATATAAACGCCGAGCGCCATTAATTCTTAAACATAAATAAGAGTAAATCTATGGATATAGCGAATGACCTTATTCCAGGTTTCACCGTGAGAAGCTGCAATTTCCTTTTTACTAATGAGGCCTTTTATATTTCTACTCTGTGGCTATGCAGAAGTGTTTCAATTTGCATTAAATGTCTATTCTTAAGCTGCGGATCAACTAACGCCTCACTTCAGTATTTATGGATAGCTGCAGCATTGAATATTCATATACATTTTAACGGTTAGAGCAAATCAAGTTAATGATACAGCGCGGAGGTGTTTTGGTTAACATAAGATTTGACATTTGACAATTGACAATTGCGGAGAGGGATTTCAACGTTTGCCGTTATCGATTATCCATTTTAAATTCGATGGTAATTGGAATCGATAGTTAATACAGATAATGTTATTCGATGAACTTATTGGGTGATATTGGTAATTAAAATATATATTTCGGTTCCTTTCTATATTTGCTCATTATACACAATTTGTTTGCAGTACTTACTACTACTACACACATTACTACTACAACACGTTCGTCCTTATTATATTACCTATCTGCGTGATCTATCAAAATCGGTTTAGCCGTTTCGTATGAATGATTCGTTCGTTTCACTTAAATTCATTGTGACCTGTACATTCTAAGTGTAGTAACTCTTGTCTGTAGTTCACGAGAATAATACGCATCTAAAAACTTCTTACGGTTTAAAACGCGAAATATATTAGTATCTCCCCGCACCACAATATATCGGGATGTAAGTTAACTAATATATTTCGCGTATAAACCGTTAAACGTGTCTTATTTAAATAAAACCACTTGAAGTTATCTTAAATCTCTTTACGCTGCTTAATTACTTCTTTGTACTAACTACAATCTGGGATAAGTGAAGTATTAATATTTCATCGTATACCTGGGGGTTTATAACTCTTCCGAGTTTAAGGAACCCGAGCAATTAATTTAAACTAGATCTTATTCGTCTTCGAACCCGCCTTCACTAAGGAGATTAACAAAGCTTTAAAGCAACATAGTCCAAATTAAAATGTTGCCAGTCTACTAATTACTTTTATAAAATGCATTTCCATACAAATTTTCTCTTAATTCAGTGCAACGCATTGCATGCCAATTCATATACACACTATACGTCGGCGTTGTCTGTGTTATGTTTGATATTATGCAGCTGAAAGAGATGTTAGTAATGTCTTTATGAATAACGCAACACGATTATTCTTTGAGTTCTTTTAAGTCGCCTGTCACCGTACTAAAGCATGTGAACTAAACATCAGCAAATGTAATTGTTATATTTGACATGAAATGTTTTTAAATTTTAACATTTACATGTCTGTTGAGTATTTAGTAGATTGAAACTGTTTTATTCCCTTACTTGGACATGTAACTCGTTGTAAATTAAAAATTCGCTTGTATTATAGATAATTCACAATTATTAAAATATAATTTATCTCTCCTTTAACTTGAATTATACAGATATAAACATTTCTGACGAACGAAGTAAGCTTGGTAATTTATTAAACTTGGAATGCTGTGGTCTTAGGTTTGAGTTCCGTACATTTCAATCAGAAGTAGATTTTTATCTTATGTAAAACTTTCTTGTGCAATAACATACGAAAAACAATTATGTTTGAAAACATTAATATTTTTCACATGTTATTGAACATGAAGGCACTATATAATTTAAAGATCGAAGAAATTGAAAAAAAAATTGAAAAATTTTTTTCAATTTATTTTCGATTTTTAAATTATAACAATTATGTTTTTCGCAAATGTATGGAATAAAGTTTTAATAAATGACAAAAGCCCTTCATACTTGTGTGTATTTTAATTTTATCGTTATTTGCTCGTTGGTGGGAGATAAAGTATCAATTTTTTTTGCAACACAAACACCATTCTGACTATTTGACCCGAACTGTCAAGGTCATTCAATTGACACATTGCAATGTCATCTTGAAGCATTTCTTTTATACCGTGATAGTCTTCATACGCGCGCCCTACATAAAAGCTTTTGTATGGGAGGCTTTTGTAGGTATTCTCAATTAGGTACATATCAAATTGCGTTATACAATATAGAATTTTTTAGAGAAAAGAGGCGAGAGCGCCGGTGGCACAGTCGAGGGCCATCGAGCCAAGAGCGCTGCCGTATACCGTATGTGCCTCAAAGCAATATAAATGTTTTTGTTTGATTTTTTATCTAGTATACAGGGGGTCACTGTGAATTTAACTGTAAATAAGTATTCTCAAAGTATACCTAAAAATCAATTACAATTAAAAGATTTTTTTGTTAATAAATAGCACTAAAGTCCTTGAATTTTACTGCGTTTTTAAAACTAGAATTTAGCAGTAAAAATGACAACATATACATTACTTTTCAATTTTCAATAATGTCATTCATTATGTGTCATAATGTTTTTGTTAATTCGAAAAAGTTCTATCAACAAAACTACTCGGCCGATTTTAATGACGTTTTCGTAGCCACATTATATTAAAAAATTGTGTTAAGTCCGTCGTTATAATATCTATATTAGTATTATAATCTTGATGAGTTTGTTTGTTTAAACACGCATATCTGAGGAACTACTGCGAATTGATTGTTTTTTTGTGTGGGATAGACCATTACCAAATAAGGCTTTAAAATATCATTCTGCAATCAATAAGAACAAAGAAACAGAGGGAAATGTGAAGAAATAATGAGAAAATTTTTCACCTTTCCCGCAAGAATGACAAGACGGGACGTCACCGTCGTTGGTAACAGTTATTATCTATAAAGCTGTGAAAGTTTAGAAAAAAAATTATAGGATGTAATATTAGTGCCTGATTTAAGTTCCCGAAGTCGAGTTCGATCCTCGTTCGCTCTAATAAAGTATGAAGATCCCTTCATGACTTCAACCAAATTTCAAGATGTATCATCTAGAAACGAGTATAAAGATAACGTTATGGATTATATATATATATATATATATAAAGAAAGGTAATAAAAATAAGAGGGTTCTTAGGAGTCCCATCATGGGAATGCCTCGTTACAATGTATTACCGTGCATATGCGTAACATTGATAAACATGGAAGGAATGTAATAAACAATCCGCAAACGTTTCCATAGACAAGATAAAAAATAAAGGTCCCATACAACTAATACATATTTAATGTATTTACCAATACGGTTCTTCTCCAATAACATTGACCAAATATTATATAAAATACATGTTAGTATAGAATCAAAATTCTTACAACGAACAAACAAATATATAAGTATATTGCAAATCTGAGACAACAAGGTTGTCCATATTTTCATCATTCACTGTTTAACATTTGCAGTAAATCAAAATATTTGTGAATCAAGATTTTGTCTGCTTAAAATCTATACTTACTAATATATAAAGATGAAGAGTTTGTTTGTTTGAACGAGTTAATCTCAGGAACTACGGGTTCGAATTGAAACATTCTGTTTGTATTAGTTTAGCGCAATTATCGAGGAAGGCTATAGTATATATATAGTGACCAATAGAAGCGAATATACAGCGGGAAATGTGAACAAAACGGGGGAATTGTTTCATCTCTGTGTTCCGATGCGAACGCCGCGATAACGGTTCCAGACACCCAAAAAATAGATGATGAAAGAATGATTTCTCTATCTTTTAATATCTGATATGTCTATCTTTTAAAATTAACTTGCAAGAACGGCGGGACGCGACCGATATCGTGGGTAGCTTAAAATTATAAAGCAAAAACAAATTTGGATGCCGAAAATAAATATTCTACGCAGACGAAGTCGCTGACACAGCTAGACATAACACACCCATAAGTATACTTAGCTATATTTGATTTCAAAGAATCGCAAAACAGTAATACAGTTGATAAATGTACTAATACATTTACTTATTTGCTTCTTCTTATTATTGTTTCTTTACATAAAATAATATTAGCTGTCGTTTACAGAAATTGCTAGTTGGTTATATTTTTATTGTCTCATATCAACTGGGATTCAAGTTATAGCTTGGGGTTTATACAACCAGTTGTGCCCTGCTTCGTATATGTTGGATCTAAAAAAATAAAATGGTAAAATTTATTTCAATTAACTATACATGTCAATTGTTTTTTTTTTCGGATAATTCTATCGGAAAATATTTTAAGGTTGCAAAATTTAGTCATAATGAAGTTCTTTAGATGTCTGTATTTTACGCGAGTAGTACAACATTTAAATAAAAAACTTTAACGGTTTAAAATAGGATAGAAAGTCGATAACGCGAAGCCCTTCAGAATAAAAACAAAAAACAGTTTATTGTTTTATGATGTTAGAAGTCGCATACAACTTGAATATCTAATGCAGGAAGTAAGCGACTAATAAAAAGTTTCGAGCAGGTATTCTATCTATCAACGTTAACCAAGACGAAAACAGTTCAGCCCTCGAAACGAGGGCACGACTGCCAGTAAATTACGTTAGGTATAAAGTGAAATACCTACTGTGAAAACAGGTATGTATATATACACCTATAGCTCGCCGTCTTCGCAATTTACAACATTAAAAATTATTCCCAAGTACGCATTCACCGAGGGTTGAGCGAAATTTCTTTCTTTCTAGGGCGAATGTAATTTTCTTTGAGGTTTGTTGACGGCAGCAGTTTGGCTTGCGGTTTCCAAATTAATTTTGAATTGGTCTCTCCGTAAATATTTCGAATTATTTATAATAAGCTTCGTTAAGGTAATTTAGGGACGTCTTTCTATGTGCCATCTTTACATTCTAATTAAAGCCTTCATACACATTAACCGTACGTACAAAACGATTAAAATATACGCCCCATCATTAAACACTATGTGACGTTTTTCCTCTAAAGGTTCTCCACACTGTTTACACAAGTTTCTTTTTTCTATAGATATCCGACGATGATCGTATGTCATTGACGACGGCCGTGTCTGATGAAGAAGACCCTGGTGAGAGCGCAATGAATTCTCCGTACAAAGGGAAACAGACTGGTGCTGCAGCGGCGTCCTTCAATTGCACAGGAGCTGTCAGGAAGGCTGGGTAAGCGATTAACTTTCTTAAAATAGATCTTAATAATACTATTTATTTACGACTTCTACTAAAAACCTTCTTGTTTTTCGTCTTTTACTATTGCTTACAACATGTAGAAAATTCTTTAGTTTTTTCTGATACACCATCAGTTTGAAAGTATGTAATTCTGATTCCAAAGTACTTTAACACAGTCAAATTGCTAAGCACGGCCTGAAATATTCATAAGTCATAACCAGTTTCAAATTAGGCACCCGCAAAGTAATCTTAAAGATTTAAAAATACAACTCTTAAGATCCATGGAAATTTAATTGAAAGCTGTTGAAGAAAATTTATAAAATTTTTGTTTAAATACAAATTAAATAAATGATTAAGTGAATATAAGACGGGCTAAGAAGTGTGTCGAAGTTTTTTACTCGTATAATGCAATGAGGGCGGTTCGAAAAGAAGTATGTGAATTTTAAGAGGCTTGTTTTCATTATAAAAATGAGACTATAGTGAATCCTGACATTGCTTTCATTATAGCTCTATACTAAGCTGAAAGAGTTAAAAAGGATCTTTAAGCGTGCGTCTTAAATTTTAAGTATATAGCGATAAAAGACGGAGAAATCACAAAAGAAAGTGACATTAAAGAGTTGACGAGTTTCTTAGAGCCTGCAGCATCCTTTACATTTCTTGAGGCTACAATTCCTGTTCCATGAATCCCAAATGACCGGAGGGAAATCTTAGCCGTGACCCATTCAACGTTAGTACAAGCGCTGAGCCCCAGTATAATGGCAGGATACATTATCTTTTCGACAATTTCCGTCGTCTCTTCAATATTTTCAGCTTTTGCGCAGCTTTTTAATCAGAAGATTTCGCGCGATCGTATTGTATAAGTTTAAAACTTTTTCAATACACGGATACGATATTCTTCGGAGTATTTATAATATTATATTATATTTGGTAAAGGAAATTTCTGTAGATTAAAGGAGTAAGCACTTTTGTTAGTGTTTAAGGTGACCATATCAGAATAAAAATTGGAAAATTCATGAACAAAGTATTTTTCTTTCTCTTCTCATATTCTCCACTTGTAAAGTAAATTGGACATAAGAACAAAACTAAATACGTTATCACCTTACAGATTCCTAAGCGTTAAAAAGTGGCTGCTAAGAAAGAAGCATCAGATCGAGCTAGCAAGGAAACGCGGCTGGAAAGGATACTGGGTGTGTCTCAAAGGCACCACGCTACTGTTCTATCCGTGCGATTCTCGTGAGGGTAGATCGGTGGAAGCCGCGCCCAAACACCTCATTATAGTTGACGGAGCGATAATGCAACCGATTCCAGAACATCCCAAACGTGATTATATATTCTGTCTGAGCACAGCTTTCGGCGACGCGTATCTATTTCAAGCTCCGTGCCAGGTAAACACGTTAAGTTATAGATGTACAGCGCGTTAGGAGCCGTTGTTCATTTTATCCTATTTTCCCAGGTGGAGCTCGAAAACTGGGTGAATAGCATACATAGTGCATGCGCCGCGGCGTTTGCCCGCCACCGAGGCAAGACCGGAACGCTCCATCTACTTCAAGAGGAAATTTACCGGCTCGAAAAAGCCATAGAATCGGTGCGTACTTTGTGTAGTGGCTTGAACAACTATAGTATTTAGTAATGACCTAAAATTTTAATTTTCAATTATGTAAATTGAGATTTGTATGAAAAGCAAAATAAATACTCGCGGATACCGAATTATGACGTGGTATTCTTCTTTGCTTTTTTTTCTTAAAATTGCTTTTCTGAAGAAAATAACCAAGAGATCAAACGAAGGTCTTTAATTGGTATTTTTATGTGTTTTGCTTTTCAATTTAATAATTTTACTAACTGTCACTTCTCTCACCACTCTTATTAATAAAATCACTCTGCGCTACTCAGTTTTGGTTCAACCTTGCACAACAGAACAGTGTTGAACACAATGCAGATACTGAGTTATTATGCAACCCTAAGAGCATACAGCTTCGGCCTGAACCAACAGAAGTATTGTTTGACTGACATGAATCTCTAACTACCTCCGTAAACTATTGTGCATCAAGTCGAAATTAATCTATGAGACCTCGTAATAAGAGCTATATTCGAAATAAAGCAGGGATAACAAACATTTTTATCTCTTAAAATTTCGTTTTTGCAATTCAGTCGATCCGCACCGTCTACGTTGACGAGTTCGTAGTGAAAAGTAAAAGAGACGAGTATTTTATATGCAGTGGGCATCAATCTGTTTGCGGCTGATCATTGAAAGATATTCGTATTATGTGGAAATGTAGTGCGGTTTGCAACGTTCCGTATGGAAATTGTGCCAATTTGTAACCCGCACCGTTCGACCACTACTTAAGTCTTGTGGCTTTTGTCGATCGCAGCGAGAATATAATAATATGCTTTGAACATTTTCACTCTGCATTTTTACGAATTTACGTTAATTTTTATTTCTTTGACGTCCTTTATGTATTTCTTGGTACAATGATTGTGGTTAATACCAAACGGGCCACCGGTTTGATTCCCACCAAAAGCAGTATAATTTATGTTCTCATCTTTTGACTCGTTTGGAAGATCTAAAAGAAAAATCTAAATTCAGCTTGTTCCACCATCTACAATTAAAAAGGTGTATATCCACGTTCCGGTTTTAGTCTGTGGCACTCCACATCTTAATTTGGTGTTATAAGGCGTTTCATCTTCCGTCAAGTGAATCCAGTTTCGTCTGTTCTCCTGTGTCAAAAATAGTCTGTGGTCACGCACAGGTTGACACGCGCTCATTAACATTCATGATGCGAATACTCTGTGCCCTACTAAACTGCGGTCCCGCCATATTTCAAATTATCATAATTACATGAATGAGTAATTATTATAATTTTTACGTACCAAGCTATAACAAATAATACCTCGTTAAATAAAGTTTAAAATCTCATACAATTAGATATTACGTTGACTTTGTATATTTTCTTATATTCTTAACAGAACTTAACTGTGCGTAGTTCATGACAATATTTATTCTAAGAAGGCAATAAATATCAAGGGTTACATCAGCAAGAGGAAGTTTAATCCGGGAAGGTCTATCATAAGTTATATTTGCGCACATTCGCGTAAAATACGTACAATTTGTGGGTCTTTGGGCGTTATTTTTACATGTACTATTGAAATTTTGATTAAGTTTTAAATTCTTATTCGCGAAAGTTCTATAAAATAAAATGGAGAATATAGGTTCGTATGTCAGCAATTTTTTATATGTGTTTGTAAACTAAATATTTAATAATTACATAGTTACTCGATAACATATTATATTTAACTTCTTCTATTTCAACGAAATTTTGTGAGCGCATAAAGCGTTTTTATTAATTCTTATTAGATAGAATCTATTATAATAATAAAAATATCAAACTAAATTACAGGACGATGTATCTACGACCCTTAAAGCTACAAAAAATATATGTTCAACTAAAACAGTATTTAAAAATACACTGCTATATTCCTACGCCTTATTTAAATATCTTATATTTTATATATTTTTTTCTATATTCTATGTTAGTATAAAAATATATTCTGTGCCACTCAAAACCATTATTATATATTCGTGTAGGATCACAAATTGAAACACATGGCAGACCTACAGCAGTCCGTAGTTTCTGACCCGGAAACACGAGCTCAGTTGGCAGTGCAAATGTTACAATGGGAAGAAAATCTTGAACGACTGCATTGCGAACAATTCCGGTTGCGATGTTATATGGCTAGCCTGCAGAGTGGCGAACTTCCAAATCCCAAGGTAATATTTCATATTGCTTTTTTCAGTTTTATTTTAATACGAAACGCATGTTGAAATACTGCAGTTCTAAAAAACTGCTTAACGAGTTGGGAACGGCGATGCGTCTAGCGACTAAAAACAGGTATCAGAAGCGACCAGCAAAGTCGTGCGAATAGTCGCTTCGCCGGCTGCGTCGTAGGTATTCTAGAAAATTTATTTTAAGCTATTAAAGGTAGACTAAAAATTTCAAGTTTAACGTTGCGTTCTCCTGTTGAAAATAAATTCAAAAAAAACCTATTGAATTCTATTTGGGTTAAGTTGTAAAATATTCGAGTAATCAAATTTTTCCACCATATCCAATTTGTCTTTCATTAGTAGTAATCGCGATGAATTACTGGTGCGTCATGAATTGGGTTTTATTTCTGCAAACGCGGATTAATGAGACTATCGATTCTTTAAAAATAATAGACACGTTGTGTGTACATAATAGATATTCAACGTCGACGATTTTGAGTATAATAAAAATGATATTTGTCTTGACATCACGAGCGTATTGACTACACGTCAACCTCAGTGATTGAATCGACATATTCGGCCAGAAAGAATGGCATATTGTTATATTTGCTTGACCCACATCATTTGGGGAGTAATTGATCCGTTCAATTATGTTTTCGCAGCGTATTTTCAAACTTTCACAAATAAGCGAAAAATGATTTCAGTTTCCATTAACTTTTCAGAAAAATAAGCATTCGTAATTCTGTCGCGATGACGGGTTTAAAATTTTCATTCAGCGCGTAAAAGCTGGAACGAGCTGTTAGCGGAATAAAATGAAGAAATAATATCGAGTGCGGCTTAAGCGAAATAATTTTAACTAATTATTAACATCTGGTATTAAAAATTCATACAAAATTGTTTCTATTCCTAACAGCGACAATGTAATCAACTTAAAAATAAATAAAATTAATGATTAGAAGCTTAGAAGCTCTATTAATGTTCTTTGTAATATCTAAGTAAATGCGCATCGGATAATGAGCAAGGCTTTGTTTGAGTTGCGGAAGAAGGTTTTATTAAAAGTTGTCTAAGTAAAGTAAAATTGTTGCAGTCTTTACTGACACACGTATCCCGCGGCACGAAGAGCACTCTGAACAAGTTGGGCGTGTTTACCGTGTCTTCGTTCCATGCGTTCATTTGTGCCCGTTCGCCCTCTCTGCTTAACAATTTGCTGGCGGGCAGAGGGGCCACTAAGCGAAGGGCTCCTAACTTGTCCAGATCTAATTCTGGCTCTAGCCGGCGGTCTATGCAGGTAAGGTTAATATACAAAGTTACTAGTAATAAATACTTAAATAAATTACCAATTAAGTAATAACTAACTTTTCTTTCTTAAGAATTGAATCTTCTTTTCTTTTATACATTTAGACGTCACTTTGTTATCCAAAAACTCGACTCTCTAGTGTTTTTGTTGATATTGAAAATGTCGTTGATGCTTGACGGGCGTGTCCCGACCGGCACCGAGTCCGACATTTTTCTAATCAACTTATTATTTTTTGAAACATGTTAGACTTTGTCAAAAAGTTTTGTTATTATATGGGTGGAAGGAATATCAACATTCCGAGCCACTAACCACGGTTCACAAAAAAAGCCGCTAAGTTTAATCGCATTTCGGCTCCACTATGTGAATTTCGCAATAGCCTAGGCCAAAATAGGTTTACAATCATCTTGTTTCGTGTTATATGCCCCAGCCATATAGTAACTTGGGGTATGATAGATGGGCGTAGGTAGCTTATCTGTCCTCGTCTATCTTTAAAAAAAACGCCATTTGTAATGATGTACAGTGAAGATTCATCCGTTTTGAGCATTAATATAATCTTTGCAAAAAGTTTGTAAAAAAAACCTAACTTATACGCAATACGTTCTATTTTGTACTTGTAAAAGTTGCTAAGTATCTTAAGAACATGCCCTATATTTGAATTGTGTCTCCATTTGCAAAACATTGTTATCTCCTTTGTTAAAATTGGCGTCCTTTTACAAGGCGATACAGAACTTCTTACTGGGAAACTTGTTCTTTATTGGAAATAAGAGTATTCAGTGGAGCGTGAAAAGCACTCAAAGTTAACCAGATATAAGCGTTGCTTGACGATATTGTAACGGCTCGTAATATGTATCGTCACGAAATACGATGATTAGTTACTTACGTAACCTTGGCTAAATTGCTAATGGTAGAATTCTCTCTCTCTCACTCATTCAAATACTCCTGAAAAGTAATTAGACGATTCTGAAGAACTATAAATACGAAACTTCAATATCATATGAAAAAACGACTGGGGCAAGACCTGAACCGGTACTGGTTCCGGTGACGGTCCGGTTAGAGCACGAAACGCTGTTGATGGCGGTTCAAAAGATGCCCGAGGCGTAATTTTTTTCAATTATTATCGATTTTTAATTATAAACATAATTTAAAAGTTTGTTCCCGAAAGTAATAATGCTACGTTTGGGATGAAATTAATATAATGTTGTTGGTTTAGTTGTTTGGTTACATGCTGATTCTAATCTCGTAAATAATATTTTATTGTAATATAAATACTTAATATAAACCCTGTAATAACTAAAAGGCATATAAAATAATAAAAAAACATGAAATAATGCTATAGAAGCTACACGTAGCTTTTTATACCTTTCTTCATAAGGATAATTAAAAATTCATTATCATTTTATGTCACAACATAAGGTGTAATTAAACATACACTTCGCTAATAATTAAATATTATTTAGTACGAGTTTTTCATCGTTAGAAGTAAAAAATGTCTCGTTATATCTTTATACGTATGCATATATATTATTAGATAAAGAAATAAATCAAGGAATATGTTTGTATGCATGACTGTGTTTCAGTTTTTGTGTGTTGAAGAATAAAAATATAATCTATCATACCTAGTATACTTTTGTAGTCAGTAGTTCTGAGATAATTATAACATGATTTTAAAATAACAATAAACAACCTAGATGTCACGTGAAGAAGGTGAGGCAGCTGTGCGCGTGTCCCTCCCGGAGGGAACCACGGCCACAGTGGGGGTCCGTGAAGGGATGTCCGTTGAAGAGTTCCTAGCATCAGCCTGTGCCCGACGATCGCTCAACGCTTTAGAGCACTTCGTGAGGGTCAAGAAACGACGGGACATGGAAGATCATAATTACTTTGTGCCCCATCGGTCTGATCTCATTGAGACTTATGTAAGTATTTTACGTAACCATTGTCTTCCATGTATTGTAAATTCCAAATCGGGTATTATGTTTACTAATACTTCAGTTGAAGTTAAACACAAAAAACTAGTGTACTTATCTCTTTCATATAAACGCCATTTCATCAAAAATTTAGTCCTAACTCGCTGTTGTTATGGTGGCAAAGCATGACTACTAATCAACGGGTTCGATCCCCGCCGAGTTTTTCTAATCAATTTATAATTTTTCTGAATAATGTTGGACTTCGTCTAGAAATCTGGTTATTAAATGATAGGGAAAATTCCGTCCGGGCCTGGAACCACCGGGCACAAATGAAAAAGCCGTGAAGTGTAATCGCGTTTCTGTGTGTGGGTTTTTGAAACCCAAAAAGGCTCTATAAATTATTGTAAAGGAATAATTCTACCAGGAGATGGGGTTCTCTCGTGGTCTGTTCTCCCTTATTAATAAAACATAATACAGAATTGAACTACTACATATCTGTTTATTAAAAATATATCTTAGATAATATACACTATGATACAAACTGTAGATAGAACGCTTTTTCAATTAATACAAAATAGCCGTGAACGGCTAGTAATTTGATGGCTCTTGTATTTTTATTTAAAATGTCTTTGTTTTTACAAGGGACCTGTAATTTGGTTAATGATACTCCTTTGTCCTGCACGAAGTCCCAACAGGCTGATTTATTTTGTAAAGAAAAGTAAATTGAATTAAACAGACATTTAAAATGTGGTCCACGTTACTTTATAGGTATAAAGACTTATTCGCTTCGTATATAATGAAATTACTTACATCGAAGTGGACTTCAGAGAAATCTTTTGTATTGTAACCTGTGTGAAATCTCGTTTCCCCTCGTGGGGCATGGGGCGAACACATTTCTGTGGAACTGATGAGTTTTTATTTAAGTAGCTACTTAGATCAGACCCGAAGTAGTTGTTCTGGCCCGGCCCGACCAAAACAATTTACTGTTACCCCGATTCGAACCTGGGCCCTCTCGCGCTTAACGCAATGCTAGGCAACATGTTTAACCATTTAGCTGCAGAGGCGGTAAACATAAACGAAGTATTGAATATTAAAGCATTCAGTTGAGGAAATAAAACTAGTAAAATTTTAAATGCTCTTCCGCCTAAGTAAGTTCTGAGAAAGAATATTTTTATTTCTTCGCCGGCTAAAGATTAATCTTTTAATTTTGAACGGTGCCAATTTTATTTAATTGAATCGCACTTTGATTTAAGATGGATTTATGTTAATTATACTTTGGCTTAAGGACGAACCTAATTATAGTCATTCCGAAAAATTTTATTAGTATAGGAGCTATATTTCACTTCTTTCACGGTCCGTAAAAATTTAAAAAAAAGATATATGTTTATTAAATGCTAACTGTATTAGCGACTTCGTCCACTAAGAATAGTTATTTTGGACATCAATATTTGTTTTTGCAAAACTCCTCCTCAACTTTATAACGTTAAGCTGTTGCCCACCACATCGGTCACGTCCCTTCATTCTGGAAAGTTAATCTTAAAAGATAGACATGTAGTGTCGCGGGTTTTTTAGATCATTTAAAGAGGAATCAATCTTTTTTTATACATATGTTTTGGTTTCTTGAACCGTTTTCGCAGCGTACGCAACGAAAACTCACAAAGATAATGCATCTTCGCTTGTTTTATTAGTCCCAGGGCGATATTTTTAGCCTATAACCTTTCTCGATAAATGCTCTAACCAAGATAAAAAAAATTCAATTCGAAGTAGTAATTTCTGAGATTAGCGCGTTCAAACAAACTCTTCAGCTTTGTAAGTATAGACAAATAAAAGTACTATTGTAAGTAATAGTTATAGTTTCAGTGCGTTTTTATAATTAGAAATTTATTCTAATATAAAAGCGGAAATTAACAAGTAGATCATACAGTTGCATACACACGAAGTGGTGGAGGTTTGCGCGAAGATCCTATACCAAGTAGAACTGCAGCGCACAACTTTGGAACAAATGTGGGGCTTTAGCGTGGAGGCCGAGCTCATTGAGAACGCGGAGAGACAAGACGAGCTTTGTTGTTACGTCAGTCGGGTTGAAGACAAGAGCGTCGCAATGCAAAATGGTAATTATACTTTGTACTCATTACTTTACGTCTTTGATGTTCTTTATTTTAACGTTTACTTTTAGGGCTGAGGTTCGCATTTTAGTTTGTAGTTAGCATTTTTGCTGTAGAATTATTTTAAAACTATAGATATATTTACTTATTTATGTAATATATGTTTTTATAACCTAGATCTTTTGATTAAATCCCCATAACTTAATTATAACAAATCAAGTCTGTAGTTTATGTGAATAGGACACGGTGAGATGTGACACTTTTTAAAACGCAAAATATCTCAATTAATTGTATTTTACTATGACCCAACGTTTAGGATGTTTTACGGAACGGCCGTAGTAATTAAGTATTGTATCCATCTATCTAATTGCTAATTACAAATTTTAAAAAATAAAAGCCGAAAAACAAATGGCGTCATAGACGAGTTAGTTTGACAGATGTCATCCTACATTAGACAAACGATATTAGGGACATATGCGGCACAGTATTAATATTGGATGCTCTGTGGTTTTCAAACGTTAATATGTTTGCAGACGTCAATTTGGCACGGTATACGCTCTTCTTATTTTGTTAGGCTAATAATCACTATGTAGCCGATGCTGTTGGCGATGTCTAATTAAGAATTTAAATAGTTATATCTAAATAAACCATTTGAGTCTCCCAGGTACCACAGATGTTGCAAAGCATCCGAAACGTCGGGCCGTAGTTAAAAATAATACTCAATAAAGTTTAACTAAAATAAATCGCGTTTTAAACCGTTATAGTGTTTTATTTAAATGTGGTACTCGCGGTAAGTACAGACAGTAGATAGTTATATGTTTATGTTACATTCTCTACTAGTTTCGTTCGCGACTGTCTTTATGACTTGATCAATGAAATGCTTATATTTGAGGTTGCTAGAGGCAGAGTGGCCTAATAAAAAAAGCATTGTTTTTTTTATGCGGAGGAAAATAAAAACGCAATTAACTTAGGAGAAAATGAATTTGTACTTTTATTTGTGTAAGAATTGTGTTAACGATTTTTGGTCAATGTGCTCTTGTAGATTACAATTTTTAGACTACTATGTATAACTTAAGTCATAAAAGTTAGGCTACTTTGCCACCGGCGGCCTCATATGTAGGTGATCTGTTGATGCAATATGCGAATATAGTAAATGGTATATCTCTATGACAGGTATCATTAAAGGTGACGAGATTATGGTGATCAACGGCGCCATCGTGTCCGACCTGGACATGATGTACTTGGAGAGCGTGCTGCAAGAGGAGCTCTCCCTAGTCATGATGATGAGGTAAGCCTCATTACCATCCTTATGCCACTGCGATCGAGTTAGCTGTTCATTAGGCGAGCGAACGCATTCGTTAGCATCGATTCGCATTGGAAATTTAACCAGCTTCCGTCGGGAATGCCGCGCCGAGCTACCCTTTGCAATAAACCAAACCTGTTTTAATATGGCTACAACAACGATATTATAAGCACAAAGGCGTGCGTTTTAATTATTTTATATTAAGTAATCCTGTAGCTACCTATATTGCACATATATAGACATATGTCAACACAAAGTCGATATATGTTTCAAAACTTTAATATTTTTTATGACATTATATAAATTAAGAATCGATTATAAATTGAAAAAAAAATCTCAATATCGGTTCACAAACCACCGAATTATGCAGGAACAAAGAAACTAAGTATAATATCTTAAATGATTACATTGCGTGACAGGAGCATGCATAAATAGGTCGAAAAAAATGGATGGTCACGTGTAGTGTTGCTTAACTGGTTAGAGCAGCAGCGCTGAAAGCTGTGGACACGGGTTCAAATCCTGCCTGTGTCGTTAACTTTCGTCAATCTAAAATCGATGCTTAAATATAGTTCAAGTTGAGAATTTCTCTTATTTTGGAATTGCTTAAAAGGTATTTTATTAATGAGACCAGTCGTATATGCAGTAAGAAGGTTTAAATTAGAATGAAAATATAGTTTCTCATTGAAATAGCGTCGCGCTTAAATGCGTCCTCGCTCATAATTCATAAACACAACTTAGTTGAAATCTCAACAAACTGAGCTAGTTGAGCTGATTGTAGAAACAGGAAAGCGTAGCTCAACACCTAATGAAACGGAAGTTAAAGTGCGCCGCTCAGCCGGAGCGAGGCGAAGCCTTCGTCGGCATTTCCCGCCCTCGCACACCTGACCTTTAAACCGCTACCAGTTTAGTGAAGCGCTCGATGCGACCTATATACCCCTATTATAAAAGTCCCCTCGTCGCCCCGCCCTTAGGGTTGAAACATGACATGTGTCCACATTCTCTTCATAAACATGTGTCGTCGAGTGCTCGACAAACATCATTTCGCCGACGAAAATTGCGACAGAATTGAGATGAAAATACTTTAAAGTGATAAGCGTAGTGAAAGAATCTTGAAATCCGCAATGGGCTCTGCCAAGACACAGTTCTGTGTCCGTTTTATTAATCAACAAGTAGTGATCGAGTTTCTTTTTTAATGATAGATGAGGACAGTCAAGCATGTTGTTCACTTGATGGTAGTTGAAATACCCCAGCCTATAGCATCTAAATAAGATGCGCTGTCGGCCTATTTGGGCTTTGGATATTCGAAAACCAAACGTGATTGGACGGCTATTTCATCTGTGGACGGTGGTTCGTCATCCAGACGGAATTACGATATTCCTACCACCCGATATCCAGAATACCAGACGAAGCCCCAACATGTTTCAGAGAAATAATAAATTGTTTATAAAGTTGGACCCGGTGGAAATAGAGCTACGACCCGTTGATTATTAGCCGTACATCGGTATCATTACACCAACGAGCCTGACAAAGTTTATGTTAGCAAGATGAAGATGGACGGTCAATTAGTATTGTTAGACAGCCCTACAGCTTTCGCCTCCTGACCGGGACTATAGTAAGAGTTCGCAATTGAGTCTCGGAGCTCTCTCGTCACTGTGCTATCGCTCTCGTCCGCACTTAAATATATTCAGCATTGACTCCAGCGTGACATTGTGGTGAAAGCATTGTCTACCAAAGTGCAAGGTGTCCATCACATTAAAGTTATTAATCACAGTAAGTCACATTCTTATTGTTTAGATGGAAACGCGTTTTTATATTTTCGCTCATAAAAGATTTCCCCGTGAACTTTTCTAGGCCTGATCTGTGTCACGTACCTACATGAAAATGTTTCGCCTGACATACTTATTATAAAATGCAGCTGACAAATTCAGGCTCACACCTTTTATGCGGAGTAATTTTAACATATAAAAAGCAGATATTCGAAACATTTATAGTGTAACCGCGGAGTATTGTTGCGAGTACAGTGTTTCGCCATTCGTATTTGGCCATCAACGCATTTTTTCAAACAGAGCTTTAAAAAACGGAAATAACTGTGCGTAACTAAAATCAACATGTTATGTTCAATTTTATATGTGGTGTGGTTATAATGGTATATACTGTCTATAGTTTACGCGAGTAGTACATATTTAAATAAAACACTTTAACGGTTTAAAACGCGATATATTAGTTAAACTTATTTGAAAAGCATCCGAAACGTCGGGCCAAAGTTAAAAATCATTTTCAAATGTTTAATATATCGCGTTTTAAACCGTTAAAGTGTTTTATTTAAATATAATGGTATATGTTTTTTTATCTGAGATGCAGCTTCTGTGGTCACGTAGTGCCAATATAACAAATTTTCGCTTTTACTTGTGTTGAAAATTATATAATAATAATAAAACACTTTATTCCACACACAAATGAAATACAAACATAGTAAGACTAAAATAATTATTTACATAAAAGAGTTAGTGCAAAGGCGGCCTTATCGTCTATGGCGATTTCTTCCAAGCAACCTTTGTAAAAAGAAAAGGAAAACAAAATAACAATAAATAATTAAAAGCCAACGAGAATAAGAAAGAAAATGCAATAAATTGTAAAATACAATGATATCAAAACTAACACAACAAAAAACGTTAACACACTAAACAGTAAAAACTTAAGATTAAAATTTTGATCTTAAAAAGATGCAAATTTAAAATAAATAAAAGTATAAGCCAATAATCATCAAGAAGAAAATGTTGTTTGACTTTGTTCTTAAATGAGAGAGATTATAGATTAGATTGTAATTAATGTCTATGTAAATTTTAGAGCATTTTGAAAACCGGTCATTTCCGGCAATCGCTGTACGTACGCTCCAAATTGCGAGCAATAATTACAAGTTGCATGTACAGGTCATCCCGTACGGAGCCCCCCGAGTTGAGCGGAGCGATGCGCGCGGCCACCGACGACATAATCGATTCGCTGGTGTGTCCGCCGCCGCCCACCGATCCGCCCGTCATCTCCGATGACATGATATCGGGTCTCATCGTGCCGGCGCCTGCATGGAGTGAGTACAACACGCATATGCATACTTTCGATGAGGCTTTGTTACGCGTACAAATAACGTTCGATATTTGAAAATGGATCAAGTACGTAATTTTTACAGACAGAGGGAGACAGGTAACATGTGGTTCACTGAAGCTGAAATATATTTTTATATCATCGTTGTTTTTTGTCTGGAGCGGAATATTAATACAATCCATTTAATGTCCAGATTTTTTAGGTCTGGGTGACAAAGTAATTAACGGGTCGTGGGTTCGTACCTACATGATTCTAGTTGTTCAATTTATTATAAATTAATTAATATTAAATTATCCGAAACATGTTGAATTTCGTCTGTAAATCTGGATATTAAACGGGTGATAGGAATATCAAAATCCTGTCCGGGTCAGGAACCTCCGTCTACTGATGAAAAAGCCCTGAATTTAAATCGTGCTTCAGCTTCAGTCTGTGGATTTCCGAATATTCAAAGCCAAAATAGGTCGTCGGCGCAACTTGTTTAGATATTATATGGCTGGAGGTCCAATCCAGTCCCCACGCTTGTCTGTCATCCTCTATATTAAAGAAAAACATATTAGAGTTAGAATCGAAGCTACGACGCGTTATTAGCAATTCCTACTGTACCAACGAGCCACACATTCCCCGTTATATATCGCAAACAATATGACCCATTACGAAGTGTGCAGTGTCACTAGCAAGAATGATAGAATTTATATATTTCGCGTTTCAAACCGTTAGAAGTGTTTTATTTAATACACCACAATAGTTAATGTTAATCTAAAAGCGAATACTGATTTCCGGCCCGCTAACAATGCATAATGAATAATCTTTTCATTACGATATTGGTGCTTAACAAGCAACACTTCAATCTCCATAATACTTGGCATGGATTCCAATTGCGACTAGATTCAATATCGTGGCCGTCAGCCAATGAAATCCTATTCCGTTGTTTCCGTTTGCTACGAATGTAATTTCGCTTGCAATTATTTTTGCTTTTTTATCGGGCTTCAAAAATTTCATTCCACAGTTTGGATTGGGACGACGTTGCAGCGAGGTTCCGAAGCTGCAAACTCATTTGCAAAAAGCCTTGCGAACTTTTGTTACAGTCACAACACTATCATTGTTGATGATCATTGCTTTTTTATATATACAATAGAAATAGTGGTATATGCATCTAACTTCTAATGGTCAAACCTGTCTGTAGTTTACGCGAGTAGTACACACTTGAATAAAACAGTTTCACGGTTTAAAACGCGATATATATTAGTTAACTTATTTAAAAATTATTTTAACTACGGCTCGATGTTTCGAGATGCCTTGCAGCGGGCGTAGTCGCCGGGAGACGGCTGCTGCTAAGTAAAATGCGATGCGATGTTTTATTCTAATAGTGAGTTGGGGAGTTTGATTATCCACCGACAAAGCAAAAGCGTTAAACTTTATTGTCCAAATAACTTAAGTGTTTTCTTAAGCCGTAGATTAAGACTAATTTTTTTTGAACGAGATAGTGAGTCTAATGGTGCTAATGTATAGCTAATAATCAACGGGTCGTGGATTCTATTTCCGCTAGGTTCAATATGTTTTCTTATCAATTTTTTTTTTCTATAACATTTAATGATATTAAATGGAGGTATTTTACGTTCCATCAAGTGGACCTCATGCTTGTTGCCCTCTTTTATAATAAAAAAAATATTTGAGTGTCACCAGTCGCGGTAACTGTTAGAGTATGATAAAAAATGATGAAAAACACTTTTAGTTATATCGTAAATATTTTTAAAACATATTTGTTTGTTCTTTTTGTTTCTTTTTTTTTTTGTTTTTTTTTTTTTAAGGTTTTTTTTTTTTTTTTGGGGGGGTTTTTTTGACATGAAGTGAGTTTAAGTCAATATTTTATGAATAAAATTAACTTTGGGAATTTTAAAAAAAAAAAATTTTTTTTTTTTTTTTTTTTTTTTTTTTTTTTTTTTTCCCCCCCCCCTTTTTTTAAAAAAAAAAAAAAAATTTTTTTTTTTTTTTTTTTTTTTTTGTTTTTTTTTTTTTTTTTTTTTTTAAAAAAAAATTTTTTTGGGCCCCCCCTTTTTTTTTTTTTTTTTTATAAAATTTCCCCCCCCTTTTTTTTTTTTTTTTTTTTTTTTTTTTTTTTTTTTTTTTTTTTTTTTTTTTTTTTTTTTTTTTTTTTTTTTTTTTTTTTTTTTTTTTTTTTTTTTTTTCCCCCCCCCCTTTTTTTTTTTCCCTTTTTTTTTTTTTTTTTTTCCCCTTTTTTTTTTTTTTTTTTTTAATTGTTGACATGGTGTATTTGGCTCTTATTGGTTCAGTTTTAGTACTATATAAAATAAAGTTATTTGATGCATTACATTACTAAATGGTTAACAGTGGCTTTAAAAAAGAAAAATCGTTCTCTCAACTGAATATTCTCTCTTGCAATCGAAATGTCATTGTTATTTAACTGTGCGAGCATTTTATATAGTCTATAGTCACAGGCTTTGTTCTCATCGCATCTGTTTAATCATTATTTAGAGTAAGCCATCGGAAATTGCTGCGGTATAGAATCACTCGAAATAATTAATCTATTAGAATCGCGATGTGTTGCGGTATTCCCGTAACAATAACTATGGCTTAACGTAATATGTGTACAGATGGACTATTTACATCGCAAATGGTACATACTTTGTCTTTGTAGAATAGGTATTTTGGGCATCAAAATGTGTTATTGCAGTCGTCTGTGCAACTCTATAAATTTAAGGTCGTCACGACGTCGTCCATGTCCCGTTCTTGCAAGTTAATCTTAAAAGATAGAATATACGCGATATTTTTTTAGAACATTTAAAGAGGATATTTTTAACCGTTTTCCCAACTTACGCATCTGAAACGGAAATATGATTGTATCATGTTTTCCCGCGTTTTTTCCACAATTCACATATTGTTTTCTTCGCTCCCATAAGTCATGTTTTATAATCGCGATAAATGTTCTAACATTTTTTTAAATCAAATCAGTAGGTTCTAAGTTTAGCGCGTTCAAACAAACAAACTCTTCAGGTTTATATACTATTCAGTTTAATATCTACAATGTTTTGGAATTTTTAGTAGCTTTTATCTTGCAAATATGTAAGTACTGAGGCATACGGTATACGTGGTACAAACACACGAAATATTAAATTTAATTTAGTGTCCAACCAAAATTAATGAATACATTATAACAATCCGATTTATATAACATGTATCGATAGTTGAAAAAAATCAACGATGACATGTAGAATACGGTAGCATAATTGGTTCGAACCCGCCAGTCTAGTGACTTTCAATCTAAAATGATTATTATTTGTATTTTGCACGTACACAACTCTTTAGATGGTGTTATCATAAATTTCGCAATTTACCTAATGATAAATTCTCGATGGAATTAAAAAGTTACACAAAAAGTCTCAGTTGCGGCCTCGAAAGGCCGCGGCCCGACCCTAGGCTGTTTGCTTGAGCTCGATGTCGGCTTACCTCGACCAAAAAAAGTCATTGTGTCACTTCTTATCATAAATAGAACTCGGCAGTGCAATTTCAACGCTGGAACCACAACTGTTGAATCCAGCGCTTATTTGAATTCTTCCATTGTAATAGGCGATAGCGATAAGACGAGAATATTAGCAATGACCCAAATGAAATCTGCGCCTTTTGTTTTTCATTTAATTACGTTTTAAGCCTTGCACTTCGTTCTCATTTAGCCTAAATAGAATTCTGGGATAATAACTCTTTTCGGCTGCTTTCTGACTCGTGAAAATTAGAATTTTAAATCTGGGTTAAACATTTATGACTATAACGATCACTATACGTTGTTATTTAATTAAAAGACTTTGACGGTTAAACGCGACATATATTAGATCAACTTATTTGAAAATTATTTAAACTACGGCCGGACGTTTCGGATACGAATACCAATACCAACTTCGACAGAGCAGATGGCGCTATCGTAGCAATTTTTGCTTTGACGTCAAAGACACCCTCCTTAGTCTTCCCGTGACCACGTCTTCTGCAAACCATCCGAAATGTCCGAAGGCTAAAATAATTTTCAAATGAGTTTAACTAATATATACCGCGGTTTAAACCGCTAAAGTGTTTTATTTAAATGTGTACTACAGATGTTATTAAGTTAAAATCAATAAACGCATATAAATAATCACTTCTGATTTTATGTAAATTGATTTACATTACTAACAATGACTGCGGCCATAATTATTAATATATACCAGTCTAAATTAAGGAAAGTAAATAGTAATTATGTTATGTAAACTTCGTTACCTAATTGTCTATTATTCGATTAGTACCTGGCGCTAATATCTAAATCTATACATATTATAAAAGCGATACATACAAATATATATATTTTTAATATGGAAATTATTTATGTTGCAAAACCTGAAGGTATTAGACCACAAATAAAGAAGTATGAAAACTCTCCTTTAGTGACAGCAGTCAGTATACGGCTGTATAATAATAACAAATGGATCATGAGTTCGATTTTCACAAAAATCACTTTTCAGAATTCTAAAAAATAAACCAAATCTGAAAATTTAGGATATGAATTGGTCGATATTAAAATTTTAGCTCACAAACCAACGTTCACATGAAGTGGAAAAGTGTCGGAAACCTACAAACTATTCTGATTTCAGTTTAAGCCTGTAGTTTTCCGAAAGTAATAACCCAACCAGCGCGCCCCCCCCCCCCCCCGGGGCCCCCGGGGGGGGCCCCCCCCCCCCCCCCCCCCCCCCCCCCCCCCCCCCCCCCTAAAAAAAAAACCACCCGCCCCCCCCCCCCCCCCCCGGGGGACCCAGGGGGGGGGCCCCCCCCCCCCCCCCCCCCCCAAAACCCCCCCCCCCGGGAAAAATAGCTCGATAATGCATCTTAAAATTATGTTATGGACCTGGTGTGTTTTATCTTACATCAAGTGAATCTTATAGTTATCTTTCGTCCTCAATCATAAGTAATAAAATACAAAAATAAAGTGTTTTATTTAAATGTATAGACGCGTAAAAAAATAATTATCATTATGTAGGTAATTATTTAGTACTATCTATTTTGATTTTAGATAATCAAAAATCCAGACTGAATCCGAAACGCGATTATAATTCACCCCCTTTTCATCTGTTGACGATCGTTCGTGACCCAGAGGGAATTGATATTCCTACCACACATTTATTATTTCCAGATGAAATCCAATATGTTTTAGAAAAATTATACATTTATTAGTGACTCGGTGGGGGTCAAAACCAAGATTATTGTAACCATTACACCAGCTCGTATACAAGCGTAGAAACACCGTGATTGCTAATATAGAATTCTGATACAGGCAAGGAACTATACAGCCCCGAGACGGATGGCCACGCAGACGCAACGACGGGACCACCGAAAGTCAGTTCTCGAACTAACTCATTCGAGATCGAAAACCTACTCAAGGTACTTTAGCCACTTATTATGAGTTCACCTCACCGCGCTTGTGTGCACACTTGCAATATACTTCACCCGCTTGACTTCGTTTTACGATCGTCTCTAACAGCGTATCATCTCCTCAAGAGGTATATCGGAGCTTCTCGAGATATTCCCTTAATTAGTCTTTATCGTTTTCCAGTGCCATTCTGTTGTAGAGGGCTTTTATTTTAGCTCGATCTAGAATCTTTTCTATTTCTTCTTATCTTGTTATAGTATAAATGGTCTTATTATATGTCCATATTTATTATACTTTTAACGGGTAATCAAGTTTTTGCAACATGGCACTATATTTATTAAATTTAACATTTACTTCACCAGTTTTTATATTACACTTCAATAAACCCTTTGTAAGTGGAGGAAGCATGGTATTTTATAATCACTCCCCTTTTTGATGTCCTAATGACGTGTTCACATTTTCAAGTATTTCCTTAACACCTGCCTATTTGTAAACTACTTATACTTAGTTTAACATTTTACAATCACTATATAGCTATTATTAAAACAGTAAACATATTATATTCTAGATTATAAATTGTAAAAATTACAACACGGGCAGGACTTCAACCGGCAATCGCAGCATTCCGTGCGGTTTCCGTTGCACAAACTAATTGAGCTACCGTGTCGTTGGTTAGAGCAAGAGCACGGAACGCTGTGCATCCCGGTTTAAGACCTTCCCGTGTTGTAATTTTTACAATTTATAATCTATTTTAATTTATATAGTGCCAACATGTGAAATAGTATTACAATTTTCAAATATTGTATTCTATTGGAATAGACAACAGGAAGGAGGCTAGTCGCTCGACCGAGTCAACTATACTATGCTATGCTATTTCTTCTGTAAGCTTATCATCGCGTCATCATTAGAGTAGATATATATTGTATGGGTTATAAATAGTGTGGGGATGTACGTCAGAGCGCGGAGCAGGTGACAGGGTGGTGTCGCTCCCCGGCCGAGACCCGACGAGCTAGCCCGACCGGTAGCCTCACTAGCGCCGCCGTTACCCCCTCGCGCCACCTCTCGGACGCCGACAAGCTCAGGAAAGTGCTCATGGAATTAGTTGACACAGAACGCGCCTACGTCAAGGTATAGACGAATTATAATTTTTACGTGTGTGTGAAATGTTTATAACTTCAATCATGAATTAAGCACTATATGTTGTTTATTTATTATTCATATGTAAAAATTACAACAGACAAATTAGATATCAGAAAGGTTGTTAAAAGTATTCGCTTTTAGATTCAGAAATATATAAAAAATACAAAACGCCAGCTGAGCCTAGGACATTAAAAGAAACATTTTTAATGCTAAGGCTATAATGCTAAAGGCACATTGAACAAAAAGGTATTAATAAATATTATGTAGTTTCTTAATAATAATGATTATGGGCATAATAAATCTATCTACATAATAAAAGTAAAAATACTCTTTCACCATATGTTAAGCAAGCCGTAGGTAGGTATGAACGGTTTAAAAAAAATTACATCAACGTGCCAATATTAACTGCCAAACCACATTATTATTTGTCAAATATTCAAAATTACTATTTACGATCACCCTAAAAGAGAATAGAGGGAATTAAAATTATCAAGTATTACTCCGATTCAAAACCCAGTAAAATTCTATGTACATATACATAAATGTTATTAAGTATCGAAAAAACTTATATCGAAAAATCTGTAGCATATAATCAGAAATGATCGATCATATTAATTAATCCGATTCTGACGACCTCTCGCAGGCGAGTGCATCATCAGCCCGCTAACTGAACTGGAAATTTCAAACGTGTAAATCCGATATCTGACGGATTCGCGGGTCTATATTACAAAGGCAGTTCGATATTTTTAAAAATGCACTTCGCTCTGTTGATTTTATTATAACTATTCTTGCGATCACTCTGAAGTGCTCTTGACTTTGAAATGAAAATGCACGAACGAAATTTTACAGCGCGTTTTATTCGAAAATAAATCGCGAGTGAAATAATATCGTGGTAAGGAATCGCGGTAATAAAAAATAATTTATAGCGATGTATACCTAATAAATAATGCCCCATGGGACCCTCTGCATATGGGACACGACAATAAAACTGGGGAGGACGCCGTAAATTACGATTGGAAAACCTTATTTTACCGGGACATTTATTGTACTTATGTCCTAGGATAAACCTTATGGATAAAACAATTGTTATAATTGCTCGAAAGTGATTAATTCTATTTAACAAAATCATAATTTCAAATTAACTAATACGAAAAACAAAACCAGTACTAGATTTTCAAGTCGATCATTTTGTATGTGCTCTATGCATTTATTGTAGTTATGTGTATTTAATCTATGTGGTAGAGTAAACCTTATAAATAAAACAAATATTATAATTGCTTAAGATGATCCGTTATATTTAGATTATTTTATAATGTCGTATTTTCAAATCCACACACAAAAACCAGTATTAGATTTAAAAATCGAAAATAAATTGAAAAAATTTTCGACTCGGGCAGGACTTGAACCGGCATCGTCAGCGTTCCGTGCTGTTGCTCTACCAATTGAGATACCGAGTCCTACACCTCATCGTCGAATTTTTTCAACTTATTGATACATGCACCTCTCGCGCAGTGTAATTTCAACCTTAACACTTGCGTACTAAGGTTCAATGTCTTATGCTTTGCAGCTTAAGAAATCATTGAAGATGAAATTACAAAGTTATAACATGTGAAAAACATTAATGTTTTTAAACAGTATTAGTTTTTCAAGTCCATCATTTTGTACGTTGTCTATGTATTTATAAGTTGTATTGTTAGTACAATAGATATAATTAAACGTCAGAACATCAAGAATTTTCGTGTGCTCTTGTTAGCGTCATTTACGAAGTTGAAATGAATTCGTAGCAACGCGAAATTTGCACCTGCGCGCCTGTCTAGCTGTCGGTTCCATTAAAACGGGCGTAACTTATTGTTCTGAATTCCAATGGAGTATGATTGTTGTTGTAACGATTTTCCAGCACCTCAACAATTTACTGGAGAACTACCTGGAACCGCTGAAGAAGGAAACTTTTTTATCGAACGCCGAAATCAACGCGCTGTTCGGAAACATCCAGGAGATTGTAACTTTCCAAAGACAGTTTCTGCAAAACTTAGAAGAAGCGCTTGAAGCGGAACCTAACTTTCATCATCTGGAGTTTTCAAACCAGTTCAAGGTATACTCGATTATATTTACCTTTATAAGTAGAGCAAACTTTAGCTCAGCCCAGGGGCGCGGACTAATTTTGTTATGTCACGACTTAACGGTACTGCAAGTTAGGCCTATTAGAAATGAAATTTAACGAAATTTACATAGAAAACACTATATCATATGAGGCTGCCTGAGGCAGAGTGGCCTAATAGCAAACAAATAAATGATTCTCTATAAGGAGGAAAATAAAAATGAGTGTAACAATGATGTTTAACGATATGTGTGTGTGTAGATTAACATTTTTAGACTTTGAAAATATAAATAGCTCAAGTCATAAAAATTGCAGTTAGGCTACTCTGGCTCTAGCGTTATATAGTCACATTCACAAAGTACTGTACTATAAGATATTTCAGTCCTTAACGTCCATGAATAAATAAATACAAAATCATAACTTACAAATAGTTTTTTTAAATTACACGCAAAATGTTCTCTCAATCTTTGACACATAGTTATCTCTTTCTCTTTCAACAACAGTATTGTTCAAACATTTCAGAACGTTCTCTTCGCGGTGGGAAATGCATTCCTTTATTATGTAAATCACTTCAAATTATACAGCTCGTTCTGCGCCAGTCACAGTAAGGCTCAAAAGGTCTTACATCCGAGTGAGTTTCTTTTTAAATTACATTTTGATTGGCTCTCCTCGTATTCTCCTTCTAAACTCCATGTATTTATAGACGAAGGTAATCAAGCGTTACAAGAGTTCCTCGCGGCGCGCAATCCAAAGCAACAGCACTCCTCAACTTTGGAATCGTATTTAATTAAACCAATTCAACGAATACTCAAATATCCGTTATTACTTCAACAACTCCGAAATTTGACTGATGTCAACTCGGAGGAACATCTTCATTTAGTCGGTGAGTTTTGTTTGCTCTTTTCTTCTGTCGCTGCCTTTTATTGTCAACGGTTTTATATAATTCTCCTTCATTAAACAGAGGCTTTGAAGGGGATGGAGAAAGTCGCGGAGCATATTAATGAAATGCAGCGAATCCATGAAGAATACGGTGCTATATTTGATCATTTGTTTAGGCAGCATCAGAAATCATGCAAGCAACCTATAGATCTAAGTCCAGGTAATGTCCTAAACTAGAAATTACCAAAACAAATTAATTTCTTGGGATTCGAACCCAGGACTTTTGCTAGCAGAAGTCGAAAGTCGAAAAAATACTAAGGTTTTTTATCAGCCGATGTTATCGGGCTATTTATGGTTCGCTAGAAGTTTTTAAAAACTACCCGCGTAATAATTTGTATATTTATTGTTTCTCATGTAAGATGGTTCTATGATTTGAATGGTAAATATGTCTTTAAAACGAAAATACTAACATTCTATATATTTCAGGTGATTTATTATATTACGGAGGCGTAGAGTGGTTGAACATTTCAGACTTCTTAGGAAAAATTAAAAAAGGATTAGAATTGCACGCTATGTGTTTCGTATTTAAATCAGCCGTTGTCTTCCTCTGCAAAGAAAGACTGAGACAGAAAAAGAAATTAATGGTGGGTCAATTTACATTATTTCATAAGTTCACAGTGTTCTGGAATTCATTAGCATTATGACAATATTAAATTTTGGGGAATCATTAATTTCCTATTCTTTCTAATGAATTAAGGTTAATTACGTTACAGGGTGTTTCATCAAAGAATAATTCAAATGAAGTAGAAATAATTAGATATCAGGTACTAATACCGGTAACCGAGGTGCAAGTGCGAGCTTCGTCTGCCAAGGATATGGACAGCCACTTTTTGTGGGAGCTTATACATTTGCGAAGTCAGCTGCAGCGGCGTTCGGAGAAAGTTTACGTTTTATCTAATAGGTTTGGATTTTATGTCTAAATGCTTCATTTGTTTTACCATTTACTGGTACGCTCGATAAGTCATTTGTTTTGTTTTTTTTGTAAAATTGTGATAAAAACACTAGCAGCCAATATATTTCCTAGTTATTCTCGTCCTTGCTACGCGATTTATTTGAACTTTAATTATATTTACAAACTAAAACATTTAAAAAACATAAACTCATTTTTAAATTGTCATCAAAATTATACTGATAAAGTAATTAAATTAAAATTGTACTGACGCTTATAACGAAAATATACATCTTATGATATATTTAAACTTTGTAAATACTCACAGCACGGCAGACTTCCGGAATGCATTCCTTAAGACAATACGTCAGATAATTCGTGAATCTGTAAGGAATATGTCTCTACCAAGCTCAAGGCCAGCACCTACTCCGCCGCGCGCGCCCCACACGCTGGATCGGCCCAAACAACAGGTTCGTAGCACTATAATTTCGTAGCCCCACATTTACGTAGCAGCCCGTAGCCAATGCAATAACAATTCGTACAAGTCGCGAATTAATTATATCAGTAAATAACTCGTTTAATCTTACATAACAGGCGTTGCTTAAAAAAATATTCGAATATCGAAATTATGATTACCATGACATCATTAGTACTTATACTATACGATACCATAAGACTTTACCGATCACGTAAGAGGCATTATGTAAATGTTGAAGAAGTAATAAAGAAATGTAATATTTTTCTGGTCTTAAACCTTACCTAATACTCATGTTGCTAAGGAAAATACAAAAAAACTTAAATAAAACACTTTAACAGTATAAAAGATATATATCGCGTTTTTAACACCTACTGTTCTATTTAAATGTGTACTACTCGCATAAACAGACAGTATTGCAAAAACACGTTTTCCATCCAAGTTCGTATATTTTTAGTACACTATATAAAAACGTATAATCTAATTTTCAAAAATTGGGTCACTGCGTTAGTTGACTAGTTATATTAAAACGGGTCTAACGGTGTAAATCTTATTTTCTCGAACGCTTCCATTACGCGCTTCTAAAGTAGAGTGAATTATATTGTGTGGTGTCTCAAACACAGTTGTATTTCATTTTATTCAAAAAAATCTTTTATTAGCAGATATCACTCATAATCTAAAAACGTGATGTTAAGTTACTTATTTTTGTTATTAAAAATTTACGACGGGGATCGGATACGAACTTACAACTACGGCAAACTGGTCTATTGCCCAACCAAAAACACAGAGCCCTGTCCATGTTACAAGTATGTTTTAATTTTCGAACCAAAAGTAATGATCCAAGAAAAGGAAAGAGGAAAGAAAACATTATCATAACAATATTAATAAAATATAGGTTCTCTCTCTCTCTCTTCCCGTTTATTAATGTTATATTTAGTTTTAATAAAAATGAAAATATTTAATTCCAGGTACAGGTTATGCAGGGATCACAGACGTTAGGAAAAACAAAGAAACCAAAGACGTCGGGACAAAGACTGTCTGCTGGAAACATCGAGGTAAGAAAAAAAAACATAGTTATAAAACTTTACTTATCCGCATTGAAATTGTCTCAATTCTACTTCTTACTTTGTTCTTTTTTTATTACTATTTCTAGCAGAAGCAAAAGTTCTTTTTATTTGTATTGAATAATATGTATGTCCATTATCGTATGGAAACTTTGTCATAATTACGATTACAAATTTATATATACAATTCTTTATTACGAGGAATATTCTTAATTTAATTTACATTTCTATATTTCGGATGCAACAGCCGTGATCACGGGGTATTGGATCCGGAGGGTGGCCCAGGTTAAAAACATTAGGTTCCAAAAAACAGCAGCTTTTTTTTTAAAACATTGAATCATTTCTCTGAGAACTTATCTAATTTCTTAACATATCAACTACAACGAAACAGATGGCGCTAGCTTAGCAGATTTGACTTTGACATTAAGTCACCTTCCATCTTTAGTTCCCCCGTGACCACAGTTGCATCAACGCATCTGACATATCGAGCCGTAGTTAAACGTATTTAAATATAAAAAAAATACTATTATATTTTGCGTTTTAAATACTTAAAATTGTTTTATTTAAACGTGTACCCGTAAGCTACAGACTAATATAAAATGATTACGATATCTCATTTTGTATTCATATAAGAAATTGCTAATCGTACCAGGTGGGCAATTTGTCCCGAGAGAATTCTCAAGACGCCGAGGATACACCGCACGAAGTTGAAGATCAATCATTTAGGCTTAGAAGCAAAACAGTCGGTGAGGCTCCAGGTATTTTTTGTACTCCACACACACAGACACACACACATTTCCCTTTTTACTGAAGGCGGTTATGGTAATTGCTTTTCGTTGTTTACACCTAGTTACAGATTTTCTATAGTTTTTTAAAATACCTAATAATCACGATTATAAATATTTACTTGGTAAGTTGTGACATTTATCTATACTAATATATAAAGCTCAAGATATCGTTTGTTTTTGGCCAATGGCCAAAATAACTATTCTACGCGAACGAAGCCACTGACACAGCTAGTACTTAATCAGTAGCTCTATTTAAATTATGTTTGTCACTTAATATTTTGTTAAAATGAATGTATGGCAGGCTTATATGGAGTTCATTCATTATAATGTCTTTAAATTAAATACTTTATGAATGCTAGAAGGCATTACTACAAACCATAAGCTTTTAGAGCTGAAAAAAAACGTTTCACGTCGAACTGTAAACTAGAAGTATTCTTTTTAAAAGCAAAGGCACATGTTTACGTTTTCAATAGGCCATGTAGGTCACATTACAGAAATAAATGTCATCCCATCCATCAATTGCACTCACTAGAGGTAGACTCATTTTAAATCTCTTTCATTGAAAATAAACAGGGACAAAGGAATACAAAAGTTATAGCTCCAAAAGACATGACCTGTAGTTGATCACTTCTGTGCCCTGCGCGACCGAAAAACTGTCTTTCAGCGCTTAGCACGTCATACATGGTCATATGAAATTTGTAAGTAATATATTAATCTTTTGAAGCCCCAGAGATCATCAAGCGTGCACCCCCTCCGCCCCCATCAACGGATACAGACAAGTCCGAGGGTGGATCGAAATCGGAGGGGGAGGAAGAGTTGCCCCCACCACCAACGAAGCGAGGGTTAGGCCGCACTCCCAACCATCTGACACTCAGGTACCAACATATGTATGGGTTAAATCATCCGACACACCGCACCTACATCTATTGGAAATCGCCACTTTGCTGTTTTAAGTTGCCGCTAAATTACTGTAGGTTCGCTCGTTGTACTCATACATATGTCACCATATCCATCTAGCTTTCACACCACCTGTACTAAGAGAAAGACTGACTACACGAGTAACGCCAGGTACGTCGCTTTCAGGAGACCCGCATACAACTTATGTGTATCGCTTTTAAAACAGCCGCTAATTTATTTTTATGTCGCTTTTTCTCTTTAGTACTCCTCATTTGCCATTTTTCTTCAATCCCTTTAAGCTTTTAGGTTTAACATTTTCATTCATTTGCTATTAGTAATTACTACAATTAGTTTAGTCGTTTAGATATTTTATTTATAATAGTAAAGAATATTTAGAATAAAATATTGTCTGATTAGTACAAACCAAAAGAGAAGAGTATATTAGTTATGAACTTCTTGTTTTTATTTAAAAAAAAGTGCATTTCATGTACCACATTTTTAATGATAAATTACGTTTGGAGGTTTAATATCCTTTAATTTTAAGGTGAAGTTACAAATCTTATATAGAAAAAAAAATATTTTCTTATTTCAGCACAACGTCAACCTTAAGCGCAGGTAGCACAGGCAGCCAAGCGCGTCTCATCCAGTCCTCGCATCAGCCCACACAGTATCAACCCACAATGGTCAAAGAGTTAGGTAAGCACGAGTCACAGTCGTTAAAATCCTCTCCCGAACGAAAGTCCTCTACAGGGTCCGACAGAAAAGTCAAGGTCATCAGGTCGGGCAGCGGAAGTAACATCACAAGAGAGAGATCGCCGAATAGGTGCGATCGCGCATCGCCAGAACGAGATCGAGTGGCCAAAGTCATAATTTGCAAATCTCCAAACAAATCTAGCTTGAAACAAACAAAATCCTTGCACCGTTCGCCGCGAGGCAGTTTCGATCAATCCAAATCTCCAACTATAGACAAGTCACGATCACCACAACAAAGCTTCGATGGAACGAAGTCCCCTCGAGGTAGCATTATGAAGTCCCGCGAGAACAGTATTGATAGATCAAAGTCCCCGAAGCCGGTCCCTAAGAAAGGTATCATGCGCACACCACAAGCCAGCTTCGACAAATCTCCTTGCAAATCACCAAATGTAAGTAGACGTTCTTCTAAATCCAGTGGCGAAAAGCTAGCACGTCTTGGAACAAACTCATTGGATAGGATGACTCATTATTCCCAGTTGGCGAAGGCTGAAGACAAAGCAATTAAAATGGGCATCGTTGTGTCTAAATCGACCGAATCTATCGCTAAGGCTTTCGAGCGGCCCACGTGCGTTGAATGCTATCTGTCTGGGAAGAAACAGAGTAAGACCTCTTAGCATAAGGCGAAGGGTAAGTACCCGAAGACTCGTAAGAAATCAATGACGCCCCAGTCTATTCTGACGTCGTCGGACCGCAGTAGTGTGGAGACTTTAGACGACATTGTGCACGAGAGAGGTTACTGCCCTTCAACACGACACTGCGCCAAGAGTGATTTTGATCAGATTCATGTTTAATTTTCTTTAAAGCTATTTTGTTAATGCAGAACAAATCAGAATATTGTGTTCGAACTGACGTTTTATTTGCTGTCTTATAAAACATTTGAATTGTTTAATTAATAAATTTTAGCTATCAAAAGTTGCCGATTTTCTCATATGTTCTGTAATATTAATTTTTATGAATGCTACTATGGGTTATTATTAAAAAAAATGATTTTAAGGAAAATTTTCTGCTTTGACTGGTTATATGGAATTGATTAGAGATGTGCTAAGGAAATGTATAAGTTACTTAAATTATTTACATAACACTTGATTTACCTAGGATTAACTTTACAAATAGTCACTTTACGAATAGAAATATGTTATCAATTTAAAACACCAATAAATATAACGTAGTCGCGTAGTTATAACACCCATATAATATTGTTACTACTACCCAAAATTGTCACAAGGTGCAACTTTGTACACGTGAACAAGTGTCAAAAATATTAATATTTATTCCAATTGAGCTTCAATCAAATTCAAAGTAATACGACTAGATCTAGTCAGTACAGTAGCAGTACATACGCTTACTGCTACTATACAATATAACAATTGAAAGAAAATTTTAATAATAATAGAATTTAAAGAAAATTGTAACTATATTCTATACTACTCACAATTGACTAGAACACTTTTAACTGTGTAAAACGCGTAATATATTTTTGTTTCCGATGCTTTATAGCATCCATGGTCACGGGGGACTCGATACGTGCTTCGGAGCTCCGGATGATAGTGAGAAAAAAAATGAGTTAACTCATATATTTTGCGTTTTGAACTGTTAAAAGTGTTTAAGTAATACAGTTACATTTTCCTTTAAATTCTAATCCAACCTTACATGTATCTTATTTCTGAAATATCTACGTTACCATTCAGTAAAATGAACTTTGAATTTACACCCACACTCATAATATAACAATACCTTATGATGTCACTTATGAGGCTTTATCTAGTTGTATTTTTGGTCGAAGCAAGCACAAATGCGTACGTACATGCAGTAGTAATAATTTTATAGTAATATTAAATACTACTTATATTCAAATTTAAACCTAGTCTCCAAGTGCTAAGTGTTATATTATAATGGCTGTGGAATCGAACTGATGTGTACACCTAGTCGACTATTATTAAAATGTAATATTCTCATTAAATTTGGACATGCATTGTTCTATTATTCCATTCGATTACATTTAAATACTTCTAAGTCAATTTATATTATAGTTTGTCTAAAATATGCTGATAATTTTACACTGACAATATGATATGTGGTAAATCCTCGCGATTATTGATTTATTATTTGAAGAACTCGATAACTTGGACGAATAAAAAGAGAAATTTTGAAAACTTTATTATTATTTTTTTACATGTTATTGCACATGAAGGAACTATATCATTTTAAAATAGAAAGCAGGGCAGGACTCAAGTTCTAGAGTTCAAGTCTTACCCGAGTCCAAATTTTTTTCAATTTATTTTCGATTTTATAAGAGAAATGTTATCTAAAATCCACGGTAATATCGATTTTTGTTGTATCATTTGCAAGTTTGACTTATGGACGAAAATGGTTCGCTATGGTTATAGAAATTTCTAAATGGTTAATAGAAATATGCAAATAATCAAGAACTGCCAAAATTGTCATCATATCTTACACAAATTATACAATGACACATAATTATTACCATACATTCTTAGATACCACTTGTAAGTCTTCCATTTCTTAAAATATATATTATTCATAATTTTCATTAATTTATTACGTGCCTGCTCAATTTAGAATTAAATTAAAATAGTTATTTTTACTATCACCTTTATCTTGTATTAAACGTACATATTCGAGGTATCTCTTCCGTTGATATATTTTGTTATGATAATATTTGCATGCATTTTTTTAAGCATCTAAGATATACAAATAACTAATCTTCTTTCGTGTTTACCTGTAATGCATTTACTATACTAGCTAGCTAATGATTAGATAAATAATATTGTATCGAATCATTAAACAAATAATAGACTAATACCATACGTAATTAAATAATTCAATTATCCAAACGATATGTAGAACACTAAGTAGACCTAATAATAGAGAGTAGCACTTGCACGTATACTGTAAGTTTCCTGTATTTATATATAATATATATGCACGTATTAATAACCGTTTCGAAGTTGTGAAACTATACTTCCGAAAATGCACTAAATGTATAAGTTACTTCTTTCGATTGACCGTTTAATATACTTTAATTATATGTTAAAGTTATGAGACTTTTACGTTCAAATTTTTTCCTCCGATTTTGAATGTTCGATGACAATGTTGGAAGCCGGCTTAATATACTAATAAATCAATTTCGGTTTGATTTGATTTTTGTACTGACAAGAGCAGATTTTACCCTGCAAGCGGTGGAATGCGATTACCCTCGGTAAAATACGTATTGATCGATCGCGTTTCGTCGATTGTCGAGTGATTAGGGCCCACTTTGTCTGTGTTGGCGAACTCTAGCTACTGTCGTAAATTCGAAATTACAACGCGTTTTAAAACTAACCATTGTTAAGGACATACTATCGAGATTCATAAACTTAAACTCCTAACGGTATACATAAAGTTCGCCAGCACAGCTGAACGACAACATTCATCAAACATTCAACTCTTTTCGCGGTTCCGAATGCCCTGGATTTTGCGATTGCTGTTCTAAATTGACACGGACGAAAGTGAACTCAAGCTGGTGTAAAAGAGTTCGGTGTTTGGTGTGTTGTAGGATCGCCGGTGTGGAAACCGCGCGAGGTGCCGAGCGAGGTAGCGGGGGCGGGAGCGGGAGCGAACGCGACAGCGGGAGCGCCCTCAGCGCCGACCACACTGCCACGGTCGCAACGCCCCGCGCCGCGCGCCGCTCATCTCTCCGCAAGTCGCAAGTCACTTGCACCGGATCACAGACATTAACCATTCCCAAAAGCGTAGCACACCGCTAACACCTGAACTAGCGGAGACCGTTCACTCACGCTGGAACTTCAACCATTTTTCATTCACCGCGCAGTAATAGAACAGCCCAGTTCGTTCGGAGGCAGATCGCTTATTCCTCAACTCGATAATTTAAAGCGTTTGCCGTAATGCCTACATTAGGATCATTGTTGCACTCGAAATAAATAAAGGTGAATGACCGCGAGAGATTGACCCAAGTCATAAACTTAATGATCTAACTCATTTTGGAATGGGAATTGAGCTGAACTTTATACATTTTATAACATTTTTGTTGTTATATCATTGTTGCATTTAATACATACAGATAATTTGTCAGTTGATATTCTTAAGAATCGATTCCGATAGATATTTTACGTCTAAGTAGCTAAAACTATCCCCTGAAAACTATGATATTAGATGTTAACGTTCTGTTTCCTTAATGAACACAAGTACCAACGAATTCACAAAATGCCAAGTGAAATGGTAATTTTTATTAAAACGACATCAGGCGATCGAAGTAAATAATATTTGCAGATACGATGTACATGCGAAAAGCTTAAGATGAAACTAAGGCCGCGGAGGAACGTTTCCTTTTCCTAACCTTTAACTACTCTACAATAATGCGCTAGAAAGAGTGCTTTATTTTTAATCATACCCTTAAACAAATCCTTAAACACTCATTTTTTGTTTATTTTATTTCTACGTGCCATCCGTAATCAGGTCAATACTATGATCCGAAATAACGATGTTATTTGTATATTATCCTTTCACATTTATTTATTTGATAATAAAATAATAATTAAAATAATAAAATAATCATAGATAAGAATCTAAATATACTGCGTACCTATTTGTGGCACAGTGGAATTTTATGTACCCCTTTTTTATTAATATCCCATTATATTTAAAATTTTTAAATGTTCATTTATATTTTAATATTAAAGTAACAATAACGTTTAATTTATTTTTTACAAGAGACCCTGAAAAACACTAAACCATCATTTGTCTACATGAACTTAGTATAAATCTATGGTTAATTATGAATCCTGTGCCAAACTAGATATCCTTTTATCCTGTGCTTCGTAAATGCTACTGTTAACGTTATACTAATTGAATATAAAATATATATTATACGGTGGAAGTAGTTAGATGTAATCTACTTGTGTTTCATTTCACATTGGCAAAGAATCTCACTATAGTTCAAAATGCACTTACCCTATGGAAAAGTACGTTAGGTAGATTTGATAATAATTTCTCTTCGTGATCAAATTCGAAAGTTCTATCATAGGCTAGGAAATGACGTCGTACGACGTACGGATATTGGGTTTCATTTATTTTCTGGACTGGCGATGCCACGTCGTTAGTATTATATATAGATAAATACAGCTGAAATTTTTGTTTGAGACCATAATAAAACTGATTCCGTAGACAATTGTAATATTTTATTTTTTGTAATAATTTTAAATGATACAGAGTGACTAATAGTAGTTGAGAATATGAATGCATTCGCAAATTCTATCTAAATCAATTCACTGATTTCTCGTGTATTTTATTGTTGACTACGAAAATAAACGACTCACGCGCACAAAATTATAACCTTCGTATGATTTTCTTTCACAATATCGGTATACTTACAACTTACTACATATCACCGTGACGAAAGCAAATCGGCTTTATTATGGTTTTAAAACGAAAAACAATAATTTACAGCATAGATATGTTTTCAAATGTCTTGTACATTAATACTATGTAGATATTGCAATTATTTATTACATACTTGTGTAAATGTATACTTTTAAATTCAGTATCGGTTATATTATTTTTATTAATTGAAATAAAACCTGTTTATTAATATACATATGTTAAAATATTCGAATTTAATAATTACGAACTTATACAACCAATTTATAGATATTGTTATACTAAGAAAATATAAGTAATAAATTAAATAAACAAATATAAATGAAATGTGAAATGGTGATGAGCTAATAGCTATTGTATTTCATACTTCAGTAACGTTTAAATTAAAGTAGGAATATGAAAATGAATATTTAGAAAGACTTTGAAGTAATACGAATGTAACTGGTGTTATGTTGTATGCGTTACGTTGAATGAACTATTTAATAGATAACTAATTGAATTATATCTCCTTTGTGCATTTATATCACCGATCGCATAGGCGCTGTGTGAACTACGGAGGCGCGGACTGTTCGCCACGATAGCGCAAGTCATAATCGTTATTGTCTTCGGCGTGTTCAACTATTACAATAATTATGTACATAAATATCATTTGCACTTAAATAGGTACGATCCAATTGATGGCGATATGGTTGTGCAATAATGTTACTTTAAATGAGTTAAGAAACATCCGTATCATTTCATTCGTGATTGTATTAACTAATAAGTTCGTAATTAAATTGCCTAAATTAAAAGTGCCTTTACGTGCTTGGACGAACCAGTTGAACGCGTCGATTGGCGTATAGTGTCGTCGACTCAGTACCTAGAGACGTATAATTGTTTATTTTATGAGAATTAACTCTGTGCCGGCGTCTGATGTTTATATTATTATGTAATTGCATATTTTAAGTACTGTTAGTACCTTTGTTGGATTTTGTGACACGTAAAATTACTTTTTATTGCTTACAAATAAAATAAACGATATCTGTGAAAATCGCATGTTTTCTTACCCGTAGAATAAGCTATGCCTAACATGAATATTATTTGTTTGTATATTAGTAATCGTAGTCCTGAAGAGACCCTATACACTAGCATCGCTTGAGCGCCGACGTCAATATAAAAGGCGTTGTAAGTACTATAGAGTACAATGTTCTGAGTATCTTGATATTTTATATCGCTTTTGATAAATTGCCGAAGTTTGTCAAATGTTCGTTTGGGCTTTAAATTAAATCATGACAGTTTTTTTCAGTTTTTTTTTCATACATTATCCATATTTAACACGGTGCTACATGGCTAGGTATTTAGGCGGTGTATAGGATTTCCTGAACTTATAATGTCCACAGAGCGTCTTCCCAATATTTACGGTCTAGTTTCCTTCTACTTTTTGTAGTTCTAATGATAAATGTCAACAGCAGTCTCTCTTCCTTGGAATCAATCTCAAATAAATTTCGTGATATTGATTTACACAATAAACATTATTATTGCTAAAGTTATAAGGTAATGGTAATAAATAAAACTAGTTTTTAGGTTATCGATTTATTTCGTACATCACGACCACGAACGAAATACTGAGGTGGAGTTAACCTTATAATTGTCTATTTCAACTGCATCTAACGTGTGTTTCTGAAAAACAATTAGGTATTTACATGCATAATGTAACTAAAGTATAATATAATATTTCTTCTGGTAAAGTCCAATAATCTTAGGATGTTATTTATATTAAAATTTGGACTTCGGGCTATTGTTTTAATAAAATACAGACAGAGCCGAGAACCGGATAAAATCATTTGTTGTTTCACTGACGTAACTTTACCGCCACTAAAAGTAAAAATACTCATAGATTCACTTTTTTATTAATGTGATATTGTCAATATGAATTAGCAGACTCGACTACTCCGATGAATTAAAAAAAGAAATCAATTTAAGTACTTGTTCTTTAACTTCCTTCATAAACTTGAGGTCAATAACCTACTTTTTTATTTAAACCAGTTCTCGAGCTCTGGTGAAAAACTAAACATATCTTTTAATAAAATACAACTGCTTAACGATTATCAATGCAAAAACAAAACCATAGAGTATAATTATAATACAAGGTGTCAGATTAATGTTTAAAAAATTAATCTAGTGGTAGACGATTTGAAAGTTCGGGGGATTAAGGAAGCTCTATATTATAATTAACTGGAACACTTAGTAAGTACAATTTAGTTATATAATTTCTGCCCTATGTACCTCTACAGTATAAATTATAAATCACCTAAGACTTAAATAATAACAATAGAACTATCTAAAGAGATGTATATTGTATATACATTACATTATCATGTGGCACAGGCTACAATATTATTAATATAAATATTAATTCATAATATTTCTAATGTGATATTAACGGAGTCTCAGAAATTAGACTTGACAAACTCAATCTTAACGTATCATTTGGAATCTAACGTTATCAATAGAGTCTGACCGAAGCTTCGGTTTCGATCAATAATCACCCTTCGGATAGTAACCAGACTGAAGCCGAAGAGTGACCATAGCTTACAAACTTATTGAATCGTGATAGAAACCATTTTTATCTGTACTTTGTCTAACTTTATTTTATCATACGAGTATATTATAGAATACTGTAAAATAAAACATATCACATAAACATTCAAGAATGACACTGTATAATGTTTAATTTGATGTGGATAAATTTATTGTGGGATGGGTACTCGCTTCGTTACATAACGTGACGGTTCTACTCTCTTAGGCATGGGGTCTATCAATAATAAATAGCTTACTTAGGATTTCTTTTAGTTCTCTCTTGTATTCTCTGTGGACGCATATTTAAGCCATATACACTTTCTGCTGTACTTTTCAAATTTCGGTTTCGGAGAACTCGACCTTCGGCTTCGGTCAGACAATAATTATTAATTACGTATCTTAAAACAATATTGCACAATTACACTCGTCAAAGTAAATGCATTAAGCTAGTATTACGTTCACTTAAAATATTATAAAGTTCAACTACAAATTCATGAGAAAACAGTTATGATATTTTTAATAATAATTTTCATTAATTGGTCTATAGCCTCCTATAAACGATGAAGGCCGCAGTTAGTCTTTTCGAAACTACATCGCTAACTATATAAAAACTTTCCGCATTTATAGGAGACCGCAGCCACAATGAAAATATATAATTGCAATTATCAAAGTAAACGGGACGACTATAATATCTCTTTAATAGATAAAAGCTAAAACATTATAAATATCTAGTTTTTTTTTACATTCGCACACAACGATGTTAATTCTATATTAAAATGTTTGCTGTAAAATAAACGTCTTCAGATATATTAATATGATAATTACAACATGAAATATGTTTATCACGTCTACCAGCTAAGGGTTTTATTTAAAACGAATAATTATTCTAACGTGGTGTTTTCAAATAAGACTAGAATAGTTCTCTGAGCTACTTTAATGATTATTATTAATTAATATATTAATTACATAAGGCACTCCAATTCTTTTTCATAGAAAGAGGTTGTATGTTCTAACACCCGTTTTTCTACAAAAACCGAAGACCCTTGGAAGTTTCTCTTGTTTACCTTGGCGATTGATGAAACGGAACGAGAAGATATTAAGATTGGAAACAATTCGTCTCGGTCTTACAATTTGAGCAGATCATGACAAACTATTTTTCCTATTCGAGTTGCTATCTCCTTTACTATTGGTTAAAACGAACACTATTTCATCTTAGGTATCTTTGTTGTAATAGAAATTAGCAATCATCATATATTATACCTTATGACGAAACTATTGTATTTAACTATTTACTTGCGGTATAAAACGGAATATTTTGTCATCATTACTTTAAATTATTGTAATAGAGATAGTGATTTCGTGGATAATTAAATTACGAATGAAAGACGACCGATCTAGATGTTAACGAAATAGATAAAACTAGAAAGATCCTAATATGGTAGCTACATCATAAATTTTGGACCCTTATTTTTTAATTAAAAAGCCGCTCCTATTCATAAGGTTTATTAAAATTTTGACTAACTAGGTTTGCTATGCTTACGATTTTGTAGCTCCGTACCTAAATTTAGAGGTTGAATTCCGCGCGACGTCTTTTTAACCCCGTCTACTTTGGAGAACTATCGAAGATTTGTTTATGTACAAAATTGTGTTTCTCCATTTTGGTCATAATGCCAAATACGTGTCGAGCAAAGCATCAATTTATTCATAGTTCATAGTCCACATATTTCTTGTTAATTTCAGCGATAATTTTTCCGAAAACCCCCAATTACATACAATATTCAATACATTATTTATTAGATTCGCTAGCGATGATATCCTTAAAAGATTTATAAAACTCTGCTTTTCACCTATTCGTTGAAATTTATTGCGTAATTACAGATGTCTTACGCAGCCGATCATGTATATTTGTCTAAACGTTGGTCCCTATGATTACTATTGTAAATAATAATTTTATGATATCAATTTGTAGATGACCTGGGGCGGGGGACGCCGCGCGACTCACGGCTCTATCGCCGATTAAAGGCACATTGAATTATGAAATACGTCTCATTTTCTAGTACTCTTGCGCAATTCGCAGTTGGTACCAGGTTAACTAATGTTTCCCCGCGCAGACAATACTCTCACAAAGTTCTTCTAGAACCACGTAAAGGGAATAACTAAATGTTAACAATATAATTATCAATAACATCTATCGTAATGTATAACTACTCACACCACTATAGCATTCCTCGTACACATTTACCTAATTTATCACATAACTAGTCCTACGATATCGGATTGATATCGACAGCGTTGACTTTGCTTTGGCAACGTGGTGTTAAAACAATGTTCATTTTCCTAAGGCAATAATAGTGCCTAAAAATTTGACTAGAGCGAGGGTAATTTAACGTTAAAAGTTTTCCTCGCATTTGATTTCTTTGACGGGCGGCGTCCACTGTTCCGGGGAGGCGTCCCAATCGCTAAACGGCTCATAGACGAAGTTGTCGCAGGGCTCTTCTGCCTCGTGGGCTGTGTCTGCGCGGCTGAAAGCCTCCGCAAATTTCCCAATTTCAGTGGAGCCGAACGCCTGCTGGAAGGCCGGCAATGGTACAACGGGAGGCCGTTTCTCCTCGGGAGGACAGCGTTGCTCATTTATCGGATTCTCGCGCACAGGCTGAACAACGTCCTTGGGTGCATTACGCGTATATTCATTGTTGTTCACTCGCTTTGTTCCGTTCTCGTAGCTTGTATCGTATACCGGATACGGCGTAGATCGGCCGTCGTGTGCCCCAATGTGATTTTGGGGGTTCTGAAATGTTGATAAAATTATCAATACGCATAAGAGAGTCTGTTACTTAGGTCAATTGTCAAAAATTTACAAATGTCAGAAACGTCATTAAACGTCGTCCATCTTTGATTCCCGCCCGACTAGCGAAGGCAACATCGTGTATGTGAGTAAATTAGTTTCAAGAAAATTATCGTAAAACGTTCTCTTCACTATTTATGTATATTTGTTCATAGATCTCATAGACCTTATTTGTTGTAAGTTGTATTTGATATATCTCAAGTTTAGAGTGATTTTGGCTACAATAGTGTGTGTTCTATGTTTATATGGCATCAAACATTGTTTCACTAATGGATGTTGTATAAGGAAAAGTTAACGATTAGTACCATGTACCTCCTAAGCACCATACTTAAATGGGATTCGAACCCAGGACTGCTAGTGTTTAACATAACGTTTGAACAACAGAACTACGTTTTAATTTAAAATTTTCGCAGCACTATCTATTGAGATTTATTTAATATATGATGGGATGATTAAAAATCAAGCGATGAACCTTCATCAATCGGCAATCCGGCCCGTATCGCATCGATTCCCGTGAACACACATTCGGAGGAACTCGCGAAGGCCACACACCACCACTCCCTGTCACCACTCCCATCTACGGCGAAGTTAATATTCCGTTATTATACACTGCCATTACAATTACCATTTTAATAGTAAAACTACCCACACATAATTTTACGCTCTCATGACTAATACGTTCTGGTCTGGGTCACGTTGTCGATAATTTTTTTTTATACATACATTTCCAGCCTCAGTTTATCACAGTCAAAGAATATTCTACTTCGAAAATCAGCGCCAAAAGCAGTGGTCGTAGGTTCGAGTCCCGTCCATGTCATCATATCAGTTTTTAGTAACATTTATATTACTTAAATCTGATTTGATGACATTATTTATATCTAAAAAGATATAATGCTTCACACGTAAATATCAACGTGAGAGGTGCTTGTATCAATAAGTTGATAAAATTTGAAGACGATGGAGGACTCAGGGTGAGGACTCTTTAGCTAAAATGGTTAGAGCAACAGCTCGGAACGCTGACGATGCCGGTTCAAGTCCTGCCTGAATCGACTTTTTTTTCAATTTATTTTCTCATTTTAATTTGGAACTAAATGTTGTTGACAGAATTATTATTATCGCAGAATACAACGTAAATATATACGTCATTTTACATGGTATTACCTGATAATGGGGCCAAATTTGAGGCTCGCAATATGCATGGCTGCGATTGTTTATCCCACATTCCAGAGGGGGCTGTAATAAAATAAAAAAATTCATAGTTAGTGAATTATATTTTATTAATATTGAAACGAGACAAATAGACATATACGGAACAAAGAATTACCTAAAACAAACAAACCTAAAGTTTAAATGATTTATACATACTGTCTTAGTTGACGGAGTAGCATACATCTATAACACAATAAAAACACTTTAACGGTATAAGAAGCAATATATTAGTTAAACTTATATTTAAACCGATGCTCACGGCTTTGATATAAAAGCTTAATTTACGAAATTTCGTCGAGATCCTGCCGAATTAAACTAGATCGATTTTCAATTAAGTTTAACAAATCATATCGCAAGTTTTGAAACCCTTTAAGTGTTTTATTTAAAAGACTTTTATTAATTAGTTGTCGGATTAACATAAATCTTAATATACACAACAAAGAAAACCTAAGGAATAAGAACAAAAAAGTAATCGTAGAGTACTAAAAGTAAAGACATCTATCTATTGCGACATTATCGATCTATTTAATATTAAATTCTAAACAGCAATCCTATTAAAACAAGTAGAAGTATTAAATGATGATAAATTACGTATGTAATGCGTACATATTTTACGTGTAAGTGTGTGTAAACATATAGTTCGTATATAGCTTTCAATATCAACATGCATGAGAATTCACAATCTTACGAAACCATTTACATTAATTTAAGTGAAGATATATGAGTAAATATCGGAAAATCAAAATCAAACTCAAACTCAAACCATTTATTTCACAAGACAGAATAAATAACTTAAAAATTATTAAATTATTTGTATATAGAAATCCACATTAATCAGTAGGTATATTGATTAATGTGGATTTCTATATACAATTACATTGTTAATCAAAGACACTGATGCGATAAAATATTATTTTCTTTAATTAAACAGTTAACGCATGACTTTTGTAAGATACGTAATGCGATATAATAAAGGTTAAGGATTTAACAAAACACTGTGCCATTAAGACTCGCCATATAACTAGCGCGAACAAACGAGGATCGAACTCGCGACCTACTTGCTTAGAAATCAATATTTTGTGAGCTATCAACTACTTAGATCCTTCGATTCGTTATAATTGCTAGAGTTGACCGCCTCCGTAGTAAGCGTATTGCCTAGCATTGCGTAAAGCGCTAGAGGTTCTAGGGTTGATTTCCAGGGTAACGATAGATTGGGTAGGTCGGGCAGGACATAGAAGTAGACACATAAATGTGTTCGCCCCATGCCCCACGGGAAAACGGGTTTAAAGTTTTTGAACTTAACATTATACTTTCTAGGAATAATTTAAAAGGCAGTCAACAAACAACAAGTTTAATTTTTATCTTCCAATTTCAAATGTACGTAAAACGTTTTCATTCACACGAATACGGCTTAAGAAATAAAAATAAAACATGTCAACAAAATACATCGCCAACGTTTAACATTTCGTTTTAAATCTGTTACCAGACAAATGCCCTGCTATTTGTGTGATGAGGGCACTTTCGCAAGATGTTAGAGGCATCGCAAGATTCGCTTTTGTTATGACGTAAGGCGGTATATGTTATGTACAAGGATGTATACGTAAGAAGGTACAGTTAGGAGGGGCGCGCCGCGATCGATTCTCTCTCCCTCTGCACTTCTGCGATGCAGTTACTGCATCCGTCATCTTACACCTATATAATCCCTACGTGATATGCTCGACACCAGAGTTTCTTTGCAAAACCTATCTACGTCAAGTACTATAGTAAAGCTTAATACTATCCCTCATTAAAAAAATATTTTAAAAGTATTTTAATTGACGTTAAGCATTTTTAGTTAATAAGTAAGTTTATCTGTTAAAGCCCCCTAAATTATAAAATTAGATATATGATTAGTTTCCCCCTATATATATTTTATTACTAAATTAAGTAATTTAAGTATCTAATATTAAGCATTTTTGTTAATAATATTGCCAAAATGCTATTTAAGCTACAGAGAAAGCCCTCTTAAATATGAAATTATATTATTGCGTAATATGCGAATAACATTATATTATATATGTTTCTGCGTCGCATTTATTTTTTATACTGAATTAAGTAGTTTTGTTGACGTTATATTATTAAGGATATTGAAATTGTTAAATTTAGTTTGAGGTGAGGTACAAAGTCACCTGCAGTATTCGCTTCAATATTAATTTATGTTTTTTTTAGATAATCATACAAAGATAATTATTCTCTTCTTTATAAATGGATATATAATATGGCAATTTAATTTTAATACTAAAGTATATGTAAATATACACCATAGACCACAGATCGTAAATATGCATCTCGAATTTGTATGAATAAAAAAATATATATATATCGTTGCGATTTCGTGGAACTCTGTTAACCTTGTTAGATGTAATCCAACGTTAACTATTAGTTATTGTGTAACATCCAACATAATAACTAATTGCACTTTTAACAGTTTAAATTCAAAATATGTCAGTTTTTTTTATAAAAGGTCGTCAGAACTAAGCTACAATTGTTACATGGCTTAGATATGCAGACACGACATGCAAATAAACTGTTAGCGTAAAAAAAATATATTTAACAAAAAAAAGTTATAATGAACATTAAATATTAGTGTTACGAAGTAATATACTAAAAAACATCAAGGTCAGAAGAGTGATTGTGTAAATAGACTGCACTTACGATACAATGCAGAATGGAGACTTTAAAGTTAAAAATAAATTAACCAATGTATATCGCATTTTACACCGGTAAAAGCGTTTTACTAAAACGCATAGACTTTTTTAATTTAAAAAATTGAAAATAATTTTCGACTCGGGCAGGACTTGAACCAGCATCGTCAGGGTTCCGTGCTGTGACTCTAACAATTGAGCTACCGAGTTCTAGGACTTGGTAGGGCCACAGCACGGAACTCTGACGATGCCAGTTCAAGTCCTGCCCCTTATTTTAGATTTTAAAATTATATAGTGCCATCGTGTGTGAAAAATATTAAAGTTTTCAAATGCACAGAGTTAATTCATATATAACGACGAAAACGCCTGAAATCTGTCACGGTGGCGCTAGGTAGGTGTTGTATATAGCTGTATGAAGTAGTGGCGGGAGATTTGCAGGCTAACTATCGAGCGGCGAGCGGTGCGAAACCACGTGACTTATCGATCAGCGCGCCCACGACACTCGGAAAAATCAACCGCTGACAGCTTTCATGGGCCACCGCCGTCGCCCCTCTACCCCCCACGCCCTCATTAGCGCTTTTGTGCCGCTCACTTGTATCATAATCTGAGGCCATAATTGTACCTCCAAATAACACTATTGCTGCACAATCCTACCCCGATAACCCACTTTCGTCTTATCTCCTATATCTAATTTAGTCTTAAAGTCATTGGCCGAAACTAATCAAAGTCGCAAAGTCCGACCGCAATACGAGTAAAAAGTACGAGTGTCGAAAAGTTTCAGAAGGTCCAAGGTTAGATAAATATGAACTTTACGCGCGTTGCGTACGATTGATAACGGAAGGTATTAAAAAGCGGAGGTTGGCAACGTGGACGTAGGAATGTAGACAGTCCTCTGACACTGACCTACATAATTCAAATGGACGCTTCGTAATAGGTTAATATTCTGTTTACTTTGTTAAATACAGCAACTTATCTAAATTTAAACTGTAGTACACATTACCTACAGGTATTCCAAAAAACAGTTTACAGAACGTACACACGTCCGTAGTTGTTAAAACCCGTTTTCCTACATTTGGTTATATACTTAACTTCTCTTTCAATGTTTTAATTATTTATTACCTCCAGTTCTCGCCTTTTTATTTGCCCTCCGGGGCAAAATAAAAAAACCCGGGCCAAATTTTTTATCTTGCCCCGGGCTTCGAACCTCCGTTTAACACAACGCATTATATTTGAGCTATGAGGTCAACTACTTATTTAATAAACGATGATTAAGGAAAAAAGCGTTACGTAAAATAATTTTAGTATTAAACGTTAAATGTAGGCGTCGAGCAGCGTCGAGAATCGAACCTAAGGCCATTATGCACTGTTGCATCTTCCATGGAATAGGGTAGTTTAATAAAAACGTAAAATATAAATGATGTGAATTGTAGTATGTTATAATATATAAAGTTCGAAAACCAAATCGGAAATAGTCTTGTACTTTGAGGAGTTCATAGTTATCGTAGCCATTTCCGTAACTTGAATGTATGAACGGAATAAACTTGACAACCACTTTCACTTCCCAGTTATAGCATGAACAAAAATACACGTGGAATTTAATTTTAGCATCCCGACACTGGCACTGGTTGCATCTGTATTGTAGATACTCCGTACTCTTTATCAGAGAATTAAAGATTGATTTTGGAATATAGGGCTTGTAAGTTGTATGAATTGGTTTTAGATACATATTATGAACATGCCCAGCATCACAGGGAAACAATATATTGTTTCGGGCAAGGCACAGGAGTCTGATGGTTGATCACTCGCCAAAGAAACAATCAGTGAAACAGACAGTAATCCCCCCAGCCTTCTTGCCCACGTGGTTAAACGGGATTTCAATAATAATTATATAAAGTGTACTAAAATGTATGTTTTTTCTACTAATCGGAGTCAATATATCATTTATTTTATTTATCTATGATTAAAAAAAAACAATCTGCTTAAATAATGTCTATAGTTTACGCGAGTAGTACACATTTAAATAAAACACTTTAACGGTTTCTGTTTTACAATATATATTTTTTTTAAGTACAAATGTTTTTGCTTACGTTTATTTAAACTAAATTTTAGTCATTAATATCTTATCTTACCTTGTAAATAAAGTATTGAACTTACCGTATGTGATATAGGAAACTGCTGCAATGCGGGATGGGTTCGCTGTTCCCTCCGCGACATCGCTCGCCGCGCCCGCGCATCTTTTAGTGCGTATGCACCGTATTCTGTTAAAAAAAAAAACAAATAAAAACTAAGTTTCTTATAGAAAAAACGAGCACTAAAAGTGATAATAAATATAAGCGCGTGCGCGCATCATTTCGAAGAGTTTGGTTGTGCCGACGACTTGTCTAAGGGGTGACTCTGCCCGATTGAATTTTCAATCTGTCTGTCTTTAAAATAATTCAGTGTTATGTTATTTATTACTTCTGAAGTAGGGTTATTAGGTTTTCTAATTAATTTAATGTAAAGATGGAACCAGGTTATAATTATTGCCCTTTTTATTGTGTTCAAGTCTTGGTTTTTAAAAATACATCTTGTCAAATTATATACTGTTTTAAAACATATAACGCGTGGATAAATACTTCCAGTTGCATTGCAATATATAAATAAATACTTGTTCCGCTATAATATTTATTTTTAAAAATTGAATAATGAATAATTCAAAGACTAAACGTTTTATTGAAACATGAATATCAACAGTCACATTATATCTTACTCCGACTTCCCTTATTCCCTCGTGATCTCGGAAAATAAATTTAAATATACATTGTTTACAATCGTACTAAATTACGCGACAAGAATGCGATCTGCATATTCATAAAACTCACTTTGCATGAACTACCCGAATCATGCGAAAGTATTTAATGTACTTGGGGTACTCAGTTTTGATACGATAGAGAGCAGTGTCTATAGTTTACGTGTGTATTACACATTTAACGGTTTAAAACGCGAAATATTAACTACGGCTCGATGTTTTGGATACTTTTCTGCGTGCGGTTGATACAAAGTGCTATTTGATTGAAACCTTTTTTTTTTATCATATAGGATTTTGTTTTTATATAGACGAAATGAAATATATTTTGGTGGAAAACTCGCTATATATAAGCTATATGTTTGATCAATATATGTTAGATTTTAAGATTTTAGTCAAAGGAAGAAATCCACAATTCAGGCCTATTTAGTTCAATATACAATGCCAAAATTGTGATGGCGAGAACTTCAGGATATAATCTCCTCTAGCATATTATTGAATAAGTCATAGCATGTTGTATTATATTTACAAAGTAAAAGTGAAATGATATAAATCTTACAATAGATCTATGGGTGAATTCATTATCTGTATATTAAATAAATAAACTTCTATAAGCCTTTAAAATTATTTATTTCAACGTTCGCTGCTCGCGTACATAGATAAAGTTTGTGGAGAGACGACGCGGGCGATAGCAGCCCGGTCAATATGTAGAGTGGTTGTGCGCCATGCGAGCAATCAATCCGACGCGGGGACCACCTGTAGAGCCGTTCCCCGCCACCTCCTCACCCAGCCCCTGCCCCTCCCACACCCCCGCCCGCCCTCACGGATCGACACGTGACGTAGACGCTGAGAAATCCGCCCAAACGTAAACATTAATTCTTACTTCATTCTTCATTGTTCAGAATGTCGCGACGCGCGTGCGGTATCCGTTATTGGTAAACAAACTTCTCAACGCAACTGAGAATCGTATGACATACCGTGTTTGTAATTCAATTATACACGAGGTATTAGTTGTGTGGGAAATTGATTTTCTATGTTGGATTTTATGCTTATGTTATAAGTTGCATGCTTGCATATAAGTCACAGCTATACATACCTAAGGGTATATGCAGTGACGTAAGAAGTTGAAATTAGAAAATGTTAAGCTGTTCTGTATACTGTCGCATCTGTAGTTTTGGTACTGTTCGTCTATAGTTTTGGAGTTCTTTATTCGAAATTTGAAGAATATCAAATACTTCATTTTTTTTTAATATCTTATGGCCTGGTTACGAGACCTTTAAGCCAAATGTTTCAATTCTTTCATAAAATAGAGCTTTAAAGTTAACTTAGATTTAAAAAAAAATCAATAACGCGGGCGGGACTCAAACCCAAAAGTACAGCGCTCTGTGCCTGCTTACCCAATTCGTATTTTTACGTCTTTATATACCTAAGCTTCTTTTTAGTTACGATCTTATTTCATCTAGTTTTTATAAATATTGTATAAATAAATGACTTTATAAAGCTAAATTTTGCATACATTTAAAATTATTATTATTTTTTAAGTATCAATAAATCATTTAGATATTCAACTATGTTAACTATTCTATTGTTATCTCTATGACTAAATAACCGGTCTTAAAATTGTTTAAAAATCAATTAACAGGGATTTTTTTTGTTTTTTTAACTGATATATAAAAAAACTTTATTTCAAATGCTCATATGTAGTTTGACATTCTTCTTAACTATATAGTATGTGTACAGTACAAACCCATAGGCATGACATGATCAGCATGGTGGGAGTGGTGCGTGGGATAATCGTAGCGGTAATAGCGCGCGTAATCATGCGCGGGCGGGTAGTAGCCGTGCGGGTAGGGCGCGTAGGGCGGCGGGTAGCGTGCGTACTGCCAGCCTGCGCCCGCGCCGTACTGCGCCTGACCGCGGTACTCCCCGTAGTTGCAGCAATCCATCGCGCCGCGCCGCTGTCGCCTACGCAGCGGGCAACGCCGCGGGCCATGCTCGTCCGCATCCGCGCGCGCTCAACCGCATCGCACTTGACTAAACCAACAAGAATTAAAACATGCCCCGCATTTATACAATCATTTTTGTGACAACTTTTGAAAAAGTTTTCAGTTCTCTCGCGAAGTCACAGAGATCGAACGCAGTTTCGCGGCGGGAAACGATCGCTGCGACGTTAGTTAGCGAAAAGAGGTCGTTCGAGTTTGCCGGCGTCGAGGCGAGATACGTAGTGCGAGGGTCGAGGGGCGGAGGGGGCGCGAGGCAGCGGAGGGGCGACGCCCGCTCGCCGGCGACTCGGCGCAGCGCGGCGCTCGACGGACGCCGACTGAAGGCGCGGAATCGATACGCTTCCGCCGCGTGCCCGCGCCCGCAGTACCTGCTCGCGACACAGGCGCAGACTACTCGCTGGGTGCCAATTCTGCTATTTACAATTGCATATCACTGGCGTGTCGCTAGAGTCGATTATACCGCTTAATATACTACTAATACTTATATTTTCGACGAGCTCATTGGTGTAACAATGTACGGCTAATAATCAAGTCGTGAATTCGATCCACGGGTCCAACATTTTCTAATCAAAATGTTGGTCTTCGTTTTGAAATCTGGATTTTAAACGGGCGGTTGGACAGGTAGGTGTCGAAATTCCGACCGGGTCACGAACCACCGTCCACAGATGAAAAAGGCGTGAAGTTTAATCACGTTTCGGTATAGTCTATGGATTGGAATATCCAAAGGGCACTGGTTCGTGAATAAGCAGACTCCTCACCTTGTACAGAGTCAAAACTCCCATGTGACTACTGCGGTAAAGAGTTAATATAAGTGTGCCTTTTAAAGGTTATTCGTTTTATATAAGAACGGCCGAATTGGTAAAAGCTAATAGTGATAGATATAATGATGCGGTTGATTATAATTACTGTATGCCACCAAGCGCCTTATGTAAACTTGGCGGCGAGAGGTTACGCACACAGGCGTAGCCGTGTGATTTAGGCTCGTAGCACACTCGGATGATTATTTTCGTAGCACGTAGAGCTTTGTGTCTGTAGTACACCGTGATAGAATGCGCGCCAACTTAGATTTCTTTCATAGAGTTTTTAAGCATCATGGCGAAATGATTTATCAGTATAAATACTATCTATATTTTACACGAGTAGTACACAATTAAATAAAACAATTTAACGGTTTAAAACGCGATATATTTGAGTTAAAATTATACCATGCCAATTTTCGGATGCTTTGCAGCCGTGGCAGTGGCACGCCGTTAAACGGTAAAGTGTTTTATTAAATTTATCAATATGTTAAATTATTTCTGACTTCAAGTGCACCGTCCTATGTTATTGTTTATTAGGTCGAAGTTTACTAATTTACTAAGTATAAGTTAATTACAATATTTAAATAAAATACTTTAACGGTTTAAAACGCATCAGTTCAATTTTATAGATTATTCAAATTAATAACCTATAAAATAAACCACATAAACTCTGGAAGACGTAAGTTTAGTTCCAAATTTGTCCGCAAGCGCTCTAACAGACAATTTAACGGATTGGTCGATCAGGATTAGACTTGCGACGGCAAGATAGGTATTGAATGCGCGTAGGCGGCAGTGACCCACATAGCCTGTAGTCATGCGGTACGCACCCCCTACGTCCTTCTAAAAGACCCCCGTAAACTTTTCACGTGAATTTAATTCAACCGCGCCGATAACGTGACGCCTAAAACAAAATAACTTTTCTTTGCGTATTGTTTTCTGTTTATTCTTGAGTAAGATATAGCTGAAACTTTTTTTCTTTTATTAGATAGCTGGTATACAATATATTTGGATTAAGTCTTATATTATATGCTTGTAAGTTAGAAGATAGAAGTAATTATTAAATCTTTGAAAATAGCATTTTTGTGCAATGATGTGAAAAATGGTCCTATAAATTGGTAGTCACTTACGATCTTAGAATTTTATTGATTATTTGTTTTAATTTATTGTTTCTTAAGATTTGTTTATTGTTATTTAAGTTTGGAAATCTTTTTCTACTAGAATTAAATTAATTTTTCCCCCAAATTCCTATTTTTTCGATTTAAAATTTAATTATTTTTTGTTTAAAGATATGATTACAGATATTTCTTAACACAGGGGAGAAGAGATAAGATGGCGAAATACTCCGGCCAATAGGTATATGCTGCAAGGCAAAGCTAGGTGTAAACCTTTTTTGGTTTTTAAAATGCCCAGAATGAGGTTGAAGCACAAACTTACATGTCACCTCTTCTGACAAGTGGTTCGAGATCCAAACGAATATTGATATTCCTTATCATTCTGTAGCTTAGTTAAAAGGCATGCAGTCTAGCATTGCATTAAACGAGAGAAGTCCTGGTTTCGAATCCCGGGGATACAGCATAGAAGCCTGGTCGATTATTTACCTACGAAGAAAATCGATCAATGAAACAGACACAGAAATATGTTCGCCACATGCCCCACGAGTAGAAACGTGATTTTAATATAATGTCCCATTTAGAGAGTGTAATGATATATGTTTAGGAAAATTGTAAATAGATTCTTAGAAACACATTTATCGGCGAAAATAGATCTGTCGTTACTTACTTAGGTATATTAGATACGATTACTTTTACGACTTCAGATAGACAAACAAAAAAACTAAAGGGCGTATAACTTAGTAGGTGCGCGCGAAAATCCACCACTCTCGTGCTTCACACAGCCTCATTTCTAACGTTGATCAATAAAGAACATTTCTATTGATTCTCTGTAACTCATTCGTTTCTGTAGCAATTAAGTAACAATCTTAGGAAGGATGTTAGACAACTGTATTCTTTGCAATCAAAGTGCCCTCAATATTACATTTGATTTGGATTTCAAAATACGTTACGTTCAAACTGCAGTGCGGACGCATGCCATCCAGAAGGACGAATGCTTAGTTGAAAATTTAGGCCTTAAACGCTGTCTGTACTTCATGCGAGTGGTACACACTTAAATAACGGTTAAAAACAAGAAATATGTTGTTTAATCTTATTTACTTTAGGCCTTAATATAAACTGAAATTCCGTTTCCCCAACGTTTTATTAATCGATTTTACCAAGAGCGAAATATTTACTCAGACTTAGGTGCCGTTACCGACGGAAACTATGTATTTTGTTTGCCTCAGAATTTGAAGCTAGGACTTCTCGTGTAACAACACTCAAACAACAACAACATGGTAACAAGGCGTTTAACCATCAAGCCGGAAAGCTGATAAATATACAATAGTTCATATTTATTAAATAATTATTGAAGCACAAACGAATATTCAACTTTATTATCTGTAATATAATATTAGTATATTACATTGTACAACATTGTATATATACAACGAATGATGTAGTCTTATATCAACAGCTATTTTTTGTTCTCTATTGAAGTATGGCTATGTATGATAATAAAATATTTGCGTCTTCTTTATAAATGGGTCTCAACGACCAATTCCAAGTGTTAATATTGTGGAGCAGAAAATCCAAGCGCGGGTTATCATGCAGATTGCGGCGAATCAATAGGTGCTCCGGCCACTGACGGCGGATGACGATCAATATCGTCCCAACGGAGCTGTCTCCGCATTAAGGGGCTTCCTTGAACGCCTTTACACATATCCACAACCTATCTACACTTCATACGTCACTCTGCGATCCATACTTGCACACCGTCTCGACACTACGTTTTTATATTTCAACCCAGCTATTTATAGATGAAAATTCAATACGGAGTATTACACTGAAAGTTTTTTAGGCATAGTAAATACATTATAAATTGTCTGCAGATTATGCGAGTAGTACAAATTTAAATAAAACACTAACGGTTTGAAACGGCCAATTTCGCACGACGACGGAACAGATGGCGCTAGCGTAGCGGTTTTTACTTTAACGTCAGAGACACGCTCCACTTTAGTCCAGTGACCACGACTGCTGGATCCGAATCGTCGGGCCATAGTTAAAATAATTTTCAAATAAGTTTAATCAATACATATCGCGTTTTAAACCGTAGTGTACATTAAAACTGGGGCGAACACATTTCTGTGTCCGTTTCATTGATTGAATGTAGTTACAAATAGTTTATAAAATTTAAGTACTTGAAATAATTCATTGGTTCTCCGAAATTTGAACCTAGTACACATGATTGACGCAATGGCCACGCCATTACCTATTACACTATAAGGCGGTCATGCTGTCATAATATTAAATGTTTAATCAATATAAAACGTATTAATGAATATCAAGAAAATGCAAAACAATATTCGATTTGTGGTAGTTTTTTCTCTCTCATAGTTCCCTTATCTTTTTTTAATGATAGAGTAGGATAGACAAGCACAGTGTTCACTTGCTGGTATATATACATTATACACCAGCCCGCATCTAAATAAGATGTGCCGTCGACCTATTTTGGCTTTGAATATTTGAAAATCCACAGACTGAAACAAAAAACGCGATAAATCTTCACGGATATTTCATCTGTGGACGGTGATTCGTGACTAGGGTGGAATTTCTATATTCCTACCACCCATTTAATATTCAGATTTCCAAACAAAGTCTAACATGTTTCAGGAAAATTATTAACATGTCGGGCCCTGTGGGGAACGAACCCACGACACGTTGGTGCTACCATTACACTAATGAGGCCGTCGAAACAGTCATCATCATATGTCTAAACTAATACTGACTGACTAATAATAATTTGCTAAAGTAAAATACTTATATAGCTATAAGACGCAAATTTCGGTGTAGGGTTGCATTTCTGCCATAAAATCGTCCATATTTTATCCCAAATGGGCTTCTCAAGTTATATAAGTGACAGTTCGTAATCGCGAAATACAGACTTCAGACAGAATACAGGATCAGTGAATTCGCTTTTATACTTGACAGGCTCCTTGGTCAAATAGCAGCAATGGTAGTTCGAGTCACAACGTATCTAATCGATTTATTGCTTTTTTTCATAATTTGATTATTTTTTACATGTTAAGGCACTATATAATTTTAAAATCGAAAATAATTTGAAAACATTTTCGACTCGGGTAGGACTTGAACCGGCGTTCACCGTCAGAGCAAAAGCACGGAACGTTGACGATGCTGATTCAAGTCCTGCCGGAGTCGAAAAAATTTTCAATTTATTTTTGATTTATAAATCTGGATATTAAATAGATGTTATATCGAAACTACGTCCGGGTTGCAAACACCGTGCACAGATGAAAAAGTCGTACAGTTTGGGTTTCAGTCTATGGGTTTCGATCCATGAGATACGCGCATCTTGTGATGCTATATGGCTAGGGCATTTTACCTTCCATCAAGGGAACTCCATGCTTATCTATTCTCTTCTATCATAAAAGAAGACATAACTAAGTTTCTCATATACGAGTTACAGTGGGACCATTTGTCAGTAGAGCTTAAATTCATCCAGTTAAGCCTGTATCCGTTTATGGAGTTAAGATGCTTGCAAAAAAGCAGAGCGATTATTTCGCTAAATTATAATATTGTGACAGAAATACGGGCACGTAAAACAGAAATCTCTTTTAAATAAAACACGAACAGTTTAAAACGCGATATATTTAAGTTAAACTTGTTTGAACATTATTTTTAAATACGGCTTTGCAGCCGTGGACACGGGGAGGACGTCTCCCCGTCGATAAAACTAAACTGTTTTGTGTTTTCATATAAATGCAGCAAATCAGGTGAACTGAATCTGGCGAATGTAACAAAAAAACAACGTTGCATTTCAAAGCAAAATATTTATTGTATAACATAATTTGAAAATAAAAATCTTAAGAAAATCTAAATAAAATATTCAACAATATGGTAGACTCGTATCTATAAATAAAATATTAACTATCAAATCTACGATACATTAAAACTATTATCTAGTTTACACACTATTCGATTTCAAAAAGTATATTTCGATAAATAACTTAATATTATTTTCACTAATGGCATTTCACACTCAAAAATCTTAACATTTAGAAATAAACCTTTACCTAACTCTACGCAAATAAAAAAACAAAATGGTAACTTAACATAAGTAAAATTAACTTAACTTAGATGATAGTTTATGACATCGCGGCCGTATTCAGTAACGCAGTAGTTAAAATTTTCGAGTGTTGGATCTCTATTTAGTTTTTAGAACCGAAGGAGACAAACTCACAAGTCACTAGAGGGGACAGTTGTATCCAAGCGATAGTATTGTTTGATTTCATATCTTCCTACGGCAGGGTTAACGCTTTAAAACGTAACGCGTTACGGTTAACATTCTGCAAGGTTATCACGAGACAAACAATATAAATCGCTTTGAACATCTTAGCAGTGCTAGCATACTTCAAAATGGTACAACAGTATAAATGTAGAAACCAATGCCCGAAAAGCACATATTCATTTAAATACTGTCTATAGTTTACGCGAGTAGACACATTTAAATAAAAACTTTAATCATTTTCAAATAAGTTAATAATATATCGCGTTTTAAACCGTTAAAGTGTTTTATTTAAACATATTCATTTATTCAACACAAAATCTGCCTTGCATTCAAATCATTAAGTCCATATAAATTTCACTTCCTACTTAAAAACAACCAAAACATTAATTACTCCAATATGTCTAATATAAATACTGATATTTTTTTATAAATTGGGCAATAACCTAAATATTTATAACATATAACAATAGACCGTCAAAATCAGTATACTACACCAAATATAACATTTTCTAATACTGATGACAAAAATACCTCCTATATACTAGATTATATGATTTAAATAAAATCAATAAACAACGATAACTTTTAATAATTCGTTAAATTATGCTAAGGACATAATAAAACGGCAGTTTTAAATCATCATGTCTCTGAAGGGTAGTCAAGTGAGGGTAGTTTTAACAAACATTATAATGATCACAGCACATCAAATTTGAAACTGATGAAGCTGTTCAACAGAAACATATATTGATTAACAAACTTTTGCATTCTTTAAATGTATGTTCAATTCATTGAATTGAACATACATTTAAAGAATGAATAATAATGTGGAATGACAGCAAGAAAAGCCTTAATGAGATTTCACCATAGCTTACTTCAGAATCTTCAAATCAAATAAATATTTTTTTGCAAAATTTTCTCTTCACATTTGTAATACTCATACCTTAAACATATAAACAATAATTTATATCATAAAATATTAAATTTTCATTAGGCACCGATAGGTATATTGTTCTTTTTTGCACCAAAACAATTTTTCAGAGATCTCATATCTAGCTTATTTTGGAAGTCATTCGAGAAGTTATTCTTACCAATATAAAAAGGATTATGTCATAGAACGATTATAAGGCACATAGGCAACCATTTACATTTGGCAAGGAACTAATATTCCAATTCTTAAATATATAGCTTTAATAAAGTTTTTTATCATAACATTTAATATGCCTATAAATATAAAATATATTATTTTGTATCAAATTTCATCTAAGACATCTCATCCATAAACATCTAATACACAAAAATTGTCTTGAATTGTAGATTTTTTTAACTTTTAAATAAAACACTAACGGTAACGTTAACTTATATATTAACATTACAGCCCTGCATTTAGCAACACTCCAACTTTGTATTTAAAATAAGCGAAATATATTTGATGTTTTAAACCGTTACAAGTGTTTTAATTAAATGTGGTCTACTAGTGTCACCTACAGACAAAACTTCTTTATTTTTCTTATGTGACCTTAAGAAACTTACATTGAATAAATGTAAATAAGGGCTTAGATACTCAATTTAAAGGCACATCTTACAATTTGTTTTATATCAGAGATATGTGGGTTTAGATATAGGTTTGTACAAAATATTAAAGGCACCTCATTCTCAAACTAGTTTCTCTGCCCATGACTCGACCACATGTGTTCTTTGAATGTTTCTCGCATGGTAAATGACCTCGGACAGAGATAGCAACATAGTCTATTAGTTAAATCTGAATGCATTAATCTCACATGGTATTTCAGAGCTGATTGATTTGAGTATTTCATGCCACAGTGTGGACAATCGCCACAAATTGCCGCATGATTTGACTGATGAGATCCAGATTGGGAGGTTGAAGCACCAGAGTTTAGAACTGGGACAGACGACATACCAGCTAATAGAAGTAATGCTTGTGACTGCTCTGAATATGAATTCTCTGATTCGTTACCTTCATGTTGTTCAGATAACAATACCTCTGGTTCATAATCAACTTCAGATTTTGGAGATGGCTTTTCTGTCTTGACAACTGAGTCTTCAGCTGTTATTAGTGGACTTTTAGATATAGCATTTGTGAATGTTGTATCAGAATTGCTTTCTTTGATTTGTCTGTTTGCATTGTGCATATCGAGGGGAACTTTTTTTGAACTTGTATCGGATTTTGAAGGGTTTATACCTAAAATAAAATGTAAAAATTACTGTGAACAAAATGTTTCTAGACATATAAATATATTTAACACAGAATAAATAAAGTTTAAACTTAACTAAACTAAACTAACTAACTAAGATTATCTAGAATGTCTTATTACCTGAGAGGAGAGATCGAGCCAGCATGCTATTCTCATAATCTGGAAGACTATCATCATTATCAGAACATAGTACACCTGGATTTGGAGAATTATTCTCTTCATTCCATTCTGTTTTAACTGTAACAGGGCCATCCTCACCCTAAAAATAGAAGTTATCATTAATGTTTCGTTGGCTTTTCATCTTTCCTTACTGAGAGCTAATAAAAATAGAAGAATTTCTGTTAAAAATTCAACAAACATTAATGCGATATGATACAATTATTTTAAACATGTTTTTCAAAAATACTATAAGTATAGAAGCTAACTAAGTACTATAAAATTAATGTTTACCTGTGTGTTTTTTCCATTGCTCACACCTACATAGTCACTTTTAGATTCTGCCTTACGTTCAGTATTTGCATCTGAACTAAATATTGGGTTATCTACTTTTAGTTGGGCACCATTATTTCTATTGTAAATGTCACAGGATTCGAGTATCTTGGTCTTCTTGTAATCTATAGGACTAACCTCATTTGGTTTATCAGAAGTGCTACTGCGCCTCTTCTTAAGAGCTGGTATTCTAGTTTCCTTTTGAGCAGTATTGCCGACTGACTTTGAATATATTGTCAATTGACTGTATTGTTTACTGTTAGCACTTGAAGGTAAAAAATTATCATTCTGAAACATTAGAAATACATTATTGTTAATACTTTACACTACACCAACCGAGTTCAGTTTGGTATTCAAATTTTAAACAGTACAGTACAACGATGTATTTGTTTACAAACTGTAATACATTTGTTTTATTTAGTTATTATTATAAATTTTAGGAATTAAAAGGAGACTTTAAAGAGAAAATAATAAAGCAGTACAAATTAATGCAGACAGTTTAGATGTTTTACCTGCTGTGTTACACCAGTTAGCCCTTTAATTTGTAATAAAGCAGCAGTGTGTAAAAATGATGACAACTTGCTCTCTTCAATAAATACCTCTCCCTGGTACATATATGATAACAAACTGAGAATATCATCTGCCAAAACATCCTTCAATATGATAACAGGGTGTTGACACGGGTTCTCCTAAAAACATAACATTTATAAACAGTTGGTCACATAACCCACTTTATACATTTAGCCTTCCAGTCAAATGCATTAGTAATATTATTAGTACAGATATACGCGAAGGTTATATACTCCCAAGTCATTCACCTTGAACACATTCCTAAAGTACGGGCTGCATGCTGACAGTATTACTTTATGAGCCTTGATATTTCTGCCTTCACATGTAAGTGTCACATCGACGAGATCCTCGGAACATTTCAGGGAATCCAAAGCACTCACAATATTTGTTTGAAAATTATTCCAACGTAAACAAAATTGGTCTGCCATAACTACGTCTTGTTTGTGAAATACTAAAATAAAAATACAATACTTGCTTTAGAGCATAATTTTCATATGCTTAATAACTGAACTTATTGTTATTTTTTAATACTTTGTCAATCCTGCGATTCAATATCAACACAATCATTAAGACGTTTAATTTTAAATACTTTATTTTATTTACGAATTTTCAAGAGAACACTTTCGGTGACTGTAAATAAAATTAAAAATAAAGTGCATGACCTCCAATGACACAGTCTTCTTTCACTTTTGCATTATAGATTATAGATTCGCTATGCCAAGTGTTGTTGAGAATAGACACAAGAGCCACAGCGAAGGACCTCATTTCTTTACTTTAACCATAGACTATAAAAAACGATGGCTGTGGAATTATAAGTAATAATTATACAGTGATCTGTATCTATAATGTCAATTTGAAAAATTCGAAATTTCGACATATACTTCCATATTTCGAACTAAGGAATTTATAAAATTACTTTTTGTGTGACTTTGTTTTAATAAAGTAAGAACTTATATATAAATACTTTTACAATATTTGAATTTCGACATTATGATAATATTTCCTTTGTATTTTTCTTTTCGTGTTAATCTTATTATCCACTTTGCAAGTCATAGAACGATCGCATGGTTACAGGTTGTAAACAAAGGCCGACCAGGACTTGACATTTTGTTAAACACGAGTTTTCTACAAAACTAAGGAAACAATGGCGAATGACCCGGAAAGATTTGATTCAATGCTGTTAGCAATGGCACAGCAGCATGAAGGAGGTGTAAAAGAGGTATGATCTAAGATATCCGATAACAATTCCCCCTATAGAGCTCATTATACCGGCAAATCGTAAAAATAAAAGAATTTCCTGTTACCGGAAAGATGCTGATATGGTATTTTCTTTAATTTTTTGGATTATAGTGCTTGTATTCTTTTCTATTGCTACCACTACATTTTAAAACTATTGTATCATTAAAACATCAGAATTGGCAAACTAATATTATGCTACTTCCAAAATAAGGATTTGGTACTGCAATAGCATGGAAGTCTGTGTTTGATATATATATCAGCTCTTACCTTTCAAACAAAGATTAATAAGTCTCTGTTAAGTTTTTGTTTATTTAACTTTTAATTTGTGGTCCAGTGTACTGGTACTAATATAAATTTAGAGTAGTTTTAGACCATTAGTATATAATCTTAGATTTGGCATAACTTGGCCCCACTCAGATTCATGGGATATTTTTATTTAGTATATAAGTGACCTTTACCCAACAAATAAATAATTTTGTTATTTCTTAATTTACAGTTATTAGATACTATAGTTGGATTTCTTGCTCGGAAGACAGACTTCTTTGTTGGTGGTAAAGACGGAGAATGGGAAAAGGTTTGTATATGATTATTGTTTCATTAAAAACCTCTCAAGTTTATCTAGTACAACTATAAAGTGACAAATGCCAAAAACTTTTCTATGAAAGCATGGACAAAAATTATATTATTATTTAATTCCTATCAGTTTGAATTTCTCATAAGTAACATAAATTACTATAGGCAAAATTTAAGCTATAACATATAATAACTTTACAACAGGTAGTAAAAGATACATTCTACAAGCATTCCGCTAAAGCTAGAGAAGAAAGAGAGAGAATAAGGAAAGAAAAAGAAGAAGCAGAGAAAAGACTGAAAGAAATTCAACAGAAAAAAGAAAAAGAACGCCTGGCTAAAGATTTTGAACCAGCTTCAGTTGTGGAACTAACTGACCAAGAAGCAGAAACCATGCAAAAGGATATTGAAAAGGATAAAGAATCAAGTATGTTAATGTAAAGCGTATAGTAGATATACTTGTGCATTTTATTGATTAATTTATTCTCGGAAAAGTAGTTAATCAAACTGTTCTATAAAATTATTTATTGTTTTGCCGTGATTCAAACCTGGACTCCTGCTCTTAATAGCAATAGTGAATAGTTAAAATAGAAGTGAAAATGCTTCTGATTATTCAATGTTATATGATATCCTTGCAAAGTATAAAATTTAAAAACATATTCTTAAATTTGAAAAATAGTTATTAACATGGTAATGTTAATTATTATTTTCTGTTGGTCTTTCCAAGTTTAGTGTTATTTGTCATTTTTTATGACTTATAGAAAATTATATAAATAATCTGTATGTTTTTAAATCTAATATAGATTCTAATTTCAAGTCACACATGATCTTATGAATAGCTAATGTTTTGTTTTTAGAAAAGTACATAAACATCTTGTATGACTTTAAATTCTTTCATATTTGAAATATAAGCATTGTTGCTCTATTTCTAAACATCAAAAATAAACACCATACTGTCTGTTAAATAATGTAAACTATTTTGTTAATTGATCTGCTTATCTCGATACAATTGTTTTCAAAGAACAAGAAAATGGTAGTGGCGATACTGCAGAGAAAGAAGGTGAAACTGTAGCACCTCCAGATGATGAAGAGGATGATCCCAAGGAGAAAGGGAAACTCAAACCAAACTCAGGAAATGGATGTGACCTTGAACATTACCGGTGGACACAGACCCTTGAAGAAGTTGAGGTATGTCGTGAATTTAATATGTATTTAAACAGCCTTCTTGTTGTGTTAGGGTGTTAGGTGCAGGTTAGAATTCAGACTACATATAAACATTTTACCAACTTGGTAGGGTGTAGCAGGCAGATCACCTAGTTTGAAGTAAAACAATAAAATCAGTGATGGTTAGATAGAAATGTGTATCTCATGAAAGTTCCCATAATACATACTTAGACAAGGGGATTATAATTTTTACGCACTTGTCTATCACTTGTCTGTCTATATTAATATTTTTACAGTATTAAAAAATGATTTTTCATCTATCACAGGGTTTTAAAGTACAATCAGATAACAAAATAATATCAAAAATAAAAGGCATTCAAGTTTTGATTTTCTTTAATTATCACAGTTTATAAGTTAAGTAGACTAAAATAAAAATTACTGGGAATAATTAAATTATATTTTGCTAACTATGTATTTACAAAAAAATATATAGCGACTTAATGTTCTCTAAAATTAGTGACCACTGCCTACACTATAGTAGATATTATGAACCATTAATGTTCCTTGTGTGTTGCATTCAAAATGTACCATCTATTAACAATGTCAAGAATTTCCTGATATGGTGTATCATCTAATTAACAAGCCCTTAGGTATAAAGGATGTGTACTTGGTACTAAATAAACATCTTAAATTTTTTCATTGCTATATAAAATGTGTACAAGGAAAATCAAAAAGTAATGTGTTAATTTGCCCATACGTATACCTAAAAATCAATACTGCTTTTTAGTTTTATTTCGATATATGAAAAATATTTCGTGTGCGCTCATAACACCCAAAATCGTTTTCAAATAATTTACTTATTACTAAAATAGCTATGTCTAATCTTATACTATGCATTTGAGCACTGAATTTATTACATTTTAAACAGTACAACCTAATCTATACAACAGTTGCTTCATTTTATTAACAAATTGAACTAATTATCCTACTACTACTAATATACAATACTATTCTGGAGTTATGTAGGTATTTCTGATTTTATAATACTACAGTAAATATTCAATCTAAAAATAATTGGTTTCTCGAGTCTTGATTTTTGTAACAGAGTTAGGCGTTGTTAAAACTGCAATTTTCTTTATATGATTTAGGAATATTTGTAGATTCCAGACTCTCTGCGCATCCGCACTGAAAAATAAAAGTGTTAACACAAAATCAAATTGACTTAAGATAATCTAAGTATAGGAATGTTTTATTGCCCTGCCTCTAAGATTATAATTGAATTTATATTCGATACATGGTACTGTGAGAAATAATCGGTACATGCGGTCTATTTGTCAAGGTTGTAATTGGCATGGCACTACACGACATGAGCTATTTCCTTCACCTTTTCGATATAAATCGGACAGTGAAAATACATGGGCTGGGCTGATGGAATATGAGGATATTCTATCAGTAAAATAACATTTCATGTGTTGCTTAAGCTTGCATTAAGTGCATACCTAGGGTGATTAAACAATTAGCTCTTTTCAGTTAAATATGTTTTAAATACGACACAAGCTAATTTTTCAATACGACTTGATCGAAAAATACTTAAGCAATGCCTATAGTTTAAACTATTAGTACAACCAAAAAAAAACATTTTTAACGGTTTAAAACGCGACATGTAGTTGAACAAATATGCTCCAATCCGAATCGCCGAGTTGTATTAAAAATAATTTGTAAATAACTAATACAAAATAATTGATAAATACTTACTCTCAACGAAACATATTGCTGCCAATATGCAAGCAGAGAACAGAATCGTCATGGATATGACGAGGACCGTAATCTGGTGCGAGTGGTTGCAGCAACACGTTTTTGGCTCCTTCGGCGCACGATTCTTTGTAAATCCATTCACTACGGTGAAGTGGGTGGAGCTAGCCAACGATTGCGAGTCTTGTTCTGGTATAGAACATCGTTTTACGTCACTCCATAGCGCGTCAGCGCTCTCTCGGGTCTCTTCCGGGATAGACACTACGGCATTAGGCGGCCTAGACGGACGAATATAACTGGCTTCGGTGCTGTACGAGTCCTTGGGTGATTCTTTACCATTCATGCGAACTAATTGTGCCGCGCTTAACAGGAGTGATCCGGAAGACGCGCTCTGCAAATAGATTACCTTAAATTACATTAAAATGAAACACTTAACGGTTAAAACGCGAAATATATTATTTAACTTATTAATAGTCCCCCCATGACTACGGCTGCTGCAAAGCATCCGAAACGTCGGGCCGAAGTTAAAAATCATTTTCAAATAAGTTTAACTAATATATGGCGTTTTAAACCGTTAAAGTGTTTTATTTAAATGTGTACTACTCGCGTAAACTATAGACAGTATTTAATCGTACTAATAAAAGTAGATAAAAATTATCACACGTGGGTTCGATTACTAGGTAGGTACCATTAATTACGGGAGGGGGTTCATATTGTGTAGCATTTAGTGATAAGGGGGTGTGGTGGGAGGGATTTTAAATTTTGTTATGCAGGAAATTTAAAACATAATATCTCTGTTGGTGTAAACTTAAGTCACGCGTGACCAGCTGAGACAAGGAGGGGGGGAAGTAAGGGGTAAAAAATAACAAAATTCGTGTGAGGTAATTTAAAGATGACTTATATATAAGTTCTTTCCAATTTAAAATACTTATTCTATTGTTTAAATAAAACACTTTAACGGTTTAAAACGCGATATATTAGTTAAACTTATTTGAAAATGATTTTTAACTTCGGCCGAGTTTCGGATGCTACTCGCTAAACTATAGACAGTATTTTATTATTCTATTGTGTTTCTATCCTTAGTGGCATTCCAAAAGTTTTTTTTATGAGCATATAAGCCGTTATTCGTGATTCCTCGCATTATACCCAATTAGGTGCACCATTTTAATAACATAATCTTGATTCTTACGTGTGTGCTGTGATTACTCGAAGAGCCTTGGCTGGAGGCGGAGCCGCCGCGGGACCGCGAGTCATTGATACTGCCCGTACAACTGCTAGATAAAGACGGCCTCGGTATATGCCATTCCGTTGTGGTGATCTGAAATTGGGTTTCACATGATTATTCTAATGACCTTAGCCAAGGTGCTCATCGTAGAATTTATCATGTTATTTATGTTCTGTAAAATCACATATCTATAAAGAATATAATTTAAAAAAAAATTGACAAAATCTACGACACAAGATGGTGTACCTCATTAATAATTTTCCTTTCCTTTTAGGAGGACAGATAAGCATGGGGTTGACTCGATGGGAGGTAAAATACCCCAGCCATATAACATCTAAACTAGATGCGCTATCAGCCTATTTTGACTTTGGATATTGTGTACCTTAACAAAGTTATTAAAAATATCATTAAAGTCAATACAGTTATTATAGTTAAATAATCGATTACTACAATTTTAAGACACGATAGTCCGGTTGATAGAGCAATACGGTTTGCGGTGATTGCGGGTTCGACTACCACTTGTTATTTTTAGTATTCTAAAATATAATAAAGAAATTTTAATAGTTTGAAACGTGAAATCAATTTCTGATATTATCTTAAATACGGTCCGACGCTACTAATAGTGCAACAATCGTGGCACCGGAACTAAAAACAGGTTAAATGTTATAATTTTAATATTTGCGTTTTGAACCGTTAAAAGTGTTTAATTGAAGTTGTTAAACGAATTTTTCAAAATTTCGAAATGTCGTAGTCAACATAGTTTTTTTTTTTGAAATACATATGTAGTAAAAACTGTATCTTTACATTTTCACGATATAAAAATATTTATGTAATTATTTCAGTTTTCAGTTCAGTTACAACATTAGGTTAGGTAATACTCTCCGTCGAGTGAACAGTAAAGCAGCGATATTGCTTGTCGGTGTCAAAGAGTACAATAACTAGTGATGTTTCATCAATTTTATTTTTAGGTCAAGAATTATTTAGAGCCGATTGATTTTGTCAGATACAATATTCAAGGTTCGCGTTCTCTTTATTTGCGGTTTCCTTTTGTCGGCCTCCGGCGCACTTCATAATTATTTTAGTTTTGTTTTTGGTCTCATGGGCTTTGTGTGCCTCATTGTTGCGTTGATAAGATGAAGGATAGGCTTTTAGGTAAATGGCGAGACGTATATGGTTGTTGCGTTGTTTATTATGTTCAAAGTGCCATGAAGTACAATTGTTTATGCACATATTCGTACACAATTAAAAAAAAACTATAGCCCACTTGAAAAGTTTCATATTTTTCACGTATTGCTCATTATGGCTGGATAAAATTAATTTAATTCAAAAACATTCATTGTGAGTGGTGCAGGTTGAAAAAATTGACGATAACGTGTAGGACACGGTAGCTAAGTTGGTTACAGCAACAGCACTGTATTTAATTTTTATAATTCTATGATCGATTTGTAATTTATATACCTACCTACTCTACTTTTGTTATGTAATAATTACATTACAAAAGTATATTGTATCGTCTCAAAAAAATTCCCCCCATTGGGGCACGGGGCGAACATATTTATGAGTCCGTTTCGGTCTTTTACATGCGAGTAAAATACTTCTGTATTCTGCGGAAACTATCTTTTGTTTTCCTAGGATTCGAACCCGGGACCTCTCGCGCTAAACTAATTTAACCAGAGACGGTCACGGTTGCACTAAATACTACATAAGTACAATTTAATTAAAAACCAAGTACTGACTCGCTAATATATAATATGGAGTAGAGATAAAATATATTAAAAACATTTAATTCATTTTAGATACCGAATTTTAGCAGAGCGTTTTGAAATCTTCCTTTCACTAACAAATGCAAGCTGTATTTTGTATCTAGGTACACTCCGAACAGATTGTACTCACAACCGGTTCATTATACCCCGTACATTCGAATCCTTCAACAAAGACCACTTTCGCTATTAAATCTACATCAGCACAACTACAATGTACTAAGCCCTCGGCATATAATTATACTCTCGTTTGCTAATTCACGGAATCAATCTTCAAGATCTCACAT